ACATCCAATATCAAACAGTGATAACTCTATCGATAAAACAGTGGATAACACCTTAAAAAACGCGCAAAAAATTCAGAAATTAATGTATTTTCTATCATCTAGAAGAAATTTGCCACCAATATACAAGTAGACCCTATAATTCTGTGGAAAAATCCTGTTATATATATATATATTTTTTTTTAATTATAAAAAATCAATTAATGGATACTAAATTTTTAAATGATTTAATTTAATGTGTAATAAAATAAATAAGTTTTAATTTTAAAACGAGGGAAATTTTAGTTTAAAGTATTCTATCGTAATTAAATTTTAAAAATTAAATCTAAAATCAAATTTTTTTTTTCGTAATTAAAATAATACACTAAAAATCCCTATCAAGTTAGGGATTTTTATAAGAAATTCCCTAAACATTATTTATCTGTAGAGTTCTTTTTTTATCGTCATTAACTGTAACGTTGTTTATTATTTCAAGTAATATAATTGCTTACGCCTTAGAGAAATTAAATAAAATCTACTTAATATTTTTTTTTTTAGTAATGCGACGAAGACTAAACTGGAGCCAAGAAATGGGGAAACCGAAGCGCGTAGGGAGATTTCGATCGGGGTTAGGGAAAATCCCCACAGAAGAGCAGAAACCTCAGTCGCCATGCTGTGCGGCCTTATTCGATATCAACAAAGGCGACGATAGAAATATATAACGAAATTATGGCCACTACCGAATTCGGAACAGGGAAAAGCATCGTGGTTTTAGCCATTGTGGTGGGTTGTTTTGCTATTTTATGGCCCAAGATCTTCTACCCTATGATGCAAGCTGCATTCTCTATGACTTCCCCCAAACAGGAACACGAAGATGGTAAGCATTTATTAATACATTCTCAATGGAAAATTATCATTTAAACGTATACAGTACTTACCGATTTAATGATAAGTACAGGGGATGGTGTATATAAAATCGATGGAAATCTCTCCTCTGCTACTAAATAATCTAAAGCCATTGCCATTTTCTAACGTAATTTAGGGATATTATCTTAAATTGTTTTATAAGTGTCGAAATTATAACAGTTTTGGAAGGTTCTGTTTGAGTAATTTATTATCATCTTCGCCTAAAAGTTGCAAATTAGCAGTTTTTATGGTTTCCTCCTGCGATTCTGCTTTCCTGCATTTCATTCCTGCCAGCAAGTGCAGCAATTGTCTGCGTTTTTTTTTTTTTATTAAATTATAAATAATAAATTACAGACTTTTTCGTTATCAATATGTTCATTCCAATAAATTCTAGTGTTTCGACGGTTGTTATCGATCTTTTAACGACTGTATTTAAGTCGTTTTTTTCTCGTAGTTAAATTGGTAAAGTGCTGAATGAGGAATTCTAGCTTAAATTTCTGGTAAAATTATATATTAAACATCTCAGAAATCATCATTGACGTGTAGAAGAAGAAACGAATAAATGTTTAAGTATTCTTGTGATTAAAAAAAATGGCGTTGCATTAAATTTCTTATCCAAAATGAAAGCATGGAAATTTTAGTTTTGCTTATTCTAACTTCTGGGAGATAAAATTCTTGACTTTTAAGAAAATATAATTTATAGTAATTCCTGTCTACCTGCCAAAATTTTTCTGCAATTTAACAGATTACATAGACAAAGTGGGCGCAACCGACCACTCGAGGGGGCGGTAGGGGTGTAGGAAGACAGGGGGGAGAGAGATTCATTTTGAAATGAATATAAGAAATGTATGCACTAAAAGGGGGGAGACAGTCGGAAAACTTTGGGAAACACTGACATATACAGTTTGTTTTTTTTCCACCCCTTCATGTAATTATGCAGTAATGCAGTTTTTCCATTCATAAATGTGTAAGTTGTATAAAAAATAAACAAACTTGGCTAAAATTATGGTATTTATTTTGGCAAATCTCTTCTAATCTTGCGCCTTGTATTGCGAGAAGTTTTATTCTGATATAATTTTTTTTTTTCTTTTTTTTTTAGTTTCCATGTTAGAAATACAGAAATCGTTAAATAAAAATAAATAAAATAACAAGAGTTATCCTGGATTTTTACATGTTAAGTCTTTTCAGTTAAGTAGGTGAAAAGTCTAGCTTTGGCTTTGAATCAAATTTGATCGTGTTTCTTTCTAAATGATGCCATTGTATAAAAGTTAACTTACTTTTTACAGCCATTGCGCTCATAAATTGCACAATAGGTGTTAACCCGATAATCTCAAATACTTTAACAATTATAGAACATCCATTAGCATTATCATTACAAATAGTTAAATGCAAGTATTTGGGATTGTGTTTAGCTTAATATTTATTTTTTTTTAATGAAAGGAAAGCTGAAAATACTAATAATATAGATAAAAACACGGCAACGAGTAGCGTAACTTTTTATCTGGCACAGTCTGTAATAAGATTTTATTTAAGAAACTTTCACTATATTGTTAATTATTATAAAATGGAAAAAAAACTTAATTTTGGGGGTAGGGATGACTTTTTTATATATATAAAAATTAATTGTTAATAACGAGTGAAATCGTGGTAAACACACACTCGAAATATGACACACGACCCTTTCTATCTCCCTCCTCCTCGACCTTCCACCACTAAAATTTAATAGCATCAAAGCCCCCTAATCCACAAACCTCCCTGCAAAATTTCAGAAAGTTTCGACAAAAACACAGGAGTTATTAATAAGCTTCAAAGTGGGTGAACAAAATCGTATTCCTCCCCCTTCTCCTCACAGACAAGCATTCATACATACAGAAAAATCCCCATTTTTTGCATCTCTCGACGTTTGAAGATTCCGAGTGTAGAATCCTGGGTCCCGGGAGGTCATTTTATTTACTAATTGCCACCACACTTTACTTTTTATATATAACAGGCGGGAGTGTAAAAAGTAATACAAATTTGGAGGAAACCACGAGGAAATCAACACACTCGTGAATATGTTAATAATGGTACATTCAGAAGTATTGATTCCAATCAAATTTATACAGTTAGATTTCAAACAAGAAAATTAAATATAACATTAGATGAATAGTAAATGAATATTGTAGAGTGGAATTAAATGTTGCGTGATTAAGAGTAGATTTTAAATAAACAAGTTATAAATACACCATTGAATATGGCGAGAAATTTATAGATAATGCCTAATGGAAGTAGCGGGAAAAATTGGCAACGACTGACAGTGATATAATTTATCCGTCTTGGATTAAAAGTTCGTTATAAATTTCACGTAGAATAATAATAAAAAAGTTTATAAAATGTTATCTTTATAATTGATTCTTTGAAAGTAATCTTTTATCGATTCAATTTTAGCGTCTAAAATTAGTGTCTATGCGATTAAATAAAGGTGTTTTTTTTTTTTTTTTCTTTCCTTAAGATAAATACTATTTGAAATGAAAGTAAGAGAACGTTCTTATAATATTCTAGAGTTAACGAGATTCCATATATTTAGTTTAAAAAAAAAAATCCAGCAAAGAGTTGTGTAACTTTTCCGGAAAAAATTAAAATTATGTATGGCGCCATCNCTATTTGAAATGAAAGTAAGAGAACGTTCTTATAATATTCTAGAGTTAACGAGATTCCATATATTTAGTTTAAAAAAAAAATCCAGCAAAGAGTTGTGTAACTTTTCCGGAAAAAATTAAAATTATGTATGGCGCCATCTGTTACGATATTTTATTATTAAATGCTAAAAAGACAAGCTTAATTTTCAGGATAGAGATGAGTTTTTTAAAAGAAAAATGTTGTAAATGCTAATAATGAATAAAATCTTTATTAAGTCCGGTGAACACTGGTGGTTGGTTGGACGTGGGTTCGCGTCTAACCAACTGGCTGTCCACGTGGATTTTTCCGGGTTTTCTTTACATGCCCGACACCTAAATTGGGGGCCAGTTTCCGATAGAGGTATCTCCTCCAAGTTACATTTCCACATACACCAAATAAACCAAATTTCTAGCTCGGATTCGAACCAGAACACCCTCAAAGCGTTAGGTGGACACCTTAACTACTCTGTTGTGTATAATTTTTAATGGGTTATCTCATATTATTCTCCCTTTTTATTGCTTTCTCGGATTATAAATACGTTTATCTTCAAGGTTTTCTTATTGTTTCTTGTCTATCCAACACTGTAATCACTGTTAAGTAAAGATTTCGAATGTATTTACATTGGCATGTCTTTCAGGTTTAAATGTGCATGTTATCAGTTATAGCTGAAAATATTTTATCTTATTATCATTTTAATAAAACATTCCGATTGTTTTCTTTTATTTCCCTATTTCGGTAAATTAAGGGATAATTAGGGAAATTTCTGTTCGTTTCGGGGATTTTTTTTTTAAATTTGACTGGCAGCAGCGCTAATCGCGCCGCACTGCGGTCGTAATTTGTATCATTCAGAATTGTATTTTCTGTTGTTTAAAAAAGTTTTTCCCCCCTTTAAGAATCTCTTATGACATTTATATTTAAAATTGGAACATTATACAGCTTATCGTTGTTCTTACAAGAAAACGCCTTAAAGTATTGGCAAATGTGATGTTTTTCGGTAGGGAAATCCATTCTATACACCTGCTATACAACAAATCTTCATGCCCGGCGGAGGCTTGGAACGTATTTATTTGCCTTTTTTTCGGCTGTTATCCTTCTTCGATAGATGTTTTTAAATGCCGTGGTTTTATATTCGAGTTAATAATACTTTTTAAATTATATTTTATCTACTTTTACCCCCGATGAAATGTGTTTCGGGAGAGACGTTAAAATTCAAATCGAATTTAATGCTGACGTCATTAGGAGATATAAAAAACGACCGCCAGGTGGATTATACATTTTGAATTCCGGTTTCCGGAAGTGGTTTTGACGTCATTGTCAAGCACGTTGTTTCAGAAAACAAGTGTCGAGGGCTCTTCTATTTGATTGTTTTTATTATTATTATTATTATGTTGTTATTTTAAATGCTAATTTATTCTTTATACAAACAGCTGCGTTATTTGCAAAGGGAATATATACGTTATTTGAATAGTTTTTATGTTGTATTTATAAATGTATGGCATCTAGGACAGAAGATTTAGCCTAATTCTTTCTTATTTTCAACTATAAAATGTTTTTAAAACGTTAAACAACAATAAAATACAGATGGTTTTTGTACGCTTTACATTATACACTTTTATTATTATTACCTTCTATGGGTGGAAGGTTGATAGACGTGCAGCTCTGAATGAAGGCAACAGAGCTGTAGATCATACCCGTAAAATTGTTAAAGGAACCAATGGTGTACACTCGACCCTTTGCAAGATATAACCCATCAAAATCAGCCTATCCAGAATTTGAAAGGTCCTCAAAAATAGGGTAGAATTTGAAAGTGAAAAGAGCGGGAACTATCTCTCAAAATTGCTAAAAACTGACTGTTTTCTACTCTTCTACAGATGGCTTGAAAGCTCATAACACACAAGAAATAACATTACTTCTGCTGTATATCTACATACTACATACATACGTAGGCCATCTGTTCCTTTGACAATTTTATTCTTTTGGACATGGTCAGCTCTGATAAGGTCCTGACTGCCTCATTCAGAGATGCATTTATACCATTACTATAAGTAAAATGCAGTATACTTATTAATTAGCTAATACTAATGACATCTGATTAAATTCAGTTAAACTGTATCAAGAAAGTTTTTAAGATATTTATTTGTTTATTGAAATTTTAAGATCTTACTCGAGTAATTGTAGATTTGAAACATAAATATCATATAAATTTGTATGGGACAGAGATAGAGGGAATCACTTTTACCTATTTTGTTTTTTTTGTTTTTTTTTTTGAATTAATGAAACACACAGAGTAAAAATTAAATTAATTTGCAGGGATAAAAAGTCATTAAGTTTTCTCAAGACCCAAGGAAGAAATTTCCAGCTTCCCCCTTCAACGGCCCCGTCCAACCTGAAATACGGTGAAATAGAACCTATAAAAGTTAAGCTCTTCTGCATATTCATATTAATATCAGCCCTCAGTAGAGTGTGTGTTTTATAGCCGCTACTCCACCCAAATTTTTTTATTTACATATTTAAATATTCTAAATTTACATATTTAGGCAAGGAAAAGCCTATAAAAGATAGTCACCTCTGTCTTACAAGCTTGTTTTTCTGGAATATGCATTATGAGTACTCTAAAATTTGTAGTTTTGTCTTCTATTTACAAATGATGAAACTGATTCATGCTGCTGCAATATTTTTGTTGTTATTGGATTTTCTATTGTTCAAGCAATTTGAAAGTTTCTCATAAAACTTCGCCGCTTAGCACTTGGCAACTGGCATAATCTGGGAGGTACGGCTAGTCCAATTTCGACCTATTTAGTGTAAGTCAGACTGAAAATGGATGTGGGATAGAAAATGAAGTTGTGACCCAAATTATTTATGAGATTTGAATCCAAATACAAGAGAATAAACCTTATTAAATGGAAACTTTGCTAATTTATGCATGTTCTTTAATTAAGTTTTAAATGTATTGTAAAGGGAATTTTTAAGCAAGAAACTTTGAAATATTTTTTTTTAAATTAGTAAATATATCACGTTAAATATTTATAGAATCTTTGAAGATTTATTAGCTACATCTTTACACATTTGACATATAAATACAGTAACAAGATGATTATAATTTATAGATACGAGACAGTGCTAATTATAAATGTATTACACAGATTACTTTAGATTGATGATCTGTTTGATAAATATGCAACAAAATATATATATTTTTGGCAGCATTTTCAATGTGGGAGACTCTATAAAAATTTTTTTTGTTTGAACAGTAGCTCTGTTATTTGCATTATATAATATTGAAGTGCTACTCTTTTTAATGGCTCCTCTTTAGAGTACTTGTAATGAGCAGTAACTAATGGCAAAAGTTTGTACTTTTTCACATTTTAAAGTTAAATTCTAATCTATTGCATCAAAAGTAGAATTTTTAGGATTAGGTGGAGTAGCGGCTATAAAGATGCACTCTGCTGAGTGCTGATATTAATACGAATACGCAGAAGAGTGTAACTTTTATAGGTTCTATTCCACCTGTATTTCAGGTTGGACAGGGCCATCGAAGGGAGAAGCTGGGGATTTTTTCCTTGGGTCTTGAGAAAACTTAGTGGCCTTTTGTGGTTTCATTTTTTAAAGAAATGGTAATTATATCGGGTAATATTATCAAAATTTATTTATTTAGAAGGCAGATGAAAACAGATAAATTCTCTGTCTGTACTTAGAATTATTTTATTCACAGTGTAGTAAAGATTTTATTTATCAAATACTCAAAGGAAATGTATAGAATTCTACTATGTTTTCTTTATTTACTACTAAAAAAATGTAAAAATAGTCTCCTAATACATTTTAGATTAAATTTAGAATTACAGGATGTATTATTATTCATTTGTTTTCTTATAATGAATAATTTTCTATAAATTTAGTCTAATTATTTGATGACTGACTTTATCCTAGAGTTGGAAAAATAGTGTTTATTATACAAAACCTTAGTTTTTTATATTTTAAATGATTTTCCTCGTGTCGAATATAAAATTATTTATTACAAAAATTAAAATAAATATTTATGTTTTTTTCAATGTTTATGGGCTACATTTAAAAAAAAAAAATTACAGATCTATAAATTCCCTCCATCTGTCTGTTTGTCCTTCCTTACTCTTGAGAATGGAGTTAGACAGATGAAAGACAAGAACACAGTCGGAAAGCTTAGGGCACACGTCCTTGTTGTATACTGAACAATTTTTGTAATGTTTAAAACTTGTAAAATATTTGATTTAGACAGTTTAGTCCTTATGATGGTTAACTGGCTTTTGGGACAATTTTTTTTTAATTTCAGAAATATTTAGACATGTTTTGACTAAATACAGTTTCATTGACAAATGCAATTACTGTACAGAGAAAACTACAATTGTATTAATATATTAGTTAAAAAGAAAACTTCTCAAATGTAAATTGAATCCAAGCTGTTTTTGTTTTAGTGGTATACAATAGAAACTTTTAAAAAACTCTACAGATTTTAGGGTGTACGCCCTTCATCAGGAGTTAATAAAACAAATAAGGTCACAAAATACTAGGCACTACTAACCACTTCCTTGAGACTGGTCTAACATCATTTCTCCCATTAATCACCAACTACAGGTGTACGGCTCAAATGTACTACAGTTTTCTAAAGTTTTCACCTTTTGAAATAGGATTAATCATATTTTAAATGAAGTGGTTTCCGGTAGGATCGATTCTTATTCGAGAAATCAAAAAATGAAAAGCAGGAAAGCCAACTTTTCATATGGAATTTCATATAAACCCAGTAAATCATAAAAGCACTTATTTTTTATTAATTCATAAAATATTATTATAAGTAAGGGGTAAATAAATTTAATATAAATGTATTGTTTGTATTTTTAACAAATAATCTGTATATTGTTTTTAAAATATTAGTAGAATAACTTGTTAAAAGTGCAGCTCCGAATGAGGTTTTTATCAGGTGCTGTAGCCACGTCCGTAGGAGTCAAAGGAACCGACGACTCTTTGGGAGATGCAGCACCATTGAAATTAACCCGTCCAGAATTTTGAAAGCCCTAAAATACGGGGTAAAATTTAAAAGTGAAAAAATCCAGAACTATTTTTGAAAACAATGCTAAAAATTGACTGTTTTCCTGTTTACTAGAGACGACTATAAGCTCATAAAGCACGAGGAACACCATTGCGTCGACTACTTCCGGGCTTCGATTGGAGTCACACCATTCACTTTGTTAAGCTTATTGAAAGCTTAAAAAGCAGCCCAAAAACCTTTGGAGGCAAATATTGCAAGGGTTACAGTTAGAGATATGGTTCTTTTGTTGTTTACAGTAATCTAGGGAGAGTCTAAAACTGGATCCAAATCCCTCATTCAGAACTGCAATTTTACTCCACAATTGATTATTTTTATATTTAAACATAATGCAATTATTTATTTTGTTAGCAAATTTGCAGTAATTTTGTTTTTTTTATTGAACAGTTCAAGTAACTTACCAAAATCACAGTTTTTTTTTATATATATATATTATAAAGTAATCTTTTAAGTAAAATGAATTCTTTTACTCTCCATTTTTAAGTACTTTTTCCGAAATATTAATGAAAGGAAATCAACAATACGTCATTAAAATAGAAATTTTTATCAAAAATTCATAATAATGTTTCATGCGGATCAATAAACCGATATCGGTCAACATCTCACAGGAAATTCAAGGGAAATGAAAGCTTCGGTTGTTAAATTGAAGAAGGCCGTTCTAAATAATTGATTCCTTCTGCTCGGCTATCCGAGAAAGTGAATAATAATGGTTCTCTGCCGATACTTTTAACTTAATCACAAAGTGGCATTCTGGCATTCCTTAGAGAAGAAAAATTGCCTTTCAAAATTTCATTAAATCATGTTTAGGGTCACAATTTTAAAATAATCATAAAATTAAATTCTTATACTTATCTTATTATATGTAACTAAGATTCATAGTCAAATAATATGCTTTTTTGCTGTAATTAACAATTAACAATACAAAAACTTCGTTCTGAATTTAAATTTATTGTTATTTGGGAAGCATTTAATGATTACTGGCAGCCTGAAAGAAAAAAATCTTTGCTTGTCTTTCAGTTACATGTCAAGTTATGTTCGAAAGAGATAATAATTTCTTTTTTGCAAAACTCTGTTCCGACGCGGTAACATACGATGATGTATATCTGACTCTGTGTGATAAAAAAGCTTCGTCCGATAAACTGTTCGATGCGATATTCAAAAATTGTCGAAACGAAGTCGAAAACTTTTGTAATCTCGATACGTCCGCATTGGAAAATTTCGAGGATTCAATCGAAGATAGAGACAAGTCGAGAAGGAAGTTGAGGGACTGCCTGCAAAAACTCTCCCAGAAGACTTACGATACACAATATTTCAAGAAATTATTCAAGAAAATTAATTACGACAGTAAGAAATTATCCTTTGGAATATAGAAATGTATCCATTAATTAATTTGGTTCTTGCATACTAACATAATTACCATATTTTTGTGCATGTAACCTGCAGAATATACTCCATACCTAGAGGAGTAGGCATTGTTTCGTAGGTGGAAATTTGTGATTGCAACTTAAACCAGCATGTAATCCACTTCTTTCGAGTCATCAACACGGATAACCTGCCAGTTATATGCACGAAAATATGGTAATATGATTACGTACACTAACAGCATGAATCATTACAATGCAATTAACAATACTAACTAAACTCTAATTTTTATTTTAAAAGAAGTGCATCATGTTGCATCGGAGAGTTCCTTTGAGTTGATTGATTGCTTGATTGTCGAGGCTCTAATGTTCCCTTCATTGATTTGGTTAAGCTGTTTCAGTAAGTTGTAATTGTAATTGAAGCATTTATCTTAATTAAGAATTAATTATTGTATTTGTGATATTTTATGTATTATTACCTTAAAAATTTAGAGCAAAAATTGTTGCCAAATCTTACAATTAAGCCTTGCAGGCTCAAACAACGATATTCAAAATTCAGATTTGTAGTGTTATAGATGCACATTAAAGAAAATTAGATGACAATTTAAATCTAATTATCAAGAAAGTTTAAATATAAAGAATATTCCTTATTCTTAAGACTATTCTATGAATTATATTCTCGATTTTCCTTACAAAGATTGCTCAAATAATTATGTGAAACTGTAACAATTTCTTTTTCGATATTCGATTTTCCACTTTGCAGCACATTGAATATAGATTTGCTAATTATGCAATTTACATAACTAACTCTAGTTTTGTGTGTTGGTGTTTTAACAAGTTTTTAACAAAACTAAATAAGTACTTATTTTAATTTTCGATGGGATTAACAAATAATCTTAATCTTGTTTCAGAATATTCTCAAGGCGACAGACCTCCTCACTTGCATCCGGGGACCACCGGACATTCGAGATCTCCGGAGAAAGGCGTCAGGGGGACCAGACACGCGGAAAGGATGAGAGAAGGAAGGGTTCGTATTTCGTAAACTGAAGTTTTTAATTTTTTCGCTTCCCAAATAGTCACTTTAATAAGTTTGTTTTGTAATTACTATCTTTGCATCTGTTATTAGCCGAAACTCCGTAACCTCGACAAAAATAGCAAGGACAAATAAAACTTAGATGAGCTTATTAAGCAAACTTAAATAGATGCCTTTATACACAGTCAAAACTTTATTACGGTACAATATATATTATAAATTAATTTTTCAATTATATCAACTCAAATCGGGTTAAATTATTTACATATTTGAAATATTATAATTATTATTAACAAATGTGTGTCATATTAAATGTATTGATAAATTTAAATTTAATTTTTAGTTTTTTTTTATAGTTTATCAGATGATCTGAGATGATTATTTTGAGTTTATTGTAATTACAGTACATATACTTGATTCAGATTACAGGTCTACATGTAATAAACTCATACATATAATACATAAAATACACTAATATATATAAACTCATATATTAAACACTCAAATAAACTCATAAACTAGGTAAAAATGAGCATCTCATAATGCTCTTTGCTTAGTCTGTTTTTTAATAAAATGTCTGTTGTTTTCATGGTTATTTATTTTAATATTTTTAACAAAACTTGGAAGTTTACTTACATAAAAGTTTCTAATGAACAAATGAATTTGCCTTCAGTTGTACATATGATTAACATTGTTACCAAAATTTATAATGTTTATAATTTACATATTAAATGAATTTTTACGTATCTAAGTTTGATTGTGAACTTTGAAAAAATTTTCGAGTTGTGTTACTTAAATTCTTTCCTATAAAGTATTGTATAATATTTTTATTATTTATATACCTTTGATTCATTAAAAAATTTATACCATTACGAAACATGAGGGAAAGTTTAACTGATAATTCTCTATTTAAATTATAATAATATGCAAGCAGTTTGAGATTAATACATATTCAAATATTAAGAAATTAAGTTTAGTATGAGTTATGAATTGATGTAAATCTGAGAAAACAATAAAAAATCCTTCTAAACAACACCATTAAAGAATTTCAAAACAATAATAAACATATTTTTGTATGCAAATTTAAAATATCTACATTTCTGCATTTACACGTGTAGATCATCAATTTTTTTTCAATTATGTATGTAAAATTTTGCTTTTTTTTAAATTCTGTCTTTATTTTAGCCTCTAATAAACAGCTAATAAATTGTATTTTAAAAGATTTACTAAGTATTTTTAATATTTTGGAACCAATTACATGACTTTATACATTATAATCACTTCAAACACCACAACAGTTTTCATCGAATGCATTACATATACTAGTCGCAAGCTGCTCGCATCGTAAAAATGATTAACGATAATTACCAACTTATTAAAAGCAGTTGTGGATATGCCATTTATTTCTTAGTTAATATTGCAAATATGGCAGAAAGTCATTTATTTACATTTTTGTCCTGGTTCGGTAGAAGTTCTCGAGCTTCCATTTTCTGTCTATAAATATGATCGTTTATACTTAAACTCAAATGTTTCAATAAAGATAAATTGAATATTATAATATTCATTACAAGCATAGCTTTGTAAGTATTGACTAATCTATGACAGTTATATTAACTCATCGGAACAGATAACATTTGTATGTGAATAGAGAGAACTGTAGACGAATGCAGACAAATTCGACAAGAACTGCATTGCTTTACATCTAATTTAGGGTAATACAATTGTAGGATTTAGAAATCAAAGCAATAAAAGGAAGTATTTGGTGAAAAAGATACAAATAGCAGTTGGGCATAGGTGGAGAGTGGATGGAAAGTGTTCCAATACCTGGTCAGAGAGATATTTTGGTGTAGAATATGTCAACCTCCAACTGCAACGCAGCACTCACAGCATCAAGGCAGGCTCGTCACCAAAACTTTTTCTAGCTATCACTTCTAGCAGTTGCATTTGTTCTTAAGTATTGCGAAGTGTGCATTATATCCTTATTATATTCTGCTCCTTTTCAGCCCCACTTTACAGATTTCTTTGTATTTACAAATATGCTTTAAAAACAATACTTAAACTGACAGTCTACATTAAAAGCCCTGATTATAAGGCAACTATTAAAAGGGCAGTCCATTATTTAGGTGTACAGTTAAAGGGGAAGGGAGCTGCAAAAAGTACATCTTGTACACAGTGGAGAGAGAGAGGTCTACGCATTTTTTATATGGACTTTTTTAGTGGTGTTAGCAGCATACAAATTTGTTCTTATAAGCCTGTTTATTAGTCTTGCGAATAAACTGTCAGTTTGGAAATATTTGCAGAACATTTTTCTTTCTATGAATTGCACTTCGGTAAAGTAATTTTTATAAATGCTTTCTGAAGAATCGGCTCTTATTCATTTATTTGACTTTTTGACTCGTAAAGCATAAATTGTATAGGCAAAACCTTCATGTAAAATTTATTCGACCTAGTAAGAAAACAAATAAGCGCATTCCATTCTGCCTACTTTGCATACGTTTTGCACAGTAACGCAACTGCATCGCGTCTTAAAAGATATCTGCGGATTTAGCTTTTCATCGTGTTTATTTCTTCAAATATTTTTCTTTAGTCTACAAATTAGATTTGGAAGATTTGCAGTTTTTTTTTTTTTTAATATTTTATTTAAGCCAATTTAATATTTTATACCAGGAGTTTTATTTTTAAAATATGTATATTGTAATTTTATGTATTTAAATTTTTGTGAAAACATCACTGTTTAAATCTTCAAACTTCAGTAGAATGCATATAAATGACAAATGAATTAAACATGTAATATCTGATAATATAAATTTACCGGAGTTTCTAACATCATAAAATATTTATTAGATGAAATGGACTTACTATTAATAATTTATATTCCTGACCGAAATACTCTTACATGAATTGAAATGTTCGATTCGATTGCTTTTATAAAGCGCATTCGCTTTTGACTTTTGTAGTTTGTTGTACCAAAAGTGTTACGTTGGACTCGTATACTTGGTCTTAATTATTTCACGACAGACAAAATCAAATTTGTATAATGATATAAACCACAAAATATTCATAAGTAGAAGACAAATGCAAACTTTGGAGTCTTCTATTTTGGAAGTGAGTAGGATGTTTTAGCAATTTTATATATTTAGGCAATGAAGAGTCTTTGAAAAATGTTTGGCTTTTGCTGCGGATCTCGTATTGCTATGGTGCGAAAGGGACAAATGAATGTAGGAATATTCGGTGGCAGAGAAGCACGTGCACCCTTAGACAAAAATTAAAAATGAATAAATAACATAAACTCTTTTTGAAATATTTTTTTACATAATCATTTTAGGTTTAACTACAGAAAAAATTTTTTTATATACAAATCTATTCCCAATTCCCTCTCGCATTGCTGCTTGGATGTCCTACTAATTATGAAAACATCAAAGTCTATGTTTGTCTTCTAATCTAATAATATAATATCCTGTTTCTGAGCACAGTAACTCTATATGAACCACTTTTTATTGATGGAATGTGTTTAAATTCAAATTTTTCTTAGAACAGTCCATTAAATCTTAACAGTTAAATGATTAACCGTTAATTTATAATAGTTTTTGAGTTTCTGTTCACTTACATTTGAGAAAATAAATTACTTCCGATGCTACGGCTCAACTTGAAATTGACTGGTTTTGTTTCTTTTTCCATCATTTTTGTTCGGTTGCAGCTAATCATCCAATATTTTTTGATAAAAATAAATTTAATTTCATCACGAGTAAGCATTTAATGCGTTTCAGATATTACAACTTAGTTTATTTTTATTCTTTAATATTATAATTACACTCGCTAACAAAGTGCCCATTAGTGGCCGAGTGGATTAAACCACCAAACCTGACTAAAACAAACACTTGGCCAGCTCACCAACAAGCTGGCCATGTGTAGTTTTCTGGATTTGTAACACTTCAATAGGGGCCAGTTTCCCATAGAAAATCTTCCCAAGAGGTATCATTTGCAAATCATATTGTTGTATACAAATATCAAACAAAGATGACTAATAAATTGCATTTATGTAATTTAAATGATCACTGAACTCAAGAAGTCAAGGTATTTACTTTATATTAAATGATTTTTGAATCATAATTGATGCAAATTACTATAGGCTACTGCTCGAATTATGTTCTATTGCTGTTTATTATGACCAATATTCGTCAAGCACCACATTCATATACAGATCTAGCATATTACCTTCACACTTTTTATTTAAAGCGAAGTAACACTGGTGGCTATTTCCAGTTCCTCCATTGCCCTTAAGGTATTATTTTTAAAGTAAGATATGATTATTCATGCTTCTTCCCATCTTGCTTTCATTCTTTTGTTCATAATTAGTTCTTTAGCTCTAGTCAATTAGTCAGTCTTTTTTCTCTGAAATTTANTTTTTTTTTTTGAATTAATGAAACACACAGAGTAAAAATTAAATTAATTTGCAGGGATAAAAAGTCATTAAGTTTTCTCAAGACCCAAGGAAGAAATTTCCAGCTTCCCCCTTCAACGGCCCCGTCCAACCTGAAATACGGTGAAATAGAACCTATAAAAGTTAAGCTCTTCTGCATATTCATATTAATATCAGCCCTCAGTAGAGTGTGTGTTTTATAGCCGCTACTCCACCCAAATTTTTTTATTTACATATTTAAATATTCTAAATTTACATATTTAGGCAAGGAAAAGCCTATAAAAGATAGTCACCTCTGTCTTACAAGCTTGTTTTTCTGGAATATGCATTATGAGTACTCTAAAATTTGTAGTTTTGTCTTCTATTTACAAATGATGAAACTGATTCATGCTGCTGCAATATTTTTGTTATTGGATTTTCTATTGTTCAAGCAATTTGAAAGTTTCTCATAAAACTTCGCCACTTAGCACTTGGCAACTGGCATAATCTGGGATGTACGGCTAGTCCAATTTCGACCTATTTAGTGTAAGTCAGACTGAAAATGGATGTGGGATAGAAAATGAAGTTGTGACCCAAATTATTTATGAGATTTGAATCCAAATACAAGAGAATAAACCTTATTAAATGGAAACTTTGCTAATTTATGCATGTTCTTTAATTAAGTTTTAAATGTATTGTAAAGGGAATTTTTAAGCAAGAAACTTTGAAATATTTTTTTTTAAATTAGTAAATATATCACGTTAAATATTTATAGAATCTTTGAAGATTTATTAGCTACATCTTTACACATTTGACATATAAATACAGTAACAAGATGATTATAATTTATAGATACGAGACAGTGCTAATTATAAATGTATTACACAGATTACTTTAGATTGATGATCTGTTTGATAAATATGCAACAAAATATATATATTTTTGGCAGCATTTTCAATGTGGGAGACTCTATAGAAATTTTTTTTGTTTGAACAGTAGCTCTGTTATTTGCATTATATAATATTGAAGTGCTACTCTTTTTAATGGCTCCTCTTTAGAGTACTTGTAATGAGCAGTAACTAATGGCAAAAGTTTGTACTTTTTCACATTTTAAAGTTAAATTCTAATCTATTGCATCAAAAGTAGAATTTTTAGGATTAGGTGGAGTAGCAGCTATAAAGATGCACTCTGCCGAGTGCTGATATTAATACGAATACGCAGAAGAGTGTAACTTTTATAGGTTCTATTCCACCTGTATTTCAGGTTGGACAGGGCCATCGAAGGGAGAAGCTGGGGATTTTTTCCTTGGGTCTTGAGAAAACTTAGTGGCCTTTTGTGGTTTCATTTTTTAAAGAAATGGTAATTATATCGGGTAATATTATCAAAATTTATTTATTTAGAAGGCAGATGAAAACAGATAAATTCTCTGTCTGTACTTAGAATTATTTTATTCACAGTGTAGTAAAGATTTTATTTATCAAATACTCAAAGGAAATGTATAGAATTCTACTATGTTTTCTTTATTTACTACTAAAAAAATGTAAAAATAGTCTCCTAATACATTTTAGATTAAATTTAGAATTACAGGATGTATTATTATTCATTTGTTTTCTTATAATGAATAATTTTCTATAAATTTAGTCTAATTATTTGATGACTGACTTTATCCTAGAGTTGGAAAAATAGTGTTTATTATACAAAACCTTAGTTTTTTATATTTTAAATGATTTTCCTCGTGTCGAATATAAAATTATTTATTACAAAAATTAAAATAAATATTTATGTTTTTTTCAATGTTTATGGGCTACATTTAAAAAAAAAAAATTACAGATCTATAAATTCCCTCCATCTGTCTGTTTGTCCTTCCTTACTCTTGAGAATGGAGTTAGACAGATGAAAGACAAGAACACAGTCGGAAAGCTTAGGGCACACGTCCTTGTTGTATACTGAACAATTTTTGTAATGTTTAAAACTTGTAAAATATTTGATTTAGACAGTTTAGTCCTTATGATGGTTAACTGGCTTTTGGGACAATTTTTTTTTTATTTCAGAAATATTTAGACATGTTTTGACTAAATACAGTTTCATTGACAAATGCAATTACTGTACAGAGAAAACTACAATTGTATTAATATATTAGTTAAAAAGAAAACTTCTCAAATGTAAATTGAATCCAAGCTGTTTTTGTTTTAGTGGTATACAATAGAAACTTTTAAAAAACTCTACAGATTTTAGGGTGTACGCCCTTCATCAGGAGTTAATAAAACAAATAAGGTCACAAAATACTAGGCACTACTAACCACTTCCTTGAGACTGGTCTAACATCATTTCTCCCATTAATCACCAACTACAGGTGTACGGCTCAAATGTACTACAGTTTTCTAAAGTTTTCACCTTTTGAAATAGGATTAATCATATTTTAAATGAAGTGGTTTCCGGTAGGATCGATTCTTATTCGAGAAATCAAAAAATGAAAAGCAGGAAAGCCAACTTTTCATATGGAATTTCATATAAACCCAGTAAATCATAAAAGCACTTATTTTTTATTAATTCATAAAATATTATTATAAGTAAGGGGTAAATAAATTTAATATAAATGTATTGTTTGTATTTTTAACAAATAATCTGTATATTGTTTTTAAAATATTAGTAGAATAACTTGTTAAAAGTGCAGCTCCGAATGAGGTTTTTATCAGGTGCTGTAGCCACGTCCGTAGGAGTCAAAGGAACCGACGACTCTTTGGGAGATGCAGCACCATTGAAATTAACCCGTCCAGAATTTTGAAAGCCCTAAAATACGGGGTAAAATTTAAAAGTGAAAAAATCCAGAGCTATTTTTGAAAACAATGCTAAAAATTGACTGTTTTCCTGTTTACTAGAGACGACTATAAGCTCATAAAGCACGAGGAACACCATTGCGTCGACTACTTCCGGGCTTCGATTGGAGTCACACCATTCACTTTGTTAAGCTTATTGAAAGCTTAAAAAGCAGCCCAAAAACCTTTGGAGGCAAATATTGCAAGGGTTACAGTTAGAGATATGGTTCCTTTGTTGTTTACAGTAATCTAGGGAGAGTCTAAAACTGGATCCAAATCCCTCATTCAGAACTGCAATTTTACTCCACAATTGATTATTTTTATATTTAAACATAATGCAATTATTTATTTTGTTAGCAAATTTGCAGTAATTTTGTTTTTTTTATTGAACAGTTCAAGTAACTTACCAAAATCACAGTTTTTTTTTATATATATATATTATAAAGTAATCTTTTAAGTAAAATGAATTCTTTTACTCTCCATTTTTAAGTACTTTTTCCGAAATATTAATGAAAGGAAATCAACAATACGTCATTAAAATAGAAATTTTTATCAAAAATTCATAATAATGTTTCATGCGGATCAATAAACCGATATCGGTCAACATCTCACAGGAAATTCAAGGGAAATGAAAGCTTCGGTTGTTAAATTGAAGAAGGCCGTTCTAAATAATTGATTCCTTCTGCTCGGCTATCCGAGAAAGTGAATAATAATGGTTCTCTGCCGATACTTTTAACTTAATCACAAAGTGGCATTCTGGCATTCCTTAGAGAAGAAAAATTGCCTTTCAAAATTTCATTAAATCATGTTTAGGGTCACAATTTTAAAATAATCATAAAATTAAATTCTTATACTTATCTTATTATATGTAACTAAGATTCATAGTCAAATAATATGCTTTTTTGCTGTAATTAACAATTAACAATACAAAAACTTCGTTCTGAATTTAAATTTATTGTTATTTGGGAAGCATTTAATGATTACTGGCAGCCTGAAAGAAAAAAATCTTTGCTTGTCTTTCAGTTACATGTCAAGTTATGTTCGAAAGAGATAATAATTTCTTTTTTGCAAAACTCTGTTCCGACGCGGTAACATACGATGATGTATATCTGACTCTGTGTGATAAAAAAGCTTCGTCCGATAAACTGTTCGATGCGATATTCAAAAATTGTCGAAACGAAGTCGAAAACTTTTGTAATCTCGATACGTCCGCATTGGAAAATTTCGAGGATTCAATCGAAGATAGAGACAAGTCGAGAAGGAAGTTGAGGGACTGCCTGCAAAAACTCTCCCAGAAGACTTACGATACACAATATTTCAAGAAATTATTCAAGAAAATTAATTACGACAGTAAGAAATTATCCTTTGGAATATAGAAATGTATCCATTAATTAATTTGGTTCTTGCATACTAACATAATTACCATATTTTTGTGCATGTAACCTGCAGAATATACTCCATACCTAGAGGAGTAGGCATTGTTTCGTAGGTGGAAATTTGTGATTGCAACTTAAACCAGCATGTAATCCACTTCTTTCGAGTCATCAACACGGATAACCTGCCAGTTATATGCACGAAAATATGGTAATATGATTACGTACACTAACAGCATGAATCATTACAATGCAATTAACAATACTAACTAAACTCTAATTTTTATTTTAAAAGAAGTGCATCATGTTGCATCGGAGAGTTCCTTTGAGTTGATTGATTGCTTGATTGTCGAGGCTCTAATGTTCCCTTCATTGATTTGGTTAAGCTGTTTCAGTAAGTTGTAATTGTAATTGAAGCATTTATCTTAATTAAGAATTAATTATTGTATTTGTGATATTTTATGTATTATTACCTTAAAAATTTAGAGCAAAAATTGTTGCCAAATCTTACAATTAAGCCTTGCAGGCTCAAACAACGATATTCAAAATTCAGATTTGTAGTGTTATAGATGCACATTAAAGAAAATTAGATGACAATTTAAATCTAATTATCAAGAAAGTTTAAATATAAAGAATATTCCTTATTCTTAAGACTATTCTATGAATTATATTCTCGATTTTCCTTACAAAGATTGCTCAAATAATTATGTGAAACTGTAACAATTTCTTTTTCGATATTCGATTTTCCACTTTGCAGCACATTGAATATAGATTTGCTAATTATGCAATTTACATAACTAACTCTAGTTTTGTGTGTTGGTGTTTTAACAAGTTTTTAACAAAACTAAATAAGTACTTATTTTAATTTTCGATGGGATTAACAAATAATCTTAATCTTGTTTCAGAATATTCTCAAGGCGACAGACCTCCTCACTTGCATCCGGGGACCACCGGACATTCGAGATCTCCGGAGAAAGGCGTCAGGGGGACCAGACACGCGGAAAGGATGAGAGAAGGAAGGGTTCGTATTTCGTAAACTGAAGTTTTTAATTTTTTCGCTTCCCAAATAGTCACTTTAATAAGTTTGTTTTGTAATTACTATCTTTGCATCTGTTATTAGCCGAAACTCCGTAACCTCGACAAAAATAGCAAGGACAAATAAAACTTAGATGAGCTTATTAAGCAAACTTAAATAGATGCCTTTATACACAGTCAAAACTTTATTACGGTACAATATATATTATAAATTAATTTTTCAATTATATCAACTCAAATCGGGTTAAATTATTTACATATTTGAAATATTATAATTATTATTAACAAATGTGTGTCATATTAAATGTATTGATAAATTTAAATTTAATTTTTAGTTTTTTTTTATAGTTTATCAGATGATCTGAGATGATTATTTTGAGTTTATTGTAATTACAGTACATATACTTGATTCAGATTACAGGTCTACATGTAATAAACTCATACATATAATACATAAAATACACTAATATATATAAACTCATATATTAAACACTCAAATAAACTCATAAACTAGGTAAAAATGAGCATCTCATAATGCTCTTTGCTTAGTCTGTTTTTTAATAAAATGTCTGTTGTTTTCATGGTTATTTATTTTAATATTTTTAACAAAACTTGGAAGTTTACTTACATAAAAGTTTCTAATGAACAAATGAATTTGCCTTCAGTTGTACATATGATTAACATTGTTACCAAAATTTATAATGTTTATAATTTACATATTAAATGAATTTTTACGTATCTAAGTTTGATTGTGAACTTTGAAAAAATTTTCGAGTTGTGTTACTTAAATTCTTTCCTATAAAGTATTGTATAATATTTTTATTATTTATATACCTTTGATTCATTAAAAAATTTATACCATTACGAAACATGAGGGAAAGTTTAACTGATAATTCTCTATTTAAATTATAATAATATGCAAGCAGTTTGAGATTAATACATATTCAAATATTAAGAAATTAAGTTTAGTATGAGTTATGAATTGATGTAAATCTGAGAAAACAATAAAAAATCCTTCTAAACAACACCATTAAAGAATTTCAAAACAATAATAAACATATTTTTGTATGCAAATTTAAAATATCTACATTTCTGCATTTACACGTGTAGATCATCAATTTTTTTTCAATTATGTATGTAAAATTTTGCTTTTTTTTAAATTCTGTCTTTATTTTAGCCTCTAATAAACAGCTAATAAATTGTATTTTAAAAGATTTACTAAGTATTTTTAATATTTTGGAACCAATTACATGACTTTATACATTATAATCACTTCAAACACCACAACAGTTTTCATCGAATGCATTACATATACTAGTCGCAAGCTGCTCGCATCGTAAAAATGATTAACGATAATTACCAACTTATTAAAAGCAGTTGTGGATATGCCATTTATTTCTTAGTTAATATTGCAAATATGGCAGAAAGTCATTTATTTACATTTTTGTCCTGGTTCGGTAGAAGTTCTCGAGCTTCCATTTTCTGTCTATAAATATGATCGTTTATACTTAAACTCAAATGTTTCAATAAAGATAAATTGAATATTATAATATTCATTACAAGCATAGCTTTGTAAGTATTGACTAATCTATGACAGTTATATTAACTCATCGGAACAGATAACATTTGTATGTGAATAGAGAGAACTGTAGACGAATGCAGACAAATTCGACAAGAACTGCATTGCTTTACATCTAATTTAGGGTAATACAATTGTAGGATTTAGAAATCAAAGCAATAAAAGGAAGTATTTGGTGAAAAAGATACAAATAGCAGTTGGGCATAGGTGGAGAGTGGATGGAAAGTGTTCCAATACCTGGTCAGAGAGATATTTTGGTGTAGAATATGTCAACCTCCAACTGCAACGCAGCACTCACAGCATCAAGGCAGGCTCGTCACCAAAACTTTTTCTAGCTATCACTTCTAGCAGTTGCATTTGTTCTTAAGTATTGCGAAGTGTGCATTATATCCTTATTATATTCTGCTCCTTTTCAGCCCCACTTTACAGATTTCTTTGTATTTACAAATATGCTTTAAAAACAATACTTAAACTGACAGTCTACATTAAAAGCCCTGATTATAAGGCAACTATTAAAAGGGCAGTCCATTATTTAGGTGTACAGTTAAAGGGGAAGGGAGCTGCAAAAAGTACATCTTGTACACAGTGGAGAGAGAGAGGTCTACGCATTTTTTATATGGACTTTTTTAGTGGTGTTAGCAGCATACAAATTTGTTCTTATAAGCCTGTTTATTAGTCTTGCGAATAAACTGTCAGTTTGGAAATATTTGCAGAACATTTTTCTTTCTATGAATTGCACTTCGGTAAAGTAATTTTTATAAATGCTTTCTGAAGAATCGGCTCTTATTCATTTATTTGACTTTTTGACTCGTAAAGCATAAATTGTATAGGCAAAACCTTCATGTAAAATTTATTCGACCTAGTAAGAAAACAAATAAGCGCATTCCATTCTGCCTACTTTGCATACGTTTTGCACAGTAACGCAACTGCATCGCGTCTTAAAAGATATCTGCGGATTTAGCTTTTCATCGTGTTTATTTCTTCAAATATTTTTCTTTAGTCTACAAATTAGATTTGGAAGATTTGCAGTTTTTTTTTTTTTTAATATTTTATTTAAGCCAATTTAATATTTTATACCAGGAGTTTTATTTTTAAAATATGTATATTGTAATTTTATGTATTTAAATTTTTGTGAAAACATCACTGTTTAAATCTTCAAACTTCAGTAGAATGCATATAAATGACAAATGAATTAAACATGTAATATCTGATAATATAAATTTACCGGAGTTTCTAACATCATAAAATATTTATTAGATGAAATGGACTTACTATTAATAATTTATATTCCTGACCGAAATACTCTTACATGAATTGAAATGTTCGATTCGATTGCTTTTATAAAGCGCATTCGCTTTTGACTTTTGTAGTTTGTTGTACCAAAAGTGTTACGTTGGACTCGTATACTTGGTCTTAATTATTTCACGACAGACAAAATCAAATTTGTATAATGATATAAACCACAAAATATTCATAAGTAGAAGACAAATGCAAACTTTGGAGTCTTCTATTTTGGAAGTGAGTAGGATGTTTTAGCAATTTTATATATTTAGGCAATGAAGAGTCTTTGAAAAATGTTTGGCTTTTGCTGCGGATCTCGTATTGCTATGGTGCGAAAAGGACAAATGAATGTAGGAATATTCGGCGGCAGAGAAGCACGTGCACCCTTAGACAAAAATTAAAAATGAATAAATAACATAAACTCTTTTTGAAATATTTTTTTACATAATCATTTTAGGTTTAACTACAGAAAAAATTTTTTTATATACAAATCTATTCCCAATTCCCTCTCGCATTGCTGCTTGGATGTCCTACTAATTATGAAAACATCAAAGTCTATGTTTGTCTTCTAATCTAATAATATAATATCCTGTTTCTGAGCACAGTAACTCTATATGAACCACTTTTTATTGATGGAATGTGTTTAAATTCAAATTTTTCTTAGAACAGTCCATTAAATCTTAACAGTTAAATGATTAACCGTTAATTTATAATAGTTTTTGAGTTTCTGTTCACTTACATTTGAGAAAATAAATTACTTCCGATGCTACGGCTCAACTTGAAATTGACTGGTTTTGTTTCTTTTTCCATCATTTTTGTTCGGTTGCAGCTAATCATCCAATATTTTTTGATAAAAATAAATTTAATTTCATCACGAGTAAGCATTTAATGCGTTTCAGATATTACAACTTAGTTTATTTTTATTCTTTAATATTATAATTACACTCGCTAACAAAGTGCCCATTAGTGGCCGAGTGGATTAAACCACCAAACCTGACTAAAACAAACACTTGGCCAGCTCACCAACAAGCTGGCCATGTGTAGTTTTCTGGATTTGTAACACTTCAATAGGGGCCAGTTTCCCATAGAAAATCTTCCCAGGAGATATCATTTGCAAATCATATTGTTGTATACAAATATCAAACAAAGATGACTAATAAATTGCATTTATGTAATTTAAATGATCACTGAACTCAAGAAGTCAAGGTATTTACTTTATATTAAATGATTTTTGAATCATAATTGATGCAAATTACTATAGGCTACTGCTCGAATTATGTTCTATTGCTGTTTATTATGACCAATATTCGTCAAGCACCACATTCATATACAGATCTAGCATATTACCTTCACACTTTTTATTTAAAGCGAAGTAACACTGGTGGCTATTTCCAGTTCCTCCATTGCCCTTAAGGTATTATTTTTAAAGTAAGATATGATTATTCATGCTTCTTCCCATCTTGCTTTCATTCTTTTGTTCATAATTAGTTCTTTAGCTCTAGTCAATTAGTCAGTCTTTTTTCTCTGAAATTTATATGTATCTTTCAGCTGTATTGCCATATCGCTGATTATGCAGCATGTGTAGCCTATATAGCACTTCATGTCACCTGTGTTGTCAAGTTCAACTGGGATGCTGCACTCACCTCTCCTTTCATTCTCTGATACCAGTTCCTTCGTATTCTTGATCCTATTGGTTTTCTGTAAACTAATTTAATAAACTTGAGGTAAATAACTCACTAGAAAATTATCAAAAATCACTAGTATATCATGCTTTTGCAGTGTTACTATATCTATAAAGTTTAAACAGAGCTTTGCAAACTTACCAGCAACAGGAAATCCTGTTGAGGTATTTCTTGATTGGCTGTATGAATTGTGGCAAGTAAATTAAGCAGCATATGCACCAGTTCTGGCATAATCTTGTTCCACTTCTTTTTGAAGACTTCATAAAGCACCTGATGGTCAGATAGTATGTTGCCTCTAGTCTGAATGAAGGATATGGACTTCTGTAATCCAGAATTGTAAATGTGCTACACCATTCGGTCTTTAACTCCCTCGGTTTCTTAATCACTTCTTCTGGGTTCTTAATGACATATAGAGCTTTGATCAAATTGGTTCTTATAGAAATCAGCCAATCTTTCATCTATTCTAATTGCAGGTAGCCACTTAATCACTGGTTTTTATCACAGGTCAAATTGTTTTTGATTTAGAGCTCAAAGGATTATATGATGATAGATTTAAATTTAAACAATAAAATCAATAGTTTAAGTGGAAACAACCCATAAGAAATTCCANCTTTTCATATGGAATTTCATATAAACCCAGTAAATCATAAAAGCACTTATTTTTTATTAATTCATAAAATATTATTATAAGTAAGGGGTAAATAAATTTAATATAAATGTATTGTTTGTATTTTTAACAAATAATCTGTATATTGTTTTTAAAATATTAGTAGAATAACTTGTTAAAAGTGCAGCTCCGAATGAGGTTTTTATCAGGTGCTGTAGCCACGTCCGTAGGAGTCAAAGGAACCGACGACTCTTTGGGAGATGCAGCACCATTGAAATTAACCCGTCCAGAATTTTGAAAGCCCTAAAATACGGGGTAAAATTTAAAAGTGAAAAAATCCAGAGCTATTTTTGAAAACAATGCTAAAAATTGACTGTTTTCCTGTTTACTAGAGACGACTATAAGCTCATAAAGCACGAGGAACACCATTGCGTCGACTACTTCCGGGCTTCGATTGGAGTCACACCATTCACTTTGTTAAGCTTATTGAAAGCTTAAAAAGCAGCCCAAAAACCTTTGGAGGCAAATATTGCAAGGGTTACAGTTAGAGATATGGTTCTTTTGTTGTTTACAGTAATCTAGGGAGAGTCTAAAACTGGATCCAAATCCCTCATTCAGAACTGCAATTTTACTCCACAATTGATTATTTTTATATTTAAACATAATGCAATTATTTATTTTGTTAGCAAATTTGCAGTAATTTTGTTTTTTTTATTGAACAGTTCAAGTAACTTACCAAAATCACAGTTTTTTTATATATATATATTATAAAGTAATCTTTTAAGTAAAATGAATTCTTTTACTCTCCATTTTTAAGTACTTTTTCCGAAATATTAATGAAAGGAAATCAACAATACGTCATTAAAATAGAAATTTTTATCAAAAATTCATAATAATGTTTCATGCGGATCAATAAACCGATATCGGTCAACATCTCACAGGAAATTCAAGGGAAATGAAAGCTTCGGTTGTTAAATTGAAGAAGGCCGTTCTAAATAATTGATTCCTTCTGCTCGGCTATCCGAGAAAGTGAATAATAATGGTTCTCTGCCGATACTTTTAACTTAATCACAAAGTGGCATTCTGGCATTCCTTAGAGAAGAAAAATTGCCTTTCAAAATTTCATTAAATCATGTTTAGGGTCACAATTTTAAAATAATCATAAAATTAAATTCTTATACTTATCTTATTATATGTAACTAAGATTCGTAGTCAAATAATATGCTTTTTTGCTGTAATTAACAATTAACAATACAAAAACTTCGTTCTGAATTTAAATTTATTGTTATTTGGGAAGCATTTAATGATTACTGGCAGCCTGAAAGAAAAAAATCTTTGCTTGTCTTTCAGTTACATGTCAAGTTATGTTCGAAAGAGATAATAATTTCTTTTTTGCAAAACTCTGTTCCGACGCGGTAACATACGATGATGTATATCTGACTCTGTGTGATAAAAAAGCTTCGTCCGATAAACTGTTCGATGCGATATTCAAAAATTGTCGAAACGAAGTCGAAAACTTTTGTAATCTCGATACGTCCGCATTGGAAAATTTCGAGGATTCAATCGAAGATAGAGACAAGTCGAGAAGGAAGTTGAGGGACTGCCTGCAAAAACTCTCCCAGAAGACTTACGATACACAATATTTCAAGAAATTATTCAAGAAAATTAATTACGACAGTAAGAAATTATCCTTTGGAATATAGAAATGTATCCATTAATTAATTTGGTTCTTGCATACTAACATAATTACCATATTTTTGTGCATGTAACCTGCAGAATATACTCCATACCTAGAGGAGTAGGCATTGTTTCGTAGGTGGAAATTTGTGATTGCAACTTAAACCAGCACGTAATCCACTTCTTTCGAGTCATCAACACGGATAACCTGCCAGTTATATGCACGAAAATATGGTAATATGATTACGTACACTAACAGCATGAATCATTACAATGCAATTAACAATACTAACTAAACTCTAATTTTTATTTTAAAAGAAGTGCATCATGTTGCATCGGAGAGTTCCTTTGAGTTGATTGATTGCTTGATTGTCGAGGCTCTAATGTTCCCTTCATTGATTTGGTTAAGCTGTTTCAGTAAGTTGTAATTGTAATTGAAGCATTTATCTTAATTAAGAATTAATTATTGTATTTGTGATATTTTATGTATTATTACCTTAAAAATTTAGAGCAAAAATTGTTGCCAAATCTTACAATTAAGCCTTGCAGGCTCAAACAACGATATTCAAAATTCAGATTTGTAGTGTTATAGATGCACATTAAAGAAAATTAGATGACAATTTAAATCTAATTATCAAGAAAGTTTAAATATAAAGAATATTCCTTATTCTTAAGACTATTCTAAGAATTATATTCTCGATTTTCCTTACAAAGATTGCTCAAATAATTATGTGAAACTGTAACAATTTCCTTTTCGATATTCGATTTTCCACTTTGCAGCACATTGAATATAGATTTGCTAATTATGCAATTTACATAACTAACTCTAGTTTTGTGTGTTGGTGTTTTAACAAGTTTTTAACAAAACTAAATAAGTACTTATTTTAATTTTCGATGGGATTAACAAATAATCTTAATCTTGTTTCAGAATATTCTCAAGGCGACAGACCTCCTCACTTGCATCCGGGGACCACCGGACATTCGAGATCTCCGGAGAAAGGCGTCAGGGGGACCAGACACGCGGAAAGGATGAGAGAAGGAAGGGTTCGTATTTCGTAAACTGAAGTTTTTAATTTTTTCGCTTCCCAAATAGTCACTTTAATAAGTTTGTTTTGTAATTACTATCTTTGCATCTGTTATTAGCCGAAACTCCGTAACCTCGACAAAAATAGCAAGGACAAATAAAACTTAGATGAGCTTATTAAGCAAACTTAAATAGATGCCTTTATACACAGTCAAAACTTTATTACGGTACAATATATATTATAAATTAATTTTTCAATTATATCAACTCAAATCGGGTTAAATTATTTACATATTTGAAATATTATAATTATTATTAACAAATGTGTGTCATATTAAATGTATTGATAAATTTAAATTTAATTTTTAGTTTTTTTTTATAGTTTATCAGATGATCTGAGATGATTATTTTGAGTTTATTGTAATTACAGTACATATACTTGATTCAGATTACAGGTCTACATGTAATAAACTCATACATATAATACATAAAATACACTAATATATATAAACTCATATATTAAACACTCAAATAAACTCATAAACTAGGTAAAAATGAGCATCTCATAATGCTCTTTGCTTAGTCTGTTTTTTAATAAAATGTCTGTTGTTTTCATGGTTATTTATTTTAATATTTTTAACAAAACTTGGAAGTTTACTTACATAAAAGTTTCTAATGAACAAATGAATTTGCCTTCAGTTGTACATATGATTAACATTGTTACCAAAATTTATAATGTTTATAATTTACATATTAAATGAATTTTTACGTATCTAAGTTTGATTGTGAACTTTGAAAAAATTTTCGAGTTGTGTTACTTAAATTCTTTCCTATAAAGTATTGTATAATATTTTTATTATTTATATACCTTTGATTCATTAAAAAATTTATACCATTACGAAACATGAGGGAAAGTTTAACTGATAATTCTCTATTTAAATTATAATAATATGCAAGCAGTTTGAGATTAATACATATTCAAATATTAAGAAATTAAGTTTAGTATGAGTTATGAATTGATGTAAATCTGAGAAAACAATAAAAAATCCTTCTAAACAACACCATTAAAGAATTTCAAAACAATAATAAACATATTTTTGTATGCAAATTTAAAATATCTACATTTCTGCATTTACACGTGTAGATCATCAATTTTTTTTCAATTATGTATGTAAAATTTTGCTTTTTTTTAAATTCTGTCTTTATTTTAGCCTCTAATAAACAGCTAATAAATTGTATTTTAAAAGATTTACTAAGTATTTTTAATATTTTGGAACCAATTACATGACTTTATACATTATAATCACTTCAAACACCACAACAGTTTTCATCGAATGCATTACATATACTAGTCGCAAGCTGCTCGCATCGTAAAAATGATTAACGATAATTACCAACTTATTAAAAGCAGTTGTGGATATGCCATTTATTTCTTAGTTAATATTGCAAATATGGCAGAAAGTCATTTATTTACATTTTTGTCCTGGTTCGGTAGAAGTTCTCGAGCTTCCATTTTCTGTCTATAAATATGATCGTTTATACTTAAACTCAAATGTTTCAATAAAGATAAATTGAATATTATAATATTCATTACAAGCATAGCTTTGTAAGTATTGACTAATCTATGACAGTTATATTAACTCATCGGAACAGATAACATTTGTATGTGAATAGAGAGAACTGTAGACGAATGCAGACAAATTCGACAAGAACTGCATTGCTTTACATCTAATTTAGGGTAATACAATTGTAGGATTTAGAAATCAAAGCAATAAAAGGAAGTATTTGGTGAAAAAGATACAAATAGCAGTTGGGCATAGGTGGAGAGTGGATGGAAAGTGTTCCAATACCTGGTCAGAGAGATATTTTGGTGTAGAATATGTCAACCTCCAACTGCAACGCAGCACTCACAGCATCAAGGCAGGCTCGTCACCAAAACTTTTTCTAGCTATCACTTCTAGCAGTTGCATTTGTTCTTAAGTATTGCGAAGTGTGCATTATATCCTTATTATATTCTGCTCCTTTTCAGCCCCACTTTACAGATTTCTTTGTATTTACAAATATGCTTTAAAAACAATACTTAAACTGACAGTCTACATTAAAAGCCCTGATTATAAGGCAACTATTAAAAGGGCAGTCCATTATTTAGGTGTACAGTTAAAGGGGAAGGGAGCTGCAAAAAGTACATCTTGTACACAGTGGAGAGAGAGAGGTCTACGCATTTTTTATATGGACTTTTTTAGTGGTGTTAGCAGCATACAAATTTGTTCTTATAAGCCTGTTTATTAGTCTTGCGAATAAACTGTCAGTTTGGAAATATTTGCAGAACATTTTTCTTTCTATGAATTGCACTTCGGTAAAGTAATTTTTATAAATGCTTTCTGAAGAATCGGCTCTTATTCATTTATTTGACTTTTTGACTCGTAAAGCATAAATTGTATAGGCAAAACCTTCATGTAAAATTTATTCGACCTAGTAAGAAAACAAATAAGCGCATTCCATTCTGCCTACTTTGCATACGTTTTGCACAGTAACGCAACTGCATCGCGTCTTAAAAGATATCTGCGGATTTAGCTTTTCATCGTGTTTATTTCTTCAAATATTTTTCTTTAGTCTACAAATTAGATTTGGAAGATTTGCAGTTTTTTTTTTTTTTAATATTTTATTTAAGCCAATTTAATATTTTATACCAGGAGTTTTATTTTTAAAATATGTATATTGTAATTTTATGTATTTAAATTTTTGTGAAAACATCACTGTTTAAATCTTCAAACTTCAGTAGAATGCATATAAATGACAAATGAATTAAACATGTAATATCTGATAATATAAATTTACCGGAGTTTCTAACATCATAAAATATTTATTAGATGAAATGGACTTACTATTAATAATTTATATTCCTGACCGAAATACTCTTACATGAATTGAAATGTTCGATTCGATTGCTTTTATAAAGCGCATTCGCTTTTGACTTTTGTAGTTTGTTGTACCAAAAGTGTTACGTTGGACTCGTATACTTGGTCTTAATTATTTCACGACAGACAAAATCAAATTTGTATAATGATATAAACCACAAAATATTCATAAGTAGAAGACAAATGCAAACTTTGGAGTCTTCTATTTTGGAAGTGAGTAGGATGTTTTAGCAATTTTATATATTTAGGCAATGAAGAGTCTTTGAAAAATGTTTGGCTTTTGCTGCGGATCTCGTATTGCTATGGTGCGAAAAGGACAAATGAATGTAGGAATATTCGGCGGCAGAGAAGCACGTGCACCCTTAGACAAAAATTAAAAATGAATAAATAACATAAACTCTTTTTGAAATATTTTTTTACATAATCATTTTAGGTTTAACTACAGAAAAAATTTTTTTATATACAAATCTATTCCCAATTCCCTCTCGCATTGCTGCTTGGATGTCCTACTAATTATGAAAACATCAAAGTCTATGTTTGTCTTCTAATCTAATAATATAATATCCTGTTTCTGAGCACAGTAACTCTATATGAACCACTTTTTATTGATGGAATGTGTTTAAATTCAAATTTTTCTTAGAACAGTCCATTAAATCTTAACAGTTAAATGATTAACCGTTAATTTATAATAGTTTTTGAGTTTCTGTTCACTTACATTTGAGAAAATAAATTACTTCCGATGCTACGGCTCAACTTGAAATTGACTGGTTTTGTTTCTTTTTCCATCATTTTTGTTCGGTTGCAGCTAATCATCCAATATTTTTTGATAAAAATAAATTTAATTTCATCACGAGTAAGCATTTAATGCGTTTCAGATATTACAACTTAGTTTATTTTTATTCTTTAATATTATAATTACACTCGCTAACAAAGTGCCCATTAGTGGCCGAGTGGATTAAACCACCAAACCTGACTAAAACAAACACTTGGCCAGCTCACCAACAAGCTGGCCATGTGTAGTTTTCTGGATTTGTAACACTTCAATAGGGGCCAGTTTCCCATAGAAAATCTTCCCAGGAGATATCATTTGCAAATCATATTGTTGTATACAAATATCAAACAAAGATGACTAATAAATTGCATTTATGTAATTTAAATGATCACTGAACTCAAGAAGTCAAGGTATTTACTTTATATTAAATGATTTTTGAATCATAATTGATGCAAATTACTATAGGCTACTGCTCGAATTATGTTCTATTGCTGTTTATTATGACCAATATTCGTCAAGCACCACATTCATATACAGATCTAGCATATTACCTTCACACTTTTTATTTAAAGCGAAGTAACACTGGTGGCTATTTCCAGTTCCTCCATTGCCCTTAAGGTATTATTTTTAAAGTAAGATATGATTATTCATGCTTCTTCCCATCTTGCTTTCATTCTTTTGTTCATAATTAGTTCTTTAGCTCTAGTCAATTAGTCAGTCTTTTTTCTCTGAAATTTATATGTATCTTTCAGCTGTATTGCCATATCGCTGATTATGCAGCATGTGTAGCCTATATAGCACTTCATGTCACCTGTGTTGTCAAGTTCAACTGGGATGCTGCACTCACCTCTCCTTTCATTCTCTGATACCAGTTCCTTCGTATTCTTGATCCTATTGGTTTTCTGTAAACTAATTTAATAAACTTGAGGTAAATAACTCACTAGAAAATTATCAAAAATCACTAGTATATCATGCTTTTGCAGTGTTACTATATCTATAAAGTTTAAACAGAGCTTTGCAAACTTACCAGCAACAGGAAATCCTGTTGAGGTATTTCTTGATTAGCTGTACGAATTGTGGCAAGTAAATTAAGCAGCATATGCACCAGTTCTGGCATAATCTTGTTCCACTTCTTTTTGAAGACTTCATAAAGCACCTGATGGTCAGATAGTATGTTGCCTCTAGTCTGAATGAAGGATATGGACTTCTGTAATCCAGAATTGTAAATGTGCTACACCATTCGGTCTTTAACTCCCTCGGTTTCTTAATCACTTCTTCTGGGTTCTTAATGACATATAGAGCTTTGATCAAATTGGTTCTTATAGAAATCAGCCAATCTTTCATCTATTCTAATTGCAGGTAGCCACTTAATCACTGGTTTTTATCACAGGTCAAATTGTTTTTGATTTAGAGCTCAAAGGATTATATGATGATAGATTTAAATTTAAACAATAAAATCAATAGTTTAAGTGGAAACAACCTATAAGAAATTCCATACTGTTCTACTTTTATTGTATTCCCATTGGCTAGATAATGATGATAAATTAAAAACCTTTGACTACAGCAATGTAACAGATGCATTTAAGTTAATATTTTAGAATAGCATATATTATTCAGTTAACTTCATTTTTTTTATATTATATAAACTTTTAATGCTAACGGCAAATAATATTTATCTTTAGCCTTTTCCACATCCTTCTGCAAGGCATCCACCTAAACCTCAACCAAAAACTGGAGGTGCTATGAGTATTATTATGCCCATATACACCATCGGTATAGTGGTCTTCTTTTTATACACTGTTTTAAAAGTGAGTATTTTACAATATGCATTATATTAAATATAGAAATGGTGATAATCACATACCATTTATCTACTTTAGCTCGTTTTCAAGAAACAGTCACCAGATGATAAAAAACCATTGGTTAAAGATTTCCATATGGATCCAGAATATCATAAATATGTACTTAGAGATGATTATACCGATAAGAAAGACAAGAAGAAAGAAACTGTAAATATTCAAAACTCGGAAAGTACAGATAAAACCATTGACGAGAAAGGTAATTAATATACTGTAATAAAATTTGTAAATTAGTCACCACAAAGGTTTTTATTCAAGTCTTATCAGGGTAAATTAATAAATAATTGGCCAAGGCAACCAGCAGTGCTGTTACTTTCGGTTGGTTATTTATTGATTCACCATTATTTATCAAACAAAAACAAAAACATTATTCTAAAATATGGATGAACTAGCCACTGTGCTTACTCAGCCAAATAAATCATGGCACATTTAATGGTGAAGTTTAAATAATGTTAACATGTATCAACAGCACGGACAAGGGCTTTCATCTCTTTGCCTTTCACATCAACTGCTGCTGTTGTAGTCCATCTCCTCCAATTGTTTATCTGTTCGGATGTATCCCATCTCCCTTCCTTCTAACGTTGGCATTCCATTTACAACTGTTCACACTTGAAGATAGTCCATTAACTAGTTGAAAATGTTATTTAAACTTCACCTACTGTTAAAGGTGTATTGATTAATTCAGCCCATTATAAAATATACAATGCTCTCTTCCCTGAACCTGTTACTGGCGCATAATGCATATAAGAAATATATAGCGGGTGACAAACGTTTTTGAACCATCTCGCAGTTCTTCCTCAGGTCAACTAGCTGATACATAGCTAGTGCTACATGCCAGTAACAGGTTCAGGGAAGAGAGGATTTTACTCCGGTGCTGAAGTTAGAGTGAACTTTGTAAATATAGAATGTTTGTTTTAGATGAAAATTTACCATAAATTTAGAAGATAAGTCTGAATCTAATTGTTTCTTACATTTTAGAGAATAGAAACTGATAATATGCTGTTGATCTATGCTTCTTTATCTGATGAAGTACAGATTAAATCTACTAATGCTATTATTATTACATCAGGCAGTATCAGAGATGAGATTGTCAAAAGATTTTTCATATCCAGTTATACAATGTACATGAATAAACAACAAGTTAAATTCCTAATGTCAGGGATCATCCCCAAATTACATTTTACTATTTTTATACTTTTCAACTACCATCTTACACTCTTGTATTCACTGTGCTGTTTCACCTACCTACTCTCAAAATTATGTGATGCGCATTATCAACCAATCTTATTAATCGTACTAAGGAATAATATGGGCACCAAATGTTACATTATTTTATTAATTACATTGTATAACATACAAAGCACCAGTGTATATAGTTTGTCACTGCTCTGTACAGTTAGTTGCATAGCATTTGCTATTACAGTTTGCAATTTCCATAATAAAATCATTTTTTCCTATTTTATGAAAACATTATTGTTTAAATTCTTTAAAAATTAAACTAATTATATCTTCAAATTATTACAGTACCTGTGTTCTTTTCTTTAATCATACACATTTCACACAGTCCTTGTCATCATTACTTTCGTTTGTTGTCTCTCACCTCATTCACCAACACTCCTACTGCAACCGGAACACCCCTCCTGCCTTCTATCATCCAGCAACTTATTCCCCAACTCATGTAAATTTACTCCATCATTCTCATTAATTAACGATAAAAGATTTCTGTATCTAACTATTTCTGTGTTCGTTTAACTTTCTCTTCTTCATATTCTTCTCTGATTGGACTATCCTTAATATATTAAGATCAATCTGACATCCATTTATCATGCAATGTCTAGCAACACCTGAATTCTTGTAGTTATATTTTATTGCTCTGACGTGTTTTTTGATTCTTTCACGTAATTCTCTTTCTGTCTCTCGGACGTAACTAAATTGTTCCTGACAATCGCAATTTTTGAACCTGTTACATTTCGATATTTGAAAAACAGAATATAAGTGGAAAGATAAATATAATTTTATAATGCTCAATACATAATTAAATATTAATTCTTTAAAACATTTACCAAAAAGTATATTATTTTTTAAATTGACTTGTATTTTAAATTAATTAAAATTAATTTTTAATAATTCATGCTGTCAGATGTTTCAAAAATGAGTGAGAGTAAGTATAATCATTATAGTAAAATTTGTAATAAGTTTGTTTAATTAAATTTCCTTTATAACTCTTTCTTACATTTAATGATTTATAGAGGATTACGAAATCTACCAATTGCGTAAACGATTACAAGAAATGGAAGCAACGATGGAACGCATTGTTAGCCACATGGGTCAAGTGAGTGACTGCATCGCCTCGAACATAAGTGCAAATATTCAAGCTGCAAATCTCGCTAAATCCAACATTGCTGCTGCCAATTCTACACTAGAAGTGAGTTTGTTATTTATATTTTTATTCATTTTGTGATGGAGGATAGTGATTCGGGTTATTTTCCATCTGTTGAAACTATAACGTAGAGTTATAAATCAGGTAGAAAAAGATCAGCAAATCTATTAGACCTGGTCTCATACACTCAGTTCGCTCAGTTAAAAATTGAAAATACTGAATAAAATCAGATAAAAATATATAATTTAGATAATTTACTGATTTTTTATACCATTATGTTTCAGAATGGAAAAAATGAAAATATAAAGAAAGAAAGAGAAATCACTCCAATTAATATAAATGATATAACAGAATGCAGAGAACGGATACAGGTATAAAATTATTAAATACTTCCGCAAGGTAAACTATTTTATTACATAATTTTTATTAGAGAAAATATTTAATGATTTAATTCCATAGAATTTAAAAACTTCCGATCTTAGTCCAAGCATAGACAGTTACGAAATTTTAGGAAATTCGCTTCCGCCAACACCCTTAGAGGAAATAGGACCCGTTAGGTTCGTCTCTTCGGATACAAGATCCTTTCAAAATCTCGAAACCAGTAGAAATTCCCTTCATCCGGAAACAAATGACGTAGCTTCTTTCGATAGGGAATCTAGTGTTGCGAGTGAAGCTTCTAGTTTCGAACTGTTATGCCACAGCAGAGACACCCGTAGTGCTAGCCCAGAAGAGAACGGGCAGAAAGATGAAGAATTCATCAAGATGGGAAAGGCAGATAGCGTGGGAAGTATCGACAACATCAGCCTCGATCAGTTTCCCGCGGATGGTCCGCTTTCCGACCACCAGGAGGATAACCTTGATTCACAAGCATCGAATACATCTTTTTCCAGAAATAAATAATTAAAATAGAATGACACATATTTTTAGCAAGCTTTCAAATAGTACAAATAGTATTTAAATATTAAAATCTATAACTTTAGAATTAAGAAAGTTAAATGTTCTTTGTTAAAGAATAATGCAGTCAACTCTCAAAAACTTGAAGAGCTTTCATTTTATTGAATCGGTATGCATTCCAAATTTTGTTCGGTCCATTGTGTTTTTTTAATGGTGTATTAGTTATTACGAATAATAAATCAACTAACAAATTCACCGGATAGTTTAGCAGTTACAAATATGAAGAATAGATTTTGAAAATTTGACCAGTTTCCTTAAATACTATCATCATTAGCAGAAGATGAAATTGCAGATTTTTGAGAATTGACTGTAAATTTAAGATGCAAATCTGTGATTTGTATCAGGTTGTGAAGATAAAATATGTAATTTTTATCTTATAATACATTATACAATTAAAAAACAAAACTTTAAACTTAAACACGATAAGCAGATATGCATGGAACTTTGCATCTATTCCAAGCATTTACGGAACATATAAATATAAATACGATATTTCGCTCAGAACAAAATTGCAGATCTGTGCCAAAATTCTTCTACTTATAAAACTAATTACTTTTAACAAATATTTATAAAAAAAAATATATATATATATATTTGACTTCTACACCATATCAATCTCTAACTCAAGGTTTCCATTTCTATATAGTGTATACTACCTAACTAGAAAGTAGCATAATACAAAAACAATATACTTTTTTGGAGAAATTTACAAAAATGCATGTGTTGTATACACATTTTAGGATGTGATGTCAGTCGGATGGTTCGAGAAACCTCAGAATGTGCAATTGTACAAACGAGCAACAGGAATTACGATAACTTGCAGTTCGTGTACAAGTTTGTCACCAAAATATATTTATATAAACATGGAGTTGCAAAGAGCGGAAACACTTGAGTATGGTTTACATTCCATGCTTTGGTTTCGTTTCCACACAGACACACACAAACACACACTCCAGATCGAGGCGCACGTTTCCGTCTGTTAACTCGAAAGCATTCGAACCCACTAACCGTCATTTCCCGTCAGTTATTCTCTAAAATCCTAACGGACATTTCATTTTTCTTGATTTGTTGTAACTATTCGGCACTTGCTTCTCGTGACGTCATAATAACCATCATGTTTAAAATTATTCTTTAATCTGAGATTAAGGATTGTTTATTTTATAAAACTTTAAATCATTTGGTTAAGCAAGTTATTTTTTTTTATATTGTAAATGCTGTTACACAATATAAAAATCATGTGATTGGATTGTTTAATAATTTAAATCAAACAGATTATTTAGTTAGTCTGTATGTCTGTAAACATAGTTTGTCATCGTCTTGTTTCTTTATGTAATATTTTGTTAGAACTCTTTATATGTATCATATATCCTCTTTTTTTTTATATATATATATACAGTAGTTTAATGTAATCAATAAAGACTTTTTAACACAATATCCTTGTTTAAACTCTTGTATAATGATCAAATTAGATTCGTTCTGAACGTAACAAGGGAACCAACACCATAACAGACAGATGGCTGAAGGGGCTAAGACACACGTCGCTTTGATATCAATTGCAGGGTGCCTAGTCTCCAGCTTTGCGAGTAGCAATACGAGCTTTCAATAATAAATTTCAAAGATTTACATAGCATATTTGAAGTCATATCATTGTCAAAAAATGCTCTATTGGTTTTACACAGAAATTTACACCCAACAGGATCAATCAGACCAAATCTGTTGGGGCTAAACTCTTGCGTAAAATCAGTAAGGAGAAGTGGGGCAAGAGCACATGGTTCTGTATAGTGATGACACAAAAGCACAAGATCCATTCAAACAAAACTGTACGGAATGAAATAAATACGAAAGCACTGAACGTGCGTAATCTTCTCCCATAGGAGAGGAATAAGAGTATACAGTCAACAAATATCACAGTTGAACCATCTTCAAAACAGCTGCATTGTTCGGCCACCAAAAAAACGATTTGAACTTTGAATCCAAGTTCATTACATGAATAAAAGCTGGAACATAAAACATATTGTTTGCATGCTATAACCATGGACCCATAGTTATAAAACATTGAATCCACTGTAGTTGAAGTGCCTACCAGTGACTGATTGGATAAAACCACCACGCTAGTTTGTTGTGGGTTCACACCTTGCCAGTGGGCACTGGCCTTGTTTAGTTTTCTGGGTTTTCTTCATATTAGTAACATTTAAATAGGGGTCAATTTTCCACAGAAAGACCTCCAGGAGGTATCCTCCCTAAGCAGATTGCTCATGTGCATACCATGAGCAAATATATTGCAAGTTAGTGTTTTCAGTACTTACATGTGGTTTAATGTTGGAATATACAATGTCAGCCTCCCATTGCTACTGGATACAGAAACTTTGATATTACCGAAAGTAACTTAAATAAGTCTCTGGGTTCCGGAAATTTTTGTAATTGATCAAGCTCCGTCATCTGGTTGCTCTGTTATGGACCTAGCTAGTTCTGTGGTGGTCATAAAAAAGTGCTTTTAATTAATGCTAATAGGTCAGAAAGAGTCCAAGGGAAAAGATGTAGCCTATATAATATAGGCAGTTAAGGTGCCTTGTCACTCTGAGCAACCAGGAATCGATTGAAGGATGACAGCTCCAAGAATTTTTAGGTCCACTCTGTCCCCAATACATCAGACCTCATCCCTCACCAATTGGTTGCCCTCATTGTGGGCCACGCTGAAGTTGATAAGCTCCAAGAGTTTTTTCACGAGTGGTAAGTCCGAGGTAAGTTAACCTATCCCTCACTACCCAATTGTACACAGCGAGTATAGCAAAATTTGGAGAAAAGGCCCTTAGAATCCTCAAGGCAGAAAGAGTTACAAATGAAAAGAGAATAGGGATGGGGATGCATTAATGCATGGGTCCATCTAGAGGTGGATTCGCAACGTCATCTAATTCAACAGCCAATGAAAGAGAGCGATAAGATTATGGATTTCGATACCCAAAAAGATTGTTGGACCAAACAGGACACGACTCGTACTAGACAGGAATAAACGTTATCATCAGTTGACGTTAATTTTCGATTTTTCTTTTTAATTTTAACGGCTAATAAAAATTTAATAGACAATTTTTACATTGAATAATAAAACAGATGTAAATTTAACGACTTATTTATCAAAAGGCACTGAGAACTGAATGTAGAGAGGGGACAAAAGCACAAAGTACTTAAGTAAAATGGCATTTTGCCAAGAATGTGTCATATTTGAAACGCTACATTAAATGATGGCTCGTGATCAATTAAACAATTCTAGTCGATGTTTTTCTTATAAAACGTATTGCAAAAACTCCATATAATGTCTCTCGATATAACGTTTTCCGAACGATGTTTATATTTGTGTGATTCTAACAGAAAACTGGCCCACCAGTGGCCAAGCGGTCTTCGTTCCCTGAACACTGGAAGTTCGGTCGTGGGTCGTGTGGTTCGCGCCTCGCTCGGACGGGCCGGCCACGTAAAGTTTTCCGGGTTCTCTCCACAATTGTAACGCCTAAATAGGTGCCAGTTTCCCTTAAAAAGGCATCCCCCTAGGCAGATCGCCCGAATGTTGCGTTGCCATAACTAAATAAAAAAAAACTAATACAAAACGATGTGTGAGCATCTAATTGAATTCCAAATACGATTAGTAGAATGTCGGCCTCAGGAAAAACTGTAGACATTGGAATTTACTCGAGTGTTTACAGTGCATTTCGGATGTTGACGTGTTACGTTCGTTTTGAGGTGTACCTTCGAAAGATGATGTTTAACATTGCAACGAGCAGCATGGTACTAACACTTCAGAAAACCGATCACGCTTTCTTCACATCACTAACAATAGTCAGTCAATTCTATAATATACGGACATGTTGTTGAGAATGTATTGTAATTGATTTATTGTTTCGTTTGCCTTTTTCTCTAATAAATTTCTGTAGTGGAATAAGACAAGGATGCCCTCTGTCAATGATGCTCTGTTAACTGTATAAACGAGATTAATTAAAGAGCTAACTCGCCCCATACGTGAAATTGCAACCTTTCTTGGATCGCCAGCGTGGAAATTAATAGACGACAAAAACACCAAAAAGAACAAGACCGTGGCAATAGACTATGACCAGATTACAACTAAATGGAAAGAAACTATTAAAAACAGTCCAGAATCATGAAATATTTATCAAAACGAATGCTAAAATATGGCCAAAACATGTACATAAAACATTCAGACAAGAATACAAAACAAGCTGATTCAAATCATAACTGGAAAAGAATACATGAGATTTACATACGTCCCACCAGATCAAACCGAAATCTCATGGAGAATAATATGGGCAATTAATCAACACGGCCTTCCCTCACTTTTGTGCACCTGACCTTCATTACAAGCTTTAAGTTAATGTAAATAAAGCACCCTTTGTGAATACCAAGTGTACTAGTGCCAGCTAACAAGACCTACATACAACTGATAGTAGTAACAGTGAAGAAAATCATTTGCAACCAAGCCCTTTGCGGTAGAGCTCTTGTTCATACAGAAATACAACGCTATAAATAAACTGTGCAGGCACAACTTTGACCAACACAAATGAAGAACAAATTGGAAACAAACCAGACAGACTAACCAAACTTGTGTCGACGGAAACGTGGAGTTAAATGCTAAAGTGGGCACTAAGACGACCATTTTTAGCAAGCTGGTATAGGTTCGACCAGGCCCACAATGGGACGGACGGGTGGTGACGAACAGGGCCTGACATATCCAGAAAAATTCCGGGAGTTTTTTAACCAGTTCGAGTTTGATCCCAGGTCCCCAGAGTGCGGTCGGATGACCGAGTGGTCANAAAATTTTCGAGTTGTGTTACTTAAATTCTTTCCTATAAAGTATTGTATAATATTTTTATTATTTATATACCTTTGATTCATTAAAAAATTTATACCATTACGAAACATGAGGGAAAGTTTAACTGATAATTCTCTATTTAAATTATAATAATATGCAAGCAGTTTGAGATTAATACATATTCAAATATTAAGAAATTAAGTTTAGTATGAGTTATGAATTGATGTAAATCTGAGAAAACAATAAAAAATCCTTCTAAACAACACCATTAAAGAATTTCAAAACAATAATAAACATATTTTTGTATGCAAATTTAAAATATCTACATTTCTGCATTTACACGTGTAGATCATCAATTTTTTTTCAATTATGTATGTAAAATTTTGCTTTTTTTTAAATTCTGTCTTTATTTTAGCCTCTAATAAACAGCTAATAAATTGTATTTTAAAAGATTTACTAAGTATTTTTAATATTTTGGAACCAATTACATGACTTTATACATTATAATCACTTCAAACACCACAACAGTTTTCATCGAATGCATTACATATACTAGTCGCAAGCTGCTCGCATCGTAAAAATGATTAACGATAATTACCAACTTATTAAAAGCAGTTGTGGATATGCCATTTATTTCTTAGTTAATATTGCAAATATGGCAGAAAGTCATTTATTTACATTTTTGTCCTGGTTCGGTAGAAGTTCTCGAGCTTCCATTTTCTGTCTATAAATATGATCGTTTATACTTAAACTCAAATGTTTCAATAAAGATAAATTGAATATTATAATATTCATTACAAGCATAGCTTTGTAAGTATTGACTAATCTATGACAGTTATATTAACTCATCGGAACAGATAACATTTGTATGTGAATAGAGAGAACTGTAGACGAATGCAGACAAATTCGACAAGAACTGCATTGCTTTACATCTAATTTAGGGTAATACAATTGTAGGATTTAGAAATCAAAGCAATAAAAGGAAGTATTTGGTGAAAAAGATACAAATAGCAGTTGGGCATAGGTGGAGAGTGGATGGAAAGTGTTCCAATACCTGGTCAGAGAGATATTTTGGTGTAGAATATGTCAACCTCCAACTGCAACGCAGCACTCACAGCATCAAGGCAGGCTCGTCACCAAAACTTTTTCTAGCTATCACTTCTAGCAGTTGCATTTGTTCTTAAGTATTGCGAAGTGTGCATTATATCCTTATTATATTCTGCTCCTTTTCAGCCCCACTTTACAGATTTCTTTGTATTTACAAATATGCTTTAAAAACAATACTTAAACTGACAGTCTACATTAAAAGCCCTGATTATAAGGCAACTATTAAAAGGGCAGTCCATTATTTAGGTGTACAGTTAAAGGGGAAGGGAGCTGCAAAAAGTACATCTTGTACACAGTGGAGAGAGAGAGGTCTACGCATTTTTTATATGGACTTTTTTAGTGGTGTTAGCAGCATACAAATTTGTTCTTATAAGCCTGTTTATTAGTCTTGCGAATAAACTGTCAGTTTGGAAATATTTGCAGAACATTTTTCTTTCTATGAATTGCACTTCGGTAAAGTAATTTTTATAAATGCTTTCTGAAGAATCGGCTCTTATTCATTTATTTGACTTTTTGACTCGTAAAGCATAAATTGTATAGGCAAAACCTTCATGTAAAATTTATTCGACCTAGTAAGAAAACAAATAAGCGCATTCCATTCTGCCTACTTTGCATACGTTTTGCACAGTAACGCAACTGCATCGCGTCTTAAAAGATATCTGCGGATTTAGCTTTTCATCGTGTTTATTTCTTCAAATATTTTTCTTTAGTCTACAAATTAGATTTGGAAGATTTGCAGTTTTTTTTTTTTTTAATATTTTATTTAAGCCAATTTAATATTTTATACCAGGAGTTTTATTTTTAAAATATGTATATTGTAATTTTATGTATTTAAATTTTTGTGAAAACATCACTGTTTAAATCTTCAAACTTCAGTAGAATGCATATAAATGACAAATGAATTAAACATGTAATATCTGATAATATAAATTTACCGGAGTTTCTAACATCATAAAATATTTATTAGATGAAATGGACTTACTATTAATAATTTATATTCCTGACCGAAATACTCTTACATGAATTGAAATGTTCGATTCGATTGCTTTTATAAAGCGCATTCGCTTTTGACTTTTGTAGTTTGTTGTACCAAAAGTGTTACGTTGGACTCGTATACTTGGTCTTAATTATTTCACGACAGACAAAATCAAATTTGTATAATGATATAAACCACAAAATATTCATAAGTAGAAGACAAATGCAAACTTTGGAGTCTTCTATTTTGGAAGTGAGTAGGATGTTTTAGCAATTTTATATATTTAGGCAATGAAGAGTCTTTGAAAAATGTTTGGCTTTTGCTGCGGATCTCGTATTGCTATGGTGCGAAAAGGACAAATGAATGTAGGAATATTCGGCGGCAGAGAAGCACGTGCACCCTTAGACAAAAATTAAAAATGAATAAATAACATAAACTCTTTTTGAAATATTTTTTTACATAATCATTTTAGGTTTAACTACAGAAAAAATTTTTTTATATACAAATCTATTCCCAATTCCCTCTCGCATTGCTGCTTGGATGTCCTACTAATTATGAAAACATCAAAGTCTATGTTTGTCTTCTAATCTAATAATATAATATCCTGTTTCTGAGCACAGTAACTCTATATGAACCACTTTTTATTGATGGAATGTGTTTAAATTCAAATTTTTCTTAGAACAGTCCATTAAATCTTAACAGTTAAATGATTAACCGTTAATTTATAATAGTTTTTGAGTTTCTGTTCACTTACATTTGAGAAAATAAATTACTTCCGATGCTACGGCTCAACTTGAAATTGACTGGTTTTGTTTCTTTTTCCATCATTTTTGTTCGGTTGCAGCTAATCATCCAATATTTTTTGATAAAAATAAATTTAATTTCATCACGAGTAAGCATTTAATGCGTTTCAGATATTACAACTTAGTTTATTTTTATTCTTTAATATTATAATTACACTCGCTAACAAAGTGCCCATTAGTGGCCGAGTGGATTAAACCACCAAACCTGACTAAAACAAACACTTGGCCAGCTCACCAACAAGCTGGCCATGTGTAGTTTTCTGGATTTGTAACACTTCAATAGGGGCCAGTTTCCCATAGAAAATCTTCCCAGGAGATATCATTTGCAAATCATATTGTTGTATACAAATATCAAACAAAGATGACTAATAAATTGCATTTATGTAATTTAAATGATCACTGAACTCAAGAAGTCAAGGTATTTACTTTATATTAAATGATTTTTGAATCATAATTGATGCAAATTACTATAGGCTACTGCTCGAATTATGTTCTATTGCTGTTTATTATGACCAATATTCGTCAAGCACCACATTCATATACAGATCTAGCATATTACCTTCACACTTTTTATTTAAAGCGAAGTAACACTGGTGGCTATTTCCAGTTCCTCCATTGCCCTTAAGGTATTATTTTTAAAGTAAGATATGATTATTCATGCTTCTTCCCATCTTGCTTTCATTCTTTTGTTCATAATTAGTTCTTTAGCTCTAGTCAATTAGTCAGTCTTTTTTCTCTGAAATTTATATGTATCTTTCAGCTGTATTGCCATATCGCTGATTATGCAGCATGTGTAGCCTATATAGCACTTCATGTCACCTGTGTTGTCAAGTTCAACTGGGATGCTGCACTCACCTCTCCTTTCATTCTCTGATACCAGTTCCTTCGTATTCTTGATCCTATTGGTTTTCTGTAAACTAATTTAATAAACTTGAGGTAAATAACTCACTAGAAAATTATCAAAAATCACTAGTATATCATGCTTTTGCAGTGTTACTATATCTATAAAGTTTAAACAGAGCTTTGCAAACTTACCAGCAACAGGAAATCCTGTTGAGGTATTTCTTGATTAGCTGTACGAATTGTGGCAAGTAAATTAAGCAGCATATGCACCAGTTCTGGCATAATCTTGTTCCACTTCTTTTTGAAGACTTCATAAAGCACCTGATGGTCAGATAGTATGTTGCCTCTAGTCTGAATGAAGGATATGGACTTCTGTAATCCAGAATTGTAAATGTGCTACACCATTCGGTCTTTAACTCCCTCGGTTTCTTAATCACTTCTTCTGGGTTCTTAATGACATATAGAGCTTTGATCAAATTGGTTCTTATAGAAATCAGCCAATCTTTCATCTATTCTAATTGCAGGTAGCCACTTAATCACTGGTTTTTATCACAGGTCAAATTGTTTTTGATTTAGAGCTCAAAGGATTATATGATGATAGATTTAAATTTAAACAATAAAATCAATAGTTTAAGTGGAAACAACCTATAAGAAATTCCATACTGTTCTACTTTTATTGTATTCCCATTGGCTAGATAATGATGATAAATTAAAAACCTTTGACTACAGCAATGTAACAGATGCATTTAAGTTAATATTTTAGAATAGCATATATTATTCAGTTAACTTCATTTTTTTTATATTATATAAACTTTTAATGCTAACGGCAAATAATATTTATCTTTAGCCTTTTCCACATCCTTCTGCAAGGCATCCACCTAAACCTCAACCAAAAACTGGAGGTGCTATGAGTATTATTATGCCCATATACACCATCGGTATAGTGGTCTTCTTTTTATACACTGTTTTAAAAGTGAGTATTTTACAATATGCATTATATTAAATATAGAAATGGTGATAATCACATACCATTTATCTACTTTAGCTCGTTTTCAAGAAACAGTCACCAGATGATAAAAAACCATTGGTTAAAGATTTCCATATGGATCCGGAATATCATAAATATGTACTTAGAGATGATTATACCGATAAGAAAGACAAGAAGAAAGAAACTGTAAATATTCAAAACTCGGAGAGTACAGATAAAACCATTGACGAGAAAGGTAATTAATATACTGTAATAAAATTTGTAAATTAGTCACCACAAAGGTTTTTATTCAAGTCTTATCAGGGTAAATTAATAAATAATTGGCCAAGGCAACCAGCAGTGCTGTTACTTTCGGTTGGTTATTTATTGATTCACCATTATTTATCAAACAAAAACAAAAACATTATTCTAAAATATGGATGAACTAGCCACTGTGCTTACTCAGCAAAATAAATCAATGCACATTTAACACTGGGTGAAGTTTAAATAATGTTAACATGTATCAACAGCACGGACAAGGGCTTTCATCTCTTTGCCTTTCACATCAACTGCTGCTGTTGTAGTCCATCTCCTCCAATTGTTTATCTGTTCGGATCTATCCCATCTCCCTTCCTTCTAACGTTGGCATTCCATTTACAACTGTTCACACTTGAAGATAGTCCATTAACTAGTTGAAAATGTTATTTAAACTTCACCTACTGTTAAAGGTGTATTGATTAATTCAGCCCATTATAAAATATACAATGCTCTGAACCTGTTACTGGCGCATAATGCATATAAGAAATATATAGCGGGTGACAAACGTTTTTGAACCATCTCGCAGTTCTTCCTCAGGTCAACTAGCTGATACATAGCTAGTGCTACATGCCAGTAACAGGTTCAGGGAAGAGAGGATTTTACTCCGGTGCTGAAGTTAGAGTGAACTTTGTAAATATACAATGTTTGTTTTAGATGAAAATTTACCATAAATTTAGAAGATAAGTCTGAATCTAATTGTTTCTTACATTTTAGAGAATAGAAACTGATAATATGCTGTTGATCTATGCTTCTTTATCTGATGAAGTACAGATTAAATCTACTAATGCTATTATTATTACATCAGGCAGTATCAGAGATGAGATTGTCAAAAGATTTTTCATATCCAGTTATACAATGTACATGAATAAACAACAAGTTAAATTCCTAATGTCAGGGATCATCCCCAAATTACATTTTACTATTTTTATACTTTTCAACTACCATCTTACACTCCTGTATTCACTGTGCTGTTTCACCTACCTACTCTCAAAATTATGTGATGCGCATTATCAACCAATCTTATTAATCGTACTAAGGAATAATATGGGCACCAAATGTTACATTATTTTATTAATTACATTGTATAACATACAAAGCACCAGTGTATATAGTTTGTCACTGCTCTGTACAGTTAGTTGCATAGCATTTGCTATTACAGTTTGCAATTTCCATAATAAAATCATTTTTTCCTATTTTATGAAAACATTATTGTTTAAATTCTTTAAAAATTAAACTAATTATATCTTCAAATTATTACAGTACCTGTGTTCTTTTCTTTAATCATACACATTTCACACAGTCCTTGTCATCATTACTTTCGTTTGTTGTCTCTCACCTCATTCACCAACACTCCTACTGCAACCGGAACACCCCTCCTGCCTTCTATCATCCAGCAACTTATTCCCCAACTCATGTAAATTTACTCCATCATTCTCATTAATTAACGATAAAAGATTTCTGTATCTAACTATTTCTATGTGTTCGTTTAACTTTCTCTTCTTCATATTCTTCTCTGATTGGACTATCCTTAATATATTAAGATCAATCTGACATCCATTTATCATGCAATGTCTAGCAACACCTGAATTCTTGTAGTTATATTTTATTGCTCTGACGTGTTTTTTGATTCTTTCACGTAATTCTCTTTCTGTCTCTCGGACGTAACTAAATTGTTCCTGACAATCGCAATTTTTGAACCTGTTACATTTCGATATTTGAAAAACAGAATATAAGTGGAAAGATAAATATAATTTTATAATGCTCAATACATAATTAAATATTAATTCTTTAAAACATTTACCAAAAAGTATATTATTTTTTAAATTGACTTGTATTTTAAATTAATTAAAATTAATTTTTAATAATTCATGCTGTCAGATGTTTCAAAAATGAGTGAGAGTAAGTATAATCATTATAGTAAAATTTGTAATAAGTTTGTTTAATTAAATTTCCTTTATAACTCTTTCTTACATTTAATGATTTATAGAGGATTACGAAATCTACCAATTGCGTAAACGATTACAAGAAATGGAAGCAACGATGGAACGCATTGTTAGCCACATGGGTCAAGTGAGTGACTGCATCGCCTCGAACATAAGTGCAAATATTCAAGCTGCAAATCTCGCTAAATCCAACATTGCTGCTGCCAATTCTACACTAGAAGTGAGTTTGTTATTTATATTTTTATTCATTTTGTGATGGAGGATAGTGATTCGGGTTATTTTCCATCTGTTGAAACTATAACGTAGAGTTATAAATCAGGTAGAAAAAGATCAGCAAATCTATTAGACCTGGTCTCATACACTCAGTTCGCTCAGTTAAAAATTGAAAATACTGAATAAAATCAGATAAAAATATATAATTTAGATAATTTACTGATTTTTTATACCATTATGTTTCAGAATGGAAAAAATGAAAATATAAAGAAAGAAAGAGAAATCACTCCAATTAATATAAATGATATAACAGAATGCAGAGAACGGATACAGGTATAAAATTATTAAATACTTCCGCAAGGTAAACTATTTTATTACATAATTTTTATTAGAGAAAATATTTAATGATTTAATTCCATAGAATTTAAAAACTTCCGATCTTAGTCCAAGCATAGACAGTTACGAAATTTTAGGAAATTCGCTTCCGCCAACACCCTTAGAGGAAATAGGACCCGTTAGGTTCGTCTCTTCGGATACAAGATCCTTTCAAAATCTCGAAACCAGTAGAAATTCCCTTCATCCGGAAACAAATGACGTAGCTTCTTTCGATAGGGAATCTAGTGTTGCGAGTGAAGCTTCTAGTTTCGAACTGTTATGCCACAGCAGAGACACCCGTAGTGCTAGCCCAGAAGAGAACGGGCAGAAAGATGAAGAATTCATCAAGATGGGAAAGGCAGATAGCGTGGGAAGTATCGACAACATCAGCCTCGATCAGTTTCCCGCGGATGGTCCGCTTTCCGACCACCAGGAGGATAACCTTGATTCACAAGCATCGAATACATCTTTTTCCAGAAATAAATAATTAAAATAGAATGACACATATTTTTAGCAAGCTTTCAAATAGTACAAATAGTATTTAAATATTAAAATCTATAACTTTAGAATTAAGAAAGTTAAATGTTCTTTGTTAAAGAATAATGCAGTCAACTCTCAAAAACTTGAAGAGCTTTCATTTTATTGAATCGGTATGCATTCCAAATTTTGTTCGGTCCATTGTGTTTTTTTAATGGTGTATTAGTTATTACGAATAATAAATCAACTAACAAATTCACCGGATAGTTTAGCAGTTACAAATATGAAGAATAGATTTTGAAAATTTGACCAGTTTCCTTAAATACTATCATCATTAGCAGAAGATGAAATTGCAGATTTTTGAGAATTGACTGTAAATTTAAGATGCAAATCTGTGATTTGTATCAGGTTGTGAAGATAAAATATGTAATTTTTATCTTATAATACATTATACAATTAAAAAACAAAACTTTAAACTTAAACACGATAAGCAGATATGCATGGAACTTTGCATCTATTCCAAGCATTTACGGAACATATAAATATAAATACGATATTTCGCTCAGAACAAAATTGCAGATCTGTGCCAAAATTCTTCTACTTATAAAACTAATTACTTTTAACAAATATTTATAAAAAAAAATATATATATATATATTTGACTTCTACACCATATCAATCTCTAACTCAAGGTTTCCATTTCTATATAGTGTATACTACCTAACTAGAAAGTAGCATAATACAAAAACAATATACTTTTTTGGAGAAATTTACAAAAATGCATGTGTTGTATACACATTTTAGGATGTGATGTCAGTCGGATGGTTCGAGAAACCTCAGAATGTGCAATTGTACAAACGAGCAACAGGAATTACGATAACTTGCAGTTCGTGTACAAGTTTGTCACCAAAATATATTTATATAAACATGGAGTTGCAAAGAGCGGAAACACTTGAGTATGGTTTACATTCCATGCTTTGGTTTAGTTTCCACACAAACACACACTCCAGATCGAGGCGCACGTTTCCGTCTGTTAACTCGAAAGCATTCGAACCCACTAACCGTCATTTCCCGTCAGTTATTCTCTAAAATCCTAACGGACATTTCATTTTTCTTGATTTGTTGTAACTATTCGGCACTTGCTTCTCGTGACGTCATAATAACCATCATGTTTAAAATTATTCTTTAATCTGAGATTAAGGATTGTTTATTTTATAAAACTTTAAATCATTTGGTTAAGCAAGTTATTTTTTTTTATATTGTAAATGCTGTTACACAATATAAAAATCATGTGATTGGATTGTTTAATAATTTAAATCAAACAGATTATTTAGTTAGTCTGTATGTCTGTAAACATAGTTTGTCATCGTCTTGTTTCTTTATGTAATATTTTGTTAGAACTCTTTATATGTATCATATATCCTCTTTTTTTTTATATATATATATACAGTAGTTTAATGTAATCAATAAAGACTTTTTAACACAATATCCTTGTTTAAACTCTTGTATAATGATCAAATTAGATTCGTTCTGAACGTAACAAGGGAACCAACACCATAACAGACAGATGGCTGAAGGGGCTAAGACACACGTCGCTTTGATATCAATTGCAGGGTGCCTAGTCTCCAGCTTTGCGAGTAGCAATACGAGCTTTCAATAATAAATTTCAAAGATTTACATAGCATATTTGAAGTCATATCATTGTCAAAAAATGCTCTATTGGTTTTACACAGAAATTTACACCCAACAGGATCAATCAGACCAAATCTGTTGGGGCTAAACTCTTGCGTAAAATCAGTAAGGAGAAGTGGGGCAAGAGCACATGGTTCTGTATAGTGATGACACAAAAGCACAAGATCCATTCAAACAAAACTGTACGGAATGAAATAAATACGAAAGCACTGAACGTGCGTAATCTTCTCCCATAGGAGAGGAATAAGAGTATACAGTCAACAAATATCACAGTTGAACCATCTTCAAAACAGCTGCATTGTTCGGCCACCAAAAAAACGATTTGAACTTTGAATCCAAGTTCATTACATGAATAAAAGCTGGAACATAAAACATATTGTTTGCATGCTATAACCATGGACCCATAGTTATAAAACATTGAATCCACTGTAGTTGAAGTGCCTACCAGTGACTGATTGGATAAAACCACCACGCTAGTTTGTTGTGGGTTCACACCTTGCCAGTGGGCACTGGCCTTGTTTAGTTTTCTGGGTTTTCTTCATATTAGTAACATTTAAATAGGGGTCAATTTTCCACAGAAAGACCTCCAGGAGGTATCCTCCCTAAGCAGATTGCTCATGTGCATACCATGAGCAAATATATTGCAAGTTAGTGTTTTCAGTACTTACATGTGGTTTAATGTTGGAATATACAATGTCAGCCTCCCATTGCTACTGGATACAGAAACTTTGATATTACCGAAAGTAACTTAAATAAGTCTCTGGGTTCCGGAAATTTTTGTAATTGATCAAGCTCCGTCATCTGGTTGCTCTGTTATGGACTTAGCTAGTTCTGTGGTGGTCATAAAAAAGTGCTTTTAATTAATGCTAATAGGTCAGAAAGAGTCCAAGGGAAAAGATGTAGCCTATATAATATAGGCAGTTAAGGTGCCTTGTCACTCTGAGCAACCAGGAATCGATTGAAGGATGACAGCTCCAAGAATTTTTAGGTCCACTCTGTCCCCAATACATCAGACCTCATCCCTCACCAATTGGTTGCCCTCATTGTGGGCCACGCTGAAGTTGATAAGCTCCAAGAGTTTTTTCACGAGTGGTAAGTCCGAGGTAAGTTAACCTATCCCTCACTACCCAATTGTACACAGCGAGTATAGCAAAATTTGGAGAAAAGGCCCTTAGAATCCTCAAGGCAGAAAGAGTTACAAATGAAAAGAGAATAGGGATGGGGATGCATTAATGCATGGGTCCATCTAGAGGTGGATTCGCAACGTCATCTAATTCAACAGCCAATGAAAGAGAGCGATAAGATTATGGATTTCGATACCCAAAAAGATTGTTGGACCAAACAGGACACGACTCGTACTAGACAGGAATAAACGTTATCATCAGTTGACGTTAATTTTCGATTTTTCTTTTTAATTTTAACGGCTAATAAAAATTTAATAGACAATTTTTACATTGAATAATAAAACAGATGTAAATTTAACGACTTATTTATCAAAAGGCACTGAGAACTGAATGTAGAGAGGGGACAAAAGCACAAAGTACTTAAGTAAAATGGCATTTTGCCAAGAATGTGTCATATTTGAAACGCTACATTAAATGATGGCTCGTGATCAATTAAACAATTCTAGTCGATGTTTTTCTTATAAAACGTATTGCAAAAACTCCATATAATGTCTCTCGATATAACGTTTTCCGAACGATGTTTATATTTGTGTGATTCTAACAGAAAACTGGCCCACCAGTGGCCAAGCGGTCTTCGTTCCCTGAACACTGGAAGTTCGGTCGTGGGTCGTGTGGTTCGCGCCTCGCTCGGACGGGCCGGCCACGTAAAGTTTTCCGGGTTCTCTCCACAATTGTAACGCCTAAATAGGTGCCAGTTTCCCTTAAAAAGGCATCCCCCTAGGCAGATCGCCCGAATGTTGCGTTGCCATAACTAAATAAAAAAAAACTAATACAAAACGATGTGTGAGCATCTAATTGAATTCCAAATACGATTAGTAGAATGTCGGCCTCAGGAAAAACTGTAGACATTGGAATTTACTCGAGTGTTTACAGTGCATTTCGGATGTTGACGTGTTACGTTCGTTTTGAGGTGTACCTTCGAAAGATGATGTTTAACATTGCAACGAGCAGCATGGTACTAACACTTCAGAAAACCGCTCACGCTTTCTTCACATCACTAACAATAGTCAGTCAATTCTATAATATACGGACATGTTGTTGAGAATGTATTGTAATTGATTTATTGTTTCGTTTGCCTTTTTCTCTAATAAATTTCTGTAGTGGAATAAGACAAGGATGCCCTCTGTCAATGATGCTCTGTTAACTGTATAAACGAGATTAATTAAAGAGCTAACTCGCCCCATACGTGAAATTGCAACCTTTCTTGGATCGCCAGCGTGGAAATTAATAGACGACAAAAACACCAAAAAGAACAAGACCGTGGCAATAGACTATGACCAGATTACAACTAAATGGAAAGAAACTATTAAAAACAGTCCAGAATCATGAAATATTTATCAAAACGAATGCTAAAATATGGCCAAAACATGTACATAAAACATTCAGACAAGAATACAAAACAAGCTGATTCAAATCATAACTGGAAAAGAATACATGAGATTTACATACGTCCCACCAGATCAAACCGAAATCTCATGGAGAATAATATGGGCAATTAATCAACACGGCCTTCCCTCACTTTTGTGCACCTGACCTTCATTACAAGCTTTAAGTTAATGTAAATAAAGCACCCTTTGTGAATACCAAGTGTACTAGTGCCAGCTAACAAGACCTACATACAACTGATAGTAGTAACAGTGAAGAAAATCATTTGCAACCAAGCCCTTTGCGGTAGAGCTCTTGTTCATACAGAAATACAACGCTATAAATAAACTGTGCAGGCACAACTTTGACCAACACAAATGAAGAACAAATTGGAAACAAACCAGACAGACTAACCAAACTTGTGTCGACGGAAACGTGGAGTTAAATGCTAAAGTGGGCACTAAGACGACCATTTTTAGCAAGCTGGTATAGGTTCGACCAGGCCCACAATGGGACGGACGGGTGGTGACGAACAGGGCCTGACATATCCAGAAAAATTCCGGGAGTTTTTTAACCAGTTCGAGTTTGATCCCAGGTCCCCAGAGTGCGGTCGGATGACCGAGTGGTCAAGGTGCCAGCCTACCGCTCTGGGGGACTCGGGTTCGAATCTGAACGGGTCGAAAAAACCCCAGGAATTTTTCGGGGGTGATCCGTTCGGATATGTCGGGCCCCGCCCCTCACCACCCGGCAGCCCCATTGTGGGTCTGGCCGAACCCGTAATGGGCTTGCAAAAAGAGTGCCCACAGGGCGGAAAGAGTTAAAGCAGGTCTCTTATAGTAGATAATATTAAAATGTGCTAGAATTTACTGTTATTGTTGTAATACATTACAGTCGACTCCCTATAACACTGTTGATAATTCCGTTTTATATGAATTCCATGTTGTACGAGTCACTTAGATTTTACAAATACGTGAGCCGTTCACAGCCAGGCACACGTATTTGTAAAATCTAAGTGACTCGTACAACAGGGAATTCATATAAAACGGAATAATTAACAGTGTTATGGGAGTCGACTGTATTAATAGAAATAAAGAAATGGCGTATTTTTAACCACACGGTCAGCACGTTCAGAGCCACATTAAATTTGTGGCTTTAAGCTAGAACATACAAGAAACCATCCCTGCTTACCAAATAATAATGGGCAATGTGCATAAACTGTCTTTAATACTGTAATAGAATGAGATCCATATCATTATTAATGGCACGCTGATCAAGTGAAAGTGAAAACTATTCATCTGATCCCATATAATCTTTCATTGGGTACTCCTTAATGCAGTGTTATAATAGGTGCTAGTATATGGGTGTGTCCGGGCATAGGCTTCCTCAGGGGGTTGCAAACGGGGCATTTTCTCTCCCTGGGGTTGAGTAAATAATTCCAGAAATTAAAATCGTAAAAGTGATTGAGATAAGTAACCCCATGGCTCTATTCCGACAGGGAACGTACGATGTAGGGGTAAGCCATTCGTACGTTCCCTGTCAGAATAGAACCATGGCACAAACCACAGACCAATCCACAACTGGTATAGAAAATTGCGGAAATAGAAGATAAAGCCACAATTCCTCAATTTCAGAATAAAATAAATCAGCGAAGAGTTACTCAACTTTCCAGGCTACAGTTACAGTTTTGGTAGCGCCATCTGTTATCATATTTTATTTTAAAACTTTTTTATACTTTTAACTATTATAAAATGGCAAAAGACTTAATTGTTAGGCTAGGTATGGGTTTATAAAAAAATTCTAAATGCTAATAACGAGTAAAATCGACATTAAATCCGACCCTACTCGAGATACACGCGACTCCCATTATCTCTCCACCCCCTCGACATATAACCACCAAAATTTTGAAGAATTTAATAGCAATTTACAGAAGAATTTCTAATAATACCCGTACACACAAACTCCTTTCTGTAAATTTATTTAATTATTCAAAATTTTGATCGAAGGATCACAGGAGGATTTTAGTAATTATTGATCAGGTTGTCTCATAAATTTTATGCTTAATGGTTATACATATTTAATGATTGCCTATTGTTGTTCACTTCACAAACTTATCGCAAAGAAAATCATGGAATTTTCTTCTATTAATGATAATAGAGAATATAATAATAATAAATAATAAACTTAATATTCACACGAGAAATGCGAGTGCATTAAGAATATTTAACATGACCTTGGAAACCTGTTCTGTTCCTTTCTTTACAGAACAGACAATGGAAGTGAATTCGAAGCAACGTTCTGTTCCTTCGAATTTACTTCTCTTTTCTTTTTCTGCAATTCGTAGGACAGTTATGTTCGCTCCTTCTTCTGTTTTCTATCGGTGGAATGGTTTTAGCCAACAGACTTATAAAGTTATCTGATGAATTAGAACAAGTAATGACGACTTCCTCAACAGTGAAGCATGAATTACAAGAAATTTGCGAAAAGCACACGGAGATTTGGGAGATTTTTGAAATGGTCAACAAGCAATGGGAGGTTCTCTTCGCTTTGATATACGCCCACTTTACATACGAAACGTGTTTTCTGTGTTTCGCTTTAATGTTTTTTGATGTCAGCTTTCAACTTCGAGTAGTTTTGGCCGCAGTTTCCATGGTATACTTAATAGGATGTCTTTCGGTTTCTTTAAGTCTTTCTTCCTTGACATCACTGGTAAGTACGATTTTTTCTTTATTATCACAATACTTATTAATTCAGTAGTAAATAATATAATATATATCATCTACACATTACCTTTTGCTGAACACCTATGTACTGTAGCCATTTACAAATATGGCGCCCCTAATTACTCAATACGCCTACGAGCTAACAGACCTAATGCCACTTTTGAACCGGTTGAATGTATTTTATAATTTTAATTCCTCGATAATTGTATTTCTGCAGATTTTTAAATATCGAAAGGAAACAAAGGAACCTGCCATTAGAAGCACGTTAATAATACTCTCACTTTGTTCATGCAAAATGTATCCAAACTAATTGAATTCTAAAGCTAAAAATTTGAATTTACCGTCACAAATCTATGTTTATTTATACAATACATTCTTATTTACTAGGCTTAACTCATTTGACTATATATACAGGGTGTCCCAAAAGTCTCCATACATTGACACAAATCAAGCCCACCAGTGGCCAAATAAATAAAACCATTGAACACTGGTAGTTGGTCATTGGTTCGTGCTTGAGCAATGGGCTGGCCACCATGAAGTCTTCTGGATTTTCTTCACGTGTCTAACACGTAAACAGAATCCAGTTTCCAAGTGTAGAAAATTCTAAAAGAATATGCTAAAAGCCAATTCGTCACATTCGTTGGCACCTTGGTCGAGGGACATTCTGAAATTCTCACTGATAGAATATGTAAATAATAGAGAGTAAATAACAGATATACTAGGCTCGGAATTGTAAGGATACCGTAGATGCTGTGGTAAATGGTTAAATAGAATTCGTGGCAGCTGAAAATTCTCACGTGTTGTTCCAAGAGACTTGGACTGAGAACCCAGAAACGGGCCTCAAAATTAAAAACTTGTTAAAGAATTTCGTTTGTTTTCGGCATTTTGATAATAAACTGAATGGCCCCATTTGTGATTGCTAATGAAAAATGACTGCGGTCAATCAAAAACTAAATTGCTTGTGATTAATTATTATTTATTGTTTGTTCTATCAGAAATGGCTGAAATCATTTTGCTAGTTCACTCGCATTTAAATAAAAAATACAATAAAACTACAATAAAAAATGATTTTAATTGGCTGATGTCTCGGGATATTTCGGCAGAATTTATATTCGCGAGAAACCAGGAAATTTCGGTTATTAAACAGGCGTTAAATTATAATCTTACGCTTTTATCGCCATTTACTGGAAATCGTGCCCGTAACCAAAAAACGTTACCATCAGCCTTAATTATAAACGATATACTGTACAGAGTATAATTGAGCATAGAATAATAGTATATTATGCAATTAGTTTATAGTACAGGCGATTATGGCATGAATGGAAGTTTGGCACACGTGAATGCCACAATCGCCTATATTAAAAACGAATTGTCATGCGGTATTTTGTGGATAGACTACACCTATAACACTATACATATGGAACACAAAATCGCACAGTGTTTGCGTCACCCGTGCCACAAAAGTTTTATGGAACGGGTGTCACAAACACTGTGTTTATACATAATTTTGAATTCCATATGTATAGTATTTTTAAACTCTTTCCGCCCTGTGGGCACTAAGAGAGCCTCTTTAAGCAAGTCCATTATGGGTTCGGCCAGGCCCAGAAGGGAGCGGCCGGATGGTGAAGGACGGGAGCCGACATATCCGGTCGGATCACCCCCTGAAAAATTCCTGGGGATTTCTCGATCCGTCCTGGGGATCTATTCTGAGCTCTTCCGATAACTCGAGAGCGATACACGGGACATTCGATAAGTTCCCTTAGCGAAAGGCAGTTAATTAACGAACCTTAGACAAATCGCTATTCTGTAATCCACGTTAAGTGGGTTTCGCTACGGGTAGTCGGTCGAGATGCGTCTGGGATCCACGCTATCGATAGCTGTTACGCTTTAACCAATCACAGGTTAGTTAACATTGTATTTTTGTCACATGACTGCAACCCGCCATTTTCTAAGCGAAGCACGTGGTTTTAGCATTGTCGCGTACCAGCGTTAGTGAAACAGACATGCCCACAGGGCGGAAAGAGTAAATAAAAAAAAAAGCGCTAGTGAAATAGTTTTGTTTTAAAATGTCGAAGAAAGGCCAACGAAGCCAGCGAACTACAACAATACAACAACATAGTTTATTAAACTCTCTCTCTAATTGCTCGTGAAGTAAAATCATTCTTACACCATTGTTGTTTACACTTTCGTTACGTTCCTAACGGTAGCTCGAGAGTGATCGATAACAAATACTTAGTTATCGCACGTGGCTAACGGGACCGAAAACGAAACGTACAGTTCGGAATAGCATTAGAGAGGTTGCGGCCGATGTTTTCAACGCGGAAACGGGTACGTCGGACGTCAGCGCCGCCTTCCTGTGAGTCTAGAAGTTTGACAATGGCGTTTAAAACGTCAGTGGAATCAAGCTCGACGTTCCAAACGCCATAGTCAAACTTCTAGACTCACAGGAAGGCAGCGCTGAACGTCTGACGTACCCGTTTCCGCGTTGAAAACATCGGTCGTAACCTCTCTATTTTCACAGTTGATTAAAAACGCGAATCACGTGGTTCCGATAGAAACTGGTTTTTATCGTATTCGTTAGCTTAACGATACTACTCAGAATAGGTCTCCTGATTCGATCCCAGGTCCACCAGAGCGGTAGGCTGCCACCTTGACCGCTAACATGTATTGTATTAACAATAACATAGTAATACAGAAAGAATGTTTAGTTCTTCTGACGCTTATTGTTCAATGTTAACTGCTTCCAGCTGTTATGTATATAACACTGGAAAATGCAAATAATACCCTCCGGGTGTTTTTGCAAATCTCCACGTTTTAACGAGTTATTAAATCCGACCCCATTCAAGATATGATACACTACCCTTATCTTTCCACCCCTCGACTTTAAGATATTTTTTTAAAATTAATATATTCTATTCTTTGTATTGCAATAATTTTTATTTCTGTTTATTCTATTTTCAATAAGAAAGATTAATTTGTCCTGCCAAACAGATCTCGATGGTTTCCTGTAACGTTCCGTCACGACAATTATAAACGAACGGAACTATTAACTATCGTTCGGCGTCGTGCACCGAATTCGTCTAATTCGTTCATTTATCTAGCAACGTCACTCACAATATAGCCAATTCCCGAACGCATTGGATCATTACGAACGAACGGAACAAGTAATAATCATTCCAAATCCTGCACCGAAAGTAACCGAATGCTCCGATTTCATTCGTTTATCTAATCTAGAACGTCATCTACAAATTAGCCAATTCCCGAACGCGTTGGAACTAAATTCAAAACGACGAAATCAAACGATACAAACCACTATCTCGATCGTTTAATATTATTTATTATTATTAATCATTTATATATAATAAATGAACTAAATTAAGAATCAGTTTAACAATAAATAAGGGGGAAAAAAAGAAACCACCCTTATTAAAACTGGCAACATGAAATATCATCGCCGTACCACGTGACCCGGCCAACCCCCTTATCAAAATTACAAATCGGCTGAGAAAATCGTTTTATTTGGCCGGATGGCGATTTTAATCGCTTAATTTAAATTAATTTCTCTAATTAAGGGCATTATATTCTAGTTTGATTAACATTAAAATCCCTTCGGCCAGCACTCTACAAGATGCTAACATTTAATGTGGCACTTTTGTTCATTTTGGCACTGAATACCAATTTTAAATGCATTCGATCGGATATGTTCGATCAGGCCGAAACCGAGCTGACCATGACCATCAAGCCCAGGACCACCGAATGCTTTTACCAATTTGCCAAGACCGGAGAGATCCTGGAGATTGAATTTCAGGTGAGAATCAATGTTGTTTTTTACTCAAATCTCATGTATTTTGCTTTATATTCTCTAATCTTATTGATTCTGTGTTATCTGTAGCATCTGCTAGAACCTATTGCTTCGTCCGGTTGACTTTTGGAAGAGATTCTAACATAAATACTCATTTTCTAGGCTCCGGTCTCTATAAAAGACTTCGCGATCTGCCCGAAATCTGTCTGAGACGAATGGAAGCGGCATAAACTTGCTGCGAGATCGACAGGAGAGACTCGGGTCGTTACGACCGGTTCGTCTGTATAAAAGCATCGGGATCGGTTTAAAATCAATATAAAACAGTTACGATCGATTCACTCCGTCGTTTGGATCGGTAGAAACATTCACAATTGGTCCAAAATCATTATAAAATTGACAGGAGCGGTTTGAAAAACAGTACAGTCGACCCCCCTATAACACTGTTGATTATTCCGTTTTATATGAATTCTATGTTGTACGAGTCACTTAGATTTTACAAATACGTGTGCCGGGCTGTGAACGGCTCTCGTATTTGTAAAATCTAAGTGACTCGTACAACAGGGAATTCATATAAAACGGAATAATCAACAGTGTTATAGGGAGGTCGACTGGTATAAGAATTGTCAGAATTGGTTTGTGTCGTAACATCTGTACAAATTCTATATTAAAGAATCTAAATTTGGCAAAATTATTGGTTAATTATCCACAGAATTGCAGATTTTCTTCTGCTCGATACGTTAAATAATTTAGTTTTAACTTTTCCAACCCATTTCGGAACGTTCGTTCTATCTTTGGAAATGTTTTTGACTTTCTATTGGATGTTTTCCTATTCGGACTTTCGGAACATCCTTCGTTCCGTTCTCGAGCGTAAACATTCGCTTTTAAAAGATGGTGGATATTCCAAAAGCATTTAATGCCAAAAACACCAATAATGTATTAAGTATTACGTACAACAGTCTGTATTCTAAATCCCACATTAATATACGAAATCAACAGGTAATTTTTGAAAATAATTGATTCGCTAATGCTCTTTTCGGAAGGCAGTTCTGTTTACGATAATCTGAGACGACGTGGAGCATCGTTCCATATTGACGAAATTGTTTGTTTATACTGAGTCAAAATGGCATCAAACGGGATTGATTAAGATATTTGGGCTTTTAGTTAACTTCCCTTACATCTCGCGCAGGAAACTGCTTATAAATTTACATTCTAAGAGGTCGTGCGAATAAACGTCTTTGTTTTTTAAATTTTTAACAAGTAATGCAATTATGCTTTTGCATAATCATGATTAGAAGTGATATTTATGCTAGGAAGCATTACAGAGTCAAACTTTTGTGCTAGTTTTATAATAGTAAATATGCATCTCGGTTGTGCAATTTTCCTATTATTTCTGCTTTCGTCTAAACTAAAATCTTGATAATTTGACAAATAAGTTAACAGATGCCATATTAGAAATTGTTATTCAATTATTCATAAATATAAAACCTTAAATATGAGCAGACTTATTAGAATTATGTTAGTGATTCAGATCTATAAAAATATTTTGAATATGAGTAATTGTATGATTTGTTTCGTCGGATTGATCAAATGTCCGAAAGTGGATTTTATGCTTTGTAAATGATTAAACTTTATCATTACTTTTATGCATTGTTTATTGTAATGGCTTCTTTTAGTGATTTTGAAAGATTGCGGTGCATTATAGTTTGTGTTCACTTCTGTTGAACAAACACGTGTAACAAATATGCAAAAGTAGAATATGAATATCTGAACACTTTAGAGCCTGTACACACTAGGCATTTTCAACGCGCGTTTTAAGGACCAAGAGTTCTATGTAGCCGTACACACTCAAACGCACGCTTTTGGCCAAGCGCGCGTTTATAGATGCAGGCGCTTTGAGATATATGTGCTGTCATGTTACTGTACATTATAGCGACGATGGAGGAGCACAAACAATCAATTACTTTCACGTCCATTTCCAAACTGAGCCAGTGCGAACGCCGAACAAACGCTCGTCGAACGCCGAGCTAACGCGCATTTAAAAACGCCTAGTGTGTACAGGCTCTTAATGCTTTTCACTGCTACAGTAGATCAAATTAATTTTGATATCTTTAGCATATTTAAAAAGGTCCCAAGTAAAACTGGCCATACTCACCGGAAACAAGACAAACAAATTTAGATAAAGCACAATCATTAGAAACATTATTTTAACATTATTCAGATGTACACATGCTGAAAGCTGTAAAGTATTGACATAGGTTTCCCGTTGCATGACGACTATTCCTTTGCTCTTATCTGATTTGACCATTGTGATGTTGTTAGACTGAAAGCTGTGTCATCTTGCTTCTATGCACCTGTCTGTATGTTCAGAGTGACCTTTATGTGAAATACTAATATCGATAGCTTCAATACTACCAAGAATGCCTTCAGTTCGAATATAGTTCTGAGATCAGTCTCATACGCTTTCCCTTTTAAATATTCCTTGTAAAATCTACATCACTAATGTTTCATCGCAGTGGGGCTGATTTTAAGTGGAGCATCCTGTACAACAAAAGACGCTGCATCCATGCTTGCGAATAAATAGCATCTGAGAATTGTCAGTAGTACATGGGATGATTGAAAAGTCTCTATGTAGGGCGTACCTTATTATGCACACTGATAGAATGTGATAAACTGTTAAATTAGTGCCATTTAAATGAGCATATGCCATCCTCATACAATTGCATATATCCATACTTAATTAATGGTAAAAGGAACCCCAGCTCCCAAGCCTCATTTCCAAGTGTAAAGATTGAGTAATATAAAAAGTATTATTAATTGTACATGTTTACTACCATTCTACATTAATTCTTTTCACATCTTGTAAAATTAATCAAATAGATCCTTGATTATTATTTAATCTATAATATTATGTAACTGACTTTGCAGTACAACTGTTTGCTTTTGGTTTCACGTATGCTTCCGTTCAGCTCTGGACTTGCTCTGTTCCATTCCCGCAAGCATCGGGGATGGTCTTGAAATAAAGGGGACACGACTAAATGCTATGTTTAGATGTAGTGTTCTGACTAAGACTCATTTTGACCCACAAATCTACATTTATGGAAGAGGTAAAGGTTTGAAAGAATCGCATTGAATCCTGACCAATTTTATTCCGAGATCATTCTTAGCACTCGTCAGATAATTGTTTAGTAAATGCAGAATCTGAAATTATTATTTGCCATCAAAATATTATTTTAATACGAATTATGCCTTTTACAGGTTGTCGATTCGAGCTTTGGAGAAATGGACATAAACAACGAAATGACTATTACGTTTTATTTATATTCGCCACAAGGTCGACAACTGATTGCGGATTATCAAAAACCGGATGCAATTCATAGGTATGTTGAAAAATGGACCGCAATTGATTTTATATGTTCTTTCATTTTATTTGCATCCCAGACATGGTAAAGTTCTAATTTGCAGTTTGAAATTTTAGCTACTATTGGCTCTTGATATAACAAACTAATAGGGAAAAACAACTGTGTACTGTAAATTTCATTTTGTAGTCAACCACAATATAAGAAAAGCAAATAGCCTATATTTTATTAAATATATTAAACTTCCATTCCTAATGGTAGGCATTAATAGTCCCACCAGTAGCTGAACAAATAAAACCACCAAACATTGGTAGTTGGTCACAGGTTCGCGCCTCTTCAATAGGCTGGTTGCATAGAGTTTTTGAGTTTTCGTTGTGTCTACACACCCGAGTAAGGGCCAGTTTCCTTTTCTTTCCGGGAGGACAATATAATACCTTTAATATGTACACATGATGTCATATTGCATCATGCATTAATAACCATAGTTACATATTCTCAAATACTGTATTTCCACTCCAAAAACAGACTTGAAACAAACTGATTTTGTACAGTATTTTGGAAACATTAAGTCGAGTCAACAGCACTTTCTGTTAAAAACTATAGATTTTTGCATGTTGAACAGAAATAAATGTGATAGATTATGAAGGGAAAGTAAGCATGAGCCGATTCTCTTGTACAGATACAAATAACAGGTAAAAATAAAACATTTATGTCTTCTAACCGAGTGATTATCGAATAGGCACGACGTTAAAGAAGACGGAGATTACAAGTTTTGTTTCGACAACGAATTCAGCCACTTTGCCACAAAATCCGTATATTTCGAGGTGTACGTGGATTCGGACAGCGACGACATTCGATGGGACGACGTCCAGATGGACTTCCCCACGGAGATTTCAGAATACACCGACAGCATAGAACAGATAAAAGTAATAAGTTGTTTGTTGTTTCAAGTAAGCCAATTAATTTAGCTTAGAGAAAACTAAATATCCTTTTCTTTCTTCCCGAAATAGGAATCCATAAATAAAGTGAGAGACAATCTGAATAAAATGAAACACTTTCAGGATCAAAAGAGGGCCATCGAAGCTCGCGACAGGAGTGTCCAAGAGCATAACTTCACTCGAGTCAACTTCTACTCCATTCTGGCCATATGCGTCATGCTCTGCGTCGGTGCCGTTCAGGTACTCACCATCAGAAGTCTATTCGAAGACAAGAGCAAACTGCACAAAATATTCAAACTGTTGTCCTGATGAAAAAAAAAATGGCCGAAAGAGTAAGCGCGGTTTTTTTTTTTTTTATTATTATTTTATTTTCTGGCCAAAAATTTTTCTGATTTATTTCCTAGTCAAAACAATTGATTTGTCGTATTGGAGTGCCTTAATTAGTTCCTAAACTATTTAGTTCACACTTAATTTTTGTTTTATGTCTGTTTTAAAGTTTAATTAATCCTTGAATCACATAAAAAAAAAGACTTATGCTGCTGTTTAAATCATATTTTTCGACTTCTGAAATTCCTACAAAACAAAAATCAAATCTAGCAATTCTCTGCCAGTTTTATGGTAGACAAAGATAACAGTTTTATGGTAGACATTACAATAAAAATACCTGAATTTTGGGCAGCTCAATATCAATTGGGACAACCGAGAACTTCACGAAGCTGTATTTTTAACCCGTGTCTTCCAAGCAATAAGTTTAAACGTAACCAAGTCTCGATTATCCTTGTGCCTTCGAATTAACTTTCGGTGGAATTTTTCCATTTGGCAGATTATCCTCGTCCTTTTTCGATGGCGGAAATTTTAACGTATTTGAATACTCAGCAATTTTTAAATTTCGTATTTATCCGAGAAATTTTATAAGCGGAGATAATCGGGTTCATCCGTTACAGTAATACAACGAACAAATTTATATTTTTGTTCTCAAATAAACCGCTACGTACAAAAGTATAATAACCGGCACTGTCAAAGCACGTCCGTTTGTCCCATCTTGTAGAGCAGCATAAATGTAGCATTCTCGTGTGTATTTGAATTCAAACTGTGTGTCATTTAAGTCAGATTTGCACAATTTTATTTACCGTTTCTTGTAAATACGACCGGCAATTTTTGTATTTAACATTCGCCGCTTAACACATTGAATGTTTGAAGTACATGATTCGTACACACAATAAAACTGCGTTCTTAAAAAAGTGTTTTGTTTATTTGAAAAATGCATGTATAATACATCATAAAATTTTATTAATAGGACAATAATGCATGCAGATTAAAGCAATAAAAAAAAATTATAAAAATCTTCAAGTTGTTGTCGAAGCCTTGAAGAATTTGGTTATCTGAAAACAGACATTAAATTTTTTAATGCTCTAATTGAAATCTCGTGGCGATGTCGTCAGAATTTGCATTCCAGAGATCATCGCCTTTACAGAAACTTTGTGATTTTTATAATTTTAAAATTTTTAATCTATCACGTAGCGGTAGAGGACTGAAATCAAGCATATTCTCCTTATCCTTACTTCTCTTATGTGATGAAACTTTCTTTTCTATTTCCTCACTAGACTCATCATCTGAATCTATAATTATGACTTGGCACGATTTGTTAGGAGAATCTATAACTATAATTGAGTTATCGACCTGCAAAGCTTTCGAGTTATTGCCGTGATAAGGCTCTGAATGTTCTCTCGACAGTTCCACGGATTCGTCGGACAGACTATCATCATCATCATCATCATCATCATCTAGGATACAATCAATTAGTTCCCGTTTTGACTTATGCTTGTATCTGCTCCATTCTACTTCCGTATGAGCTTTAAATGTATTGCTATCCTTGTTTGTTTTTGTTGCCGATATTTCTTTTGTATTTTGTAGAGCATTAATATCTATTTCCTTCAACCCTCGTCTACTTCCTTCTGACTTTAATTCCAAGTCTTTACGTAAGTCTATCAAGTTCTTATCGCATCTTACCTCCCACTGTTTTGGATCGTTGTTGACTTGTTTTCTTTTTGACTTGTTTTTCTCCTTTGCTTTCTTATCTGTAAAGTAAAATTGAACCTACTTAAACGTTTAATATTTTCGCTGTCAACTGACACAAATTTGCACCGTGTGACCTTTGTTAAGTGCCAATGATGCAATTTTGCATTATTCAGACACTGGAAGAATCTGGTAAACGTTATTTTACTTACTGCATTCTGTTTCGTAATCGATCATCAGCTTCGGATATTTTCTTTCAAAAAGTTCTCTCGGCTCCGTTGTAGTTTCATTGGCATATTCGGCTTAAATGTAAAATATTTTCTAAGTTTTTAAACGTGGAATTGACTTGGTGTAACTTAATAAAACTTACCGCTTTTGTTGATCCACTCCCACTCTACAATTACGCATCTCTGGAATTTTCGTTTACATTCTTTTACGATCCTATAGTGTATAATTAATCATCTGAGTTCATAATTTGATATTAATTAGATTGAACTCATATGACTTACCGAACTGGTTTGAAAATATTTGAATCCACAAATTCGGCATCCTCGGGTGTGGTAATTTGCCACAACGTAATGAGAGGAACGACTTTTTCTCTGATCGCTTCTACTGTCCAACCTAATTTGCTAGACATGAAGTTCTAGCAAAAATTGCAATATTTAGGATTTTATATTTATGATTAGGACTTTTAAAGTAGAAATGTTAACCTGTAAGCTTGTCAAACTCGGTCTATTCCACTGTAGCGGGATGCTGTCAAAGCTGTCCGCAAATCCGAGATACTCTTCCGTGATCTGTTAAGTTCAATATAAATAATTATCGCTGCAAGTTTTAAGTGTGTTACTAAATCTTTACAACAGAACTAACATTTCTGTGGGGAAAGTTCGGATCTTCCAGTGCCTTTCTCGATACGTTAAATTCCAAATCCATCTCGTGGGCCCGGTGCCACTCGCACGGACAAGGTAGTACCTTGTTGTCCAGGCAGCAGACTTTGGTTTTACACAACTGGCAACCAGATGTGGAATGCTTTCTGTTGGTTCCTGAAAATATTGCACAAACATGGCATGCAATTTCCTAGATCGGTGCCCGAACTACCAATCAAAGAGTTTGATCATTGCCGTTATAGATAGCCGAACGTAAAATATTTTAGAATAAAATTACACATACCTGGATGATTACATTTATTACAATGTGTTAGACTTTTCTTAGTCAGTAAGGAAGTGTCTATGGAAGCAAACACGTCACCATTCTTCCACTGGTGAAATCTATAAAATGTATATATTCAATTAGAAATGAACACAGAGTAATATTTAAGTAAAGAAATTGTTAAGCCAATTTTCACTTATTGATATATGGTATTGGAATAAGAAAACAGTCCATGATTCTTCCTAATATAGTTAAGTCCAACGCACAATGAAGGACAGGAGTAATAATCTGATCTGAACTACTCACGAAAGTCTATATCAGATTCAAACCTAGATCTATTGTGATGAGGCATGTGCTTTATCTTATATAGTTATGTAATATAAAGCATAACGCAGGGTGATTGAAAAGTCGCACACTTTAGGAATCAATTTTATTTTGTGATGTTAATGTATGAAAATACAGAAGATAGTAAAATCAAACTTTATAATCTGAATAAGAAGCATTTTATACTACAATTTATGCATTTTGATGTGTGCAACTTTTCAATCCTGTAGAAAGCATTATACCAGGTGTTCAGAAAACACTATAGAAGCACCCGACAAAGCAAAAATCCATCCAGCAAAGCACGACATTATTGGTACTTTGCTGGATGGCACTCTTAATGTCATTGGCTGCCTCCTTATGTGTACATTACAACATAAACCTGACGGGTGGCATTGTGTACTGTACAGTACTTCCCATCTGTGATAGATTTGCAGATTGTATGGTTACAGTGTGCTTTCAAAAGTTTCCAATGTCCTGATCCAAAATCCTGATGTCGATTTTCAATAATAACTGAAAAAGGTGTACTGTACTGTACATTTCAAGCATCTATTGTAACGGCGATGATGCAAATTACTGTGTCTTAGCAGTAGTATTTTATTACTCCAGACAGATGTTTAAAGTTGGTTTAGCAGAGAATAGTGTGTGACAGAATTAGATACACAAAGGCACAGACAATCCAAGAACATCCACAATGCTTGTGAGTGAAGTATACTCAACGTCAGCAGGATTAACCAAATGATTACTTGATCAACGAGTTCTTGGGCCATCTTTTATTGATGGCATCCTTAATTCCCAAAAGTATTGGAGTTCTTAGTAGAGCATGTTGAACTAATACTTGCAAATGTAATTCTTGATAACATCATTTTCTATCAACACAATGGGCCTGCATTTTCTCACGTTTTCCAATTAAAGAATGGTTACAAGCCACTTTTCCAGGGATGTGGATTGGTCAAGGTCTATATACATAGCTTCCAACTCTCCTGATTTGATGCCGTTAGATTATGTAGCCCCAGTAAAAAAAAAAGGACAGGGTTTATCAAACAGCATTTGAAAATGTCACAGATTTACGACAATTATAATTGATGTTTCTGCACAGATAATTGCTGACCAGCTTAGGAGAATTGAGGAAGATTTTGTGTTCAAAATGGATGGTCCACACTGACAGTATGCAAGGCACGCTGTCAGTGTGGACCATCCATTGAACACCTCATGAAATAGATAAAATGTCCTTGTCAATACTTTCATTTTTCTTGGAGTTTACAAAGAAGTTTTTCATTCATTTCAGCAAAGAAGTATGAATTTAACATGTATTTCTATTTTCAATTAAAATGTTTACAATTTAAAACAACCAAATAGTTCAGCAGTTCCTAGCTTATTTTTTATCGCAGAACCCTTTCCATCGTAGTAAAAACCATTGGAACCTTGATAATTTTTAATGAATATATATAAAACAGCAAATAGAAACAAAAAAAAGCAATTTATTGAAAATGCAGAAAAAAAAATTAATATTTGCTTACAATTATTATGTTTAATATTATTACTTAATTTAAACTGGTCGTTAATGTGAAGGGTTAAACTTCTTTTCTTTCAATATGTTAAACAGTACTAGTGCCTTCGTTTGTACTTTCCAGTCTCCTTGTCACTAGAAACATTTGAAGTACTTGCTACATTTTTCTTCAAACCTCTTCTCTCAACCAACACTCCATAATTTTTTTAATTTGACACATACACAATATATACAGTATTGTAATATGTAGATTGTAGTATATAGTGTGTACTGTGCGATCGGGCATCTGACTGACCATTCCCATCGTTAGATTCAATAGGCTTGCTCAGATCAATGAATTAAAAAGTATTTAACAATTGTATTGTAAATATGTAAGATATTTTTTATGGTTTTTTAAAATTTTCCAGCTCTAAGTTTTACTGTTTTTATGATTTTGGTTCGTTCCATTACCGATAAATCAGTTCCCACTGTTTATAAAGCTGTAAATAACTCTAGCATGTCATAAGAGGACTCGGTCAGAGACTAGAACAATTACACCTCACGTACCAAATCTGCATTGGCGCATTCATACATAACTAGACTCAACAGATTTTATTGCGGAAACCCAAATTTTATTGCAGAACCCGAGGGTTCCGCAGAACACAAGTTGGAACACGGGAATCACTGCAACCGTCAATCAGTATTGTACATATGTGGTATAAGGGTTGTTATTCCTATATAAGTCATGTTATTATGCAGAATTATGTGAAAATTTAACAATTGTCAGAATACTGCATATTGTACTTGCTGAATGTCATTCTNTATAAACGAAAAATCATAGGACTACTTACCGGTTGTTCCCCGTTCGAGACGCCATTGTTTAAGCTTGCCGTCGTCGTGGAGGTGTACACTGGACGGCGGATCCACACAAACCGTGTCACGTGATCCGATTTCGACGTCACTCGATCACGTGACTAGGTCTCTGACGCGTTTCCGTGTAGCTTTTCTTCTCACGGAAGAATCCGTTCTCTTTGTACTAATCACGTGATAGAGCAAACGACTTATTATAACACGTGGTTAACTCTTTTGTCACGTCAAACAGCTCGCGGTCTACAGTTTGACAACTTTGCCTAGTTACGCTTCCGTAACATCGTAACGTTCTATATCCAAATTCCAGTTAATATTTGAACTGATACGATTTTAATTTAAATGATTTTAATGAAAAGGTTATCCACAAAAATTATCAAAAACAAGCAAATCGGGTCACGTGACACGGTTTGTGTGAATCCGCTGTCCAGTGTACACCTCCACGACGACGGCAAGCTTCAGCAATGGCGTCTCGAACGGGAAACAACCGGTAAATAGTCCTACGATTTTTCGTTTATAGCACTGTGTAAACGGGTCGCCCGGAAAAATGTTATGCGTTTTTTTGAATGTAAATTAAATATACATTCTTTAAATATAATAAAATTTAAAAAATTCATATTCCCTTAATCTGCACAATTCTCCACCAACAAGCCAGCGACTGACAAACAACCTAAGTAAACACTGTTAATGACCTTAAACCATAAATATTGTCGCGAGTTTAACGCGTGCCGGGATAAAATTATATGTACACTAGTTCTAATTTCTACGCCTAAATATCAACCAATAATTTACACTTTGTTATCAATTGATGAGAGATAAAGAGATAGATTTCTAATCTTCTTGTAATCATACCTCGAACCGAAAAATCAACCAACCACCTAATTTTTAAAATTGCACTATCTAAGTACAATTTTAAAGAAAGCAAAGAGTGATGTGAAATTCCAAGTGCATATAATTTCATAAAAGAAAGTAACCCTTTAAAATTTTAATAAATTTAAAACATCGCCTTCTCCATCGCAGCCCTACACTTGTGTCACCGATCAGAATCCCTTTTTATGACGTTACGGGAAAATATCCCACTAGTATATGCAAAGAGGTATGAACGCTTATTATTGTAAACTCTCTCTCTCATCCGCGAAGTCTAAGGAGTTTTGTAAGATTTTATTTAGTTACTTAGGTTAATAAACTCTTGTTTTGTTTTTTAAATGGTGTCGTTACTCGACTTTGCCAACGTCTTATCTAACGTCTAATCCAAATCTAAACCCAACGCCGAATCCCCTTACGTTGGGAGGATTGAGTAGAATCATACCCTTATTACCTGTATTCTCTGGCGAGGCTGGAGGCCCCAGAGTTACAGACTTCTTTGATTCATTAACGGATGTCACCAAAGTAGCGGCATGGTCAAAAGCACAAATGTTGGCCATTGCAAAACTTAAACTTACCGGGATAGCCCGGGAATTTGTTAGGAAGGACCATCGAATCAAGGAAGTAGAGGAATTAGACGAGTTTAAGCGACTGATGATAGAGCGCTTTGACCGCAAACCCTTTACATTTCAACTAAATAGATTTTATACATGCGTGCAGAAACAGGAGGAAGATGTACAGACATATGCTGCTCGACTACAGGCATTGGCCACGGAGATAGAAATCACACCAGATCCTGGCACAAATGCCGCAGAAACAGCCATCATTCACAGAGTCCAAAGCAAGGAACTAGATGAGAGATTAAAGGCACAATTCCTAAACGGAATTGACATATGCATAAGGCAACGAACAATGTCCCGAGAGCCTGCCACCTTTGACAATGCGCTAAAAGCCGCCATTAGCGAGGAAAGAATAGAGAACCTTACCGCACATCCTCGAGAGATCATGCGAACAGTTAGAGAAGGTGACAAATTGACCAATTCCTCCCCCTCTTTAAACGATCTACAGTAATTAACTGAAGCAATGAAGGAGCTTAAGGCTTGCATGGAAGGTTTAGTCAGATATCCCTCTCAAAACGACTTTAGAAATCCTAACTCAAGAAGAAACCTGCACGGAAACTATACTAATAACAATTATAATAACAATACTTCAAATAATCCGACCGCTCAAAGAAGGGAATATCGGACGAACTCCCCTAATCGACAATTCGATCAACCTAGTAGACGACTTAATACGAATCAATCCTGGAACCGGAATACTCCCGGCCAGCGACCTAATCAACGTAACAGATGATCTATGCATCCACAACTTGGCTTTCCTGTGCGACAAGAAGCTGAAAGTGCTAGAAATAGAGTACGCTTCCGATCTCTGCCAACGGAAGAGACACCACACAAATGGCAAGGCAATGTACATAGCGTTGAAAGTCCCCGACCTCAATTTAAATATAGAGGAGAAAATTCTAGGCTGCCTCTTTGTAACTTTAGTAGGAAGCAAGGGCCAGAGTTAACCTTAAATGAACAGACCTATAAGAATTCTCCAAGAAGGTATCGGGGAAATTTCTCCCTGCAAATTTCTAAGTATACTACAGAGAGAAGTGAGGCTACATTTGATTGTTATATAGGAGGTAATCCAGCAATAGTACAAGTAGACACGGGAGCTAAGGTGTCCCTGTTATCTAAGGCTTTCGCCAATACTATGAGAAAAAGGTACCCATTCACTATAATAAGAAAACAGACCTAAGTGCTACTGGACATTTAATCCGAACCTATGGCATTACTAGCTCTATTTTCCAAATTGGGGATTTACAATTCCCTTTCGCCTGTTGCCTGGTAGATATAGATGTGACCTATCCATGTGATGGCATTATTGGCCGAGATATGATAACAGAAAAGGGATTTTGCATTGATTTAAAAGGGGGAGAGATGCTGATTCCTCCGCATACTGTCGTACCTTTTCATACTCCAGGGAATGTGAGGAGAAAAGCGGNCACCCCATTAAAATATATCATTGTCTTTTCTTTACTCCAATTCAATTTATGATTTTATGCCAGAATAGGTATGTGAAGACAATGAGTATTGTAAAATAATGGTCAAATTACTCCTCACCTGTCTAATATATCGACGTCTTTCAATTTCTCTAACAATTTCATAGCTTTCTCCTTCCCGATACCAGGAATGCCCGTCTGATGGTAGTCGCAACCCAGAATTACCGCCAGGGCCACTAATTTCCTACGATCGAGATTCAGTTTATTTTCGATGTCGTCCATGCTGTACGCTATAACATGAGGATCCTGAAATAAAATATAGTATTTTAATTTGAAACGCCGTTAAGCCAATTTGGAAATATCTACAGACAAATAATTCTATCACCGTTGGAGTGGTGCTGAAATCTCTGTAGACGGTCCTTGCGCCATAAAGGAAAGCATCGCTATCATCCGTGACGCATCCGGACACGAGCTGTAATAATGCCATATCATAAGAGACAATTCCTCCTGATACTGTATAAATATAAAGTGTTATACCTTTTTGCTATTAAGAAATGCACATGTAGCTTCTGCCTCACCACAACTTTGAATGCACACAAGTCCCAAGTTCTCTATCAATTCTCTACACTGTTAAAAATATACACCAAATAATGAAAATTTAAGTATACAATTAAACAGCCAAACTTATTAGTGTGGTGCTCTTAAATCTTATGTCTTGGATAATTAATTAAGATAAAGAATACAAATCAAGGCACTACTGTATATAGTTTGTTTGCATTTTCGTTTGAATTCTTGCAAATTTCCATCGTTATTTTTTCCATGGAATCGATACATAAACTGTTTGCAACATAGTCAACTACTGTAAACATTTACCTCTCTCAATATGGATGTAAAGTGTTTTCTGGAACAGAGTGATGAAGATGTCCGGTCATTGGATTTCTGTCTCTGAGACAGCGTATCTTTCTTTACGTTCGGTGCAATGCCTTCCAACACGAATATCGGTTTTATTCCAAGATGTAACATACACGATATGCGAAAAAATAGATTCCTGGAAATCATCAATAAAATTTTAAATTGCGTCTTTTGCATATATCCTATGCCTGAAGTTAAAATCCTACCGAATGTGTGGCTTTTTTATGTTGGCGGCCAGTTCTTTCTGCCTATTGCTCTCGAGAATCCATCCGCTGAGATCCACGGCCACGGTCTGATCCTGCAGTTCTTCCAGTGGTACTCTCTGTCCGACGGGAGCGAGAATATCCCACAGGTGATTGACTCCCATCTGTAATGTATTTTTATGGATTCCTAATTAACATAACATTAAATATTTATGTCATAATAGATTTTAATCCAAGGAAGGGGTCACAAAAACTATATCACACACTGCGGAGGGTGAGAATTGAAACATTGAGTACATTCCAGTACGCATCAGCCACAACCGGTGCACCTGTGAACACTTAATGTGTTTCTACCAGAATGTCCACAACACTGCTATCTCGGGGCTCGCCATATCTGCAGCTCAATGAGTGCAATGTACTGTACATTGGTTTCTGCACCAATGAACTCATTGGTGAGTAGTGTAATGCATCTTAGTGCATAGGTAAACCATTATATACTGTTTGATGCATTCTGTAATGTGCCCATTGTCTACGTGGACATTTCAGTGGTATTATGGGGTATGACTTTGTTCTTATAATCCGACTTACTAGTAATGAATAAACTTCGGTTAGAAAATATATGCAAAACTTTAAAGTCATTTCTTCAATGTTGGATTCACAAACTATAGTTTACATAATTAACGGGGAGAAAGGGTTTGCCAAAGTATATCGTATACAACGGGGAGGGAGAGCGGTCAAAAGTGGCTCAAAACTATACACGTAATTAATGGATAGCTCCAACGGTTATCGAGTTATCCATATTTGGGCAATTTTAATTAGTGCATTTGTAACAACAATTACATTGACGGTCGAGTGCAAAATTTGCCGTGCGCGATTCGTATTTGGGATCAAACGACAGATCTTGGATTTGCCTCTCGTTAACATTCTAAGCCATCAAAGCTCAATAAATATTGAAATTGCTTGTTAAAGCGACTTACATAGAACTGTAGGTGTTTTCAGGCCTACAGATGTAAGTGCAAAGTCTACATCAATTAGTAAGCCAGACAACAGATTCTGATAGGCAAATAATGCTTTGGGTTACGGGTGTCCAGCCTAACTGGAGCCTCGTTAAACAGTGAAGGGCCAGAAACAGTAAGGATATTAGTGTTTGCTCAGATAAAACAGTTATTTATTCATACATATTCAAAAAGTATAGTTTTTTAATTTATTTATACTCTAAACACTTAGACTTGTGGCCCTAAGCTACAGCATGTGAGCGGCCCTTATCCTGCACCAAATAATACATGTAAAAATACAACACAAGACCCAATCAGAACACACTTCTATAATGTTGACGTATTGTTGTACATTAATACGTCAATTTGAGTCATTCTACGCTTCATTATTATATCTTTATAATAATGACGTCAAAAAAGTTTAATTTTTTATTCCTTTTGGCTGCAAAATGATCAAAACAATAACAAAATTAGTTTATATTTAAACACCTGATTGATAGAGACGAGTTAAATCATTGATTCTAAACAATATAATGGCGACGAAGACTTACCTTTATCTAAATTTTGTACATGTAAATCGATTAAAACACATATAAAATCGAATCAATAACGATTATTTAAGTAAAAAAAAATCCATTCAACTTGACAAGCAAGCTTCTAATCGACCATTTTCTTTTCTATTTATCAAAAACAAAAAAAAAATCACGTGGTTAAACAGTTTAAAAGTTTAAATGTCGATTCTCTACAGCAACGTAACGTTCGATTCGACCAATAAGAAAGCGCCTTCTACGTACTGACGAATGCCAACGATGTAAACGGCATTCTCGTTTCTTTTACAATAAATCACGTGATAAAAAAAAATATTACGTTTACTTTAACGTTATTTTCGTACATTCTGACAAATCAAATTCGATGACGTCAAAAGTCGTTTTAAAAATTATGAAGTTGAATTAATTAATAAAATTCCGCCGTTTGCAGATTTTTATATTATTTATTCAAAATATTTTGTTAATTAATTCTAAAAAAATACTTCGTAAATAAATTATTACGATCTCTACTCACCAGAGGGAGAACAATAGCTTTAGATCACATTACGTTTGTTATAAGAGGATTTATTAACATACGATTGGTCAAAAATAAAATACTTAGTGACGTAACAAATGTTTTTAATACTATATTTCTTAGTGTGTTCATTAAAATCGAGCTTCATATTTATTCGAATTACTTTACTTTAACATCGATTTTTATATTTATTTTTAAATCATAAACCCGCTCTGATGGGGTCGAGTTCGAGTCCGGATTAAAAATCTTAAAAACGTCATCCATCACAGGGAATGTTTTGAAAACACCCCGTGATACCGGATGCGGAAATGTAATACGACGTCTTTTGTAATTACATAATTAACATAGTTCGGTGACAAAATTTTGCTCCATTTTCTTCTGTGTTTTCCCGTTGTCGGGAAAACACAGAAGAAAATGGAGCATAAAAAAACGCGATTATAGCGCGATATTGAGCTATATAACCGAGGCCAATCCGTTGTCTTTAAGTTAAAGAGGGTGCAGCTCATAGAATTATGAACTAATCCGCGCTTCGAATGTCACTCAAATACAAATATTCATTAGCCACGGAGACGTCAGGCATCCCGCCTTCATCACATCCTGTAATGCCATAAGCTACTGGTGTAATACTTTCAGCTCGAATGCGCTTATTATACAATACTATTTTAAAACACTAGGGGTTCTCCAACAAGGATGTGTGACGTTATATGGTTTGCCGTTTTCAAAAGTGTCGCACGACATTTTAAATTAGGTAAGATATAATTTATAGTCTACATTTTATTAATATCTTTCTGTAGTGTCTAATTTATAACTAAAAATAGAATTTATGGGTATTAAACCTAAAATATAACAAGCAATCATTTATTATGACACGGTAACAATGCCGACGTCATTATAAATGAGCACCTGGTCAAAAATAGTGTGTAACCCGACTTATGTGGGTAAACCATTCTTTAAAATTTGTGAATTTAGTCGATCCCTGTTCCCATGGATGAATATTTTCTGTGCCGTTCTGTGGTCTCTAAGATTGGCATACCAATCGTACCATTCGTCTAGGCCCACAATGGATGTGCCCGGGTGTTTAAGGTCGGGGTTCACATATTCAAGACCCATAACACATGAACAATTCCTGGATTGTTTTGACTGCCCAGATCCTCCTCGGTTGTGGGTTCATCCAGATACACAGTGGAGTGTCTGGACGATGATGAACTAAAGCCAATTTATATGGATCAGCCGGTCCACCCGAATTCGAACCCTTGTATCTCGGAGCATTTTAACAGCCGCGTAATTATATATAGGACTTATAAATATTTAAAACTTATAATTTTTTCAGATTTCAACATGATGTCAGGAAAACCTGTTCGTTGCAATTCAAAAGTGTTTTTATTTTACTTGTTACTATTATTCTTGATGGTGTTCTTGTTATATTGTCACTTCAAGAAGAAGAGTTTCATTTTCGAAATTACCACACTGGAAAAATCAAAGCTGAAAATGTGTGCCAGACCGAAAATTGTGATTTCTCATGGAGATCAACCAAGATATGTCAGAATATATACAGAAGTCCAGTATGACCTTGATCCAAAAACCATTCTTTTATGGACGACAATTCCTTCATGCAATGCTACACCATGTTACTACTTTTTCTTAGATGGGAAGACCACTTTCAAAAAGCATCTTTGCCCTTACAGTGACTGCATCGTTACGTCGAACAGGTCTTACCAGAAAAGTGCTGACGCCATTATATTCCATCAGAAAACTTTTAACCCATTAGACTTACCGAAATCTCGTCTTATAAATCAGAAATGGATATTTTATCATCTGGAATCTCCGGTGACATTTAAAGTACCTTGGTACACTAGAAATAACATGTTTAACTGGACCATGAGCTACAGGAGTGATTCGGATGTGCAGGCAAAATACGGAGAGGTGTGTCAGTTACCACCAGAAGAATGGGAAGACAAACGTGAGGACTATCTTCAGAATAAGAGTGGTGAAGTCTTGTGGTTCGTAAGCCACTGCTCCACGGCTAATAACAGGATCGATTACGTTGAACAGTTATCGAAATATATCCGAGTGGACATTTACGGCAAGTGTGGCACACTGAAATGTGAACCCACCCAATCGGCCAAGTGTTACGAAGACATTCTTAAGTGATACAAATTTTATTTGTCATTCGAGAACTCTAATTGCAAGGACTACGTCACAGAGAAGTTGTTTAACGTATTAAATTACGACATACTTCCAGTAGTAATGGGGTCAGCAGATTACGAGCCCATAACTCCTCCTAATTCGGTTATAAATGCCATGGATTTTCCGAATCCCGCTGATTTGGCCCAATTTCTGAAGACCGTTGGCAGCAACCGCACTTTATACAACTCTTACTTCGAGTGGAAAGGGAAGTACAAGAGTTATTTGCATCCTTGGATGTGCGATTTGTGCAAAAAGTTGCATTTGTCGGCGGGGGAAAGAACCGAAAGAAACGACATTTATAAATGGTGGTACACGGATGCCGACTGTAAACGATGGAAATCAAATAAGTTTGTATAAATATTTTCATGTAGAAAAATAAGATGTCTGTGATCATTTCTTATGAGGTCTGTCCAATTACGTAATTGTAGATGTCATAAGAAAATTTCAAAAGTTTTTATTCTTTTATTACACGGTCCTAAGAAACTTTTGTGATGTATTTCTATCCGATGCAGCCAAGAAATCAACAGGATATATAGAATTGTACTGATGTTTAGATGAACAGGATCTCTGAATAAGATCCTACTAACAAGGTTTACTGAAGGAAGACCAACTTGTAAGTGTTCTGAAATAAATTCCGAACTTCAGGAGGACAGGGGCCATATTCTGGTCACTGTCTCTGGTCTATCGCAAGCCGGTCGCTGATTGGCTAATCATTTGAATTAGCCAATCAGCGACCAGCTTGCAAGAGACCACAGACCAGAGACAGTGACCAGAATATAGCCCCTGATCTTCCTGAAGTTTTCAGAAATCGATAAAATCACATTTAGAAATCTTTGTAGTGGCAAAATTTGATTTCGAAAATATATAATTAGTGAAAGATTAGGCATTTACAATTTATAAAACGTTAATTACTTTGTAGATGTGGTAGGTGGCACCCTTCACCTAGAGAGAGGCGACAACGTAATTCAAATGCAAAAAACCCACCAGTGGCCGAGTGGATAAAACCGCGAAACACTGGTAGTTGGTCATGGGACTGAACAAAGGTCAGTCAGGTGGAGTTTACCAGGCTTTCTTCAAACGGATGCGTAGTTTAATATTTATAACGTCTATATATGTATATTGTATTTTATGATTTGTGTGTATTTTGTTAGTTTTATTTGACTGAAAAGGGGCGTTTTTAGCCCGAAACGTGTACAAATGACGTATAAGTGTGTCAACTAAATAAAGGTTAAGATGAAAAATGCCAAGTGGTCCAGTGATTGAACAAAAGAAAAGGTTAAAATCTTTTATATACTTTCATTCATATTCATTAATTATGTAGGAATTGTTATTCCAAAAAGAATTTCTTATAATCCAGATTTTGTTGTAGGATCAGATAAATATCTGTTCCTACAACAGATTATTCACACTTTCTATGAATAGAGGAAAGCCACAAAACATCAGAATATGTAGAAAGTGACAAGATAACAACCTCAAAACCACACACAAGTAACTAAAATTTTAAAAATATCAAATTTTCATTTACATATTTACAAAAATAGTTGAATACAAATTTAACATTCGTCCTCTTTCAGTGCATATCGAATGTCATCGATGGAAACGTTGACGCGAATTCTTTGGTACAAGTCGCAGCGGCCGTCTTCCACCAGAAGTAGTCTGCAGCTTCCCAGTTTCATGCATATCGAGCTGGCTTCGGACGTAGTGGGAGGACCGATACCTAGATTACGATATCCCTTAAATATCCTATGTATCATTTCATATTCAGATTTATATAATTACTGTACTTACCTTCAAATCTGCAGTACGAGATGTGCTGTCGAAATACTTGAGAAAATGTAGCCTCCTCTACTCCCGTTCTCTGAAATTCTGCCATTAATGATTTTAAAAATATTTTTTCGTGCAGAGTTAACGACCTGAAAGAAGAGTAGACATTATAGTAGAACTAATCCCTTGTATTAAATTAATGTTAGTAAATAAATATAGAAAATTAATACTTTATGGCCAGGATTGCTGGAGAGGAAAACATTTCCCTTAGAGCTTTCTCAATGTGAATCATTCCGACAAGACAGGAGGGCTTTATACCCGCCGTTTCCCTTTCAGCTATTTCTGTAGCCCTCCTGCATATATCCAAGGCTCGTCTTGCGTCGCCTGAGACTGCTGCTACCTGATAATAATACATATGAAAATCAAATTAGAACATTTCATAATTATACAAAAATCTAGACACTTATGATATTAGAAGTTGTGTTTCCTACTTAACTTCAATTCTAATAACATACTCATTGCCATAAAAATTAGTCAACCAAGAAGGAACTGTCTGCATCAAATGAAATTGTACATGTAAGAAATTGTACATGTAGGGGACAGCAAGCTGTCCCCTAGTTCGACCAAACTCCTAGGTTCCAACTTGGAGTCCCAAGTGATCCCAGACATGTTTGATCTATGACAAATCGAAGGACTGTACAGGCCAGGAAAGTGTGGCAACATGCATTTAAAACAACAAATTTAGCAGGCAGTCCTGTGGCACACTTGCTATGTGTAGTCGAGCATTGTGCTGTCAGATAATTTCACTAACGCCCTAACCCATGGATCATTTCCTGCACCCTTCTGTTTTACTCGTTGCACTGCCTCTCCCACAAGATGCTAAATTTTCTAACAGTCAAACCCTATATATTGCATGAATCTATATCATTCCTTACAAATATTTAAGTATGAATTAAACTTGTATAATACTACTCAAATAAAATTATATAAATAATTGTATTAACCTTCCATACTAATACTAAATGTAACCGCATTAGTAGTGTGGCTAAACAATAAAACAAAAATTGTATATTATAGGACTCCTTGTCCCGCTCACACTATGCCAGGTTCTCCTACTAATACTGCAGTGCTCGATAGCAGTCGACTTCCTGATGGATTCAGCACTTCTATTTTTCTTCCTTATCATCTTTTACACCAGGCCTTCTGCACCAGTAGCTGGCTTTTGACTTGCCAACATGTAGGCTGTGAGGAGTTTTCCCTACAATAACCCTAGCATATCCCTACAATAACAATCACGATAAATATGGTAGTACAGTACAAAATTTGACACCGGAATCAGTATGGCTAATGTTCATTAAGTCGAATCCAATATAAACAAACACTGGAAACTTTTACAATACCTTTCTGGCTGCTAACTGAATGGCATCGGGATCAAATGCTCGAGACATACTCATTCTCGAGAGCAGAATCTCTTGAAGCTGTTGGTGTGTATATGGCTGGAAAGTCATTCTGGTGAGTCCCTATACAAAAACGAAACACTTCAGTAAAAATATACATACCACATTTAACTAAAAGATATTTTAATCCTTACCAATCGACTGACAACACGGTTCATAAGCATTCTCTCTGGAAGATCCATCGTATTGGCAATGGCAACGACGATCAATTTCGAAGAGGGACGACTCGGCCAATCAAATAGATTATACATTACTGCCTGCTTACGAGTCCATAATAAATCTAACTCGTCGACCATCACTACCACTGCTTCCTTTCTATGCCCTCCTTTATGGAATCGCTTCTCTAACATGTCGGCCGCATGACTAGGAGTTAAAGTCTGACCAGTGAGCTCCTATTCGAAAAAATGGTGTCAAAATAACACTAAAAGAAAATATTTAAAACGCTGTACCAACCTTCAATAATTGAACATAACACTGGTGAGGATCTGTCATTCGCATTCCATTAATTTCCACAAAATGAAAATCGGGAAGATCCCCACTATCTTGTGCCTTCTTAAGATATCTGATAACTTCAAGAACCGTGGCAGTTTTTCCAGTGCCAGGAACTCCAGATATATACATGCATCTGTAATTAAAAGAAAATTTTATAAACTAAAGCTAATCCCTTTTGTTCGTTTATTACTCTTACTTACCCTCCAGTTCCGTCCAATAGCTTTCCTTCTACAAAAGAATAAATATCAGAAAACTCGTATTCTCTGCACGGAAGCGAATCCGGAACTGCCGACACGTGAAGTCTAAATGCAGATTTAATATGTTGTGTAATTACGGATTAAAAAAATCAGTATCTCGTAATTTTCAGAATACTTACTTTCTTCTGGCTTCTTCTAAAGGATTCTTCAATTCTATTATTGGTTTTTCACGCCTAAATGATGCTACAAACTCTTTGACATTCTATTAAAAAATCTGTTTTAATAGTTGCGATTCTAAATCAAGAATTTGAAATTTAAATTAACTTACAATTTTACTCCTCCTGTTATTTGGTGAACATTTAGTTTTTGTAAAATTCTTATCTTTCTTTACAGGTGAATCATAGCTTGTGACACTGTCTTCACTCTCGGAAGTCGACATTTCGTAATCGTCACTACTGACTTCAAAATCATCCAAATCAATTTCAAATAACTCATTTCTGATGGTTATCCTGTTCCCAAAATTTCAAAAATTAATTAATTTGCCTCAAATGGATGTGAAATTCAAAGTGCATATAATTTCATAAAAGAAAGTAACCCTTTAAAATTTTAATAAATTTAAATACAAATTCCTTTAACTAAAGGAGTTTGGACCTACAAAAACGAAATATAAAGTGCATGAGAAATTTATAACTGTTTCGGTTTAACTATGAATATTCTCACCATCAAACCGTGCGTAGTTTACACTTACAGGCAAAATTCGTCATATTGTTTTCATTCGATCACCACCTTTAACCCCACACCTGCAAAAACAATTGATCACCTGACTAATTTTCCCACCGAAAAAGGTATATAAGCCCTCATCGGGGGGATCACCGAATGTTGAAGTCAGACATCGCCTTCTCCATCGCAGCCCTACACTTGTGTCACCGATCAGAATCCCTTTTTATGACGTTACGGGAAAATATCCCACTAGTATATGCAAAGAGGTATGAACGCTTATTATTGTAAACTCTCTCTTTCATCCGCGAAGTCTAAGGAGTTTTGTAAGATTTTATTTAGTTAGTTAGGTTAATAAACTCTTGTCTTGTTTTTTAAATGGTGTCGTTACTCGACTTTGCCAACGTCTTATCTAACGTCTAATCCAAATCTAAACCCAACGCCGAATCCCCTTACGTTGGGAGGATTGAGTAGAATCATACCCTTATTACCTGTATTCTCTGGCGAGGCTGGAGGCCCCAGAGTTACAGACTTCTTTGATTCATTAACGGATGTCACCAAAGTAGCGGCATGGTCAAAAGCACAAATGTTGGCCATTGCAAAACTTAAACTTACCGGGATAGCCCGGGAATTTGTTAGGAAGGACCATCGAATCAAGGAAGTAGAGGAATTAGACGAGTTTAAGCGACTGATGATAGAGCGCTTTGACCGCAAACCCTTTACATTTCAACTAAATAGATTTTATACATGCGTGCAGAAACAGGAGGAAGATGTACAGACATATGCTGCTCGACTACAGGCATTGGCCACGGAGATAGAAATCACACCAGATCCTGGCACAAATGCCGCAGAAACAGCCATCATTCACAGAGTCCAAAGCAAGGAACTAGATGAGAGATTAAAGGCACAATTCCTAAACGGAATTGACATATGCATAAGGCAACGAACAATGTCCCGAGAGCCTGCCACCTTTGACAATGCGCTAAAAGCCGCCATTAGCGAGGAAAGAATAGAGAACCTTACCGCACATCCTCGAGAGATCATGCGAACAGTTAGAGAAGGTGACAAATTGACCAATTCCTCCCCCTCTTTAAACGATCTACAGTAATTAACTGAAGCAATGAAGGAGCTTAAGGCTTGCATGGAAGGTTTAGTCAGATATCCCTCTCAAAACGACTTTAGAAATCCTAACTCAAGAAGAAACCTGCACGGAAACTATACTAATAACAATTATAATAACAATACTTCAAATAATCCGACCGCTCAAAGAAGGGAATATCGGACGAACTCCCCTAATCGACAATTCGATCAACCTAGTAGACGACTTAATACGAATCAATCCTGGAACCGGAATACTCCCGGCCAGCGACCTAATCAACGTAACAGATGATCTATGCATCCACAACTTGGCTTTCCTGTGCGACAAGAAGCTGAAAGTGCTAGAAATAGAGTACGCTTCCGATCTCTGCCAACGGAAGAGACACCACACAAATGGCAAGGCAATGTACATAGCGTTGAAAGTCCCCGACCTCAATTTAAATATAGAGGAGAAAATTCTAGGCTGCCTCTTTGTAACTTTAGTAGGAAGCAAGGGCCAGAGTTAACCTTAAATGAACAGACCTATAAGAATTCTCCAAGAAGGTATCGGGGAAATTTCTCCCTGCAAATTTCTAAGTATACTACAGAGAGAAGTGAGGCTACATTTGATTGTTATATAGGAGGTAATCCAGCGATAGTACAAGTAGACACGGGAGCTAAGGTGTCCCTGTTATCTAAGGCTTTCGCCAATACTATGAGAAAAAGGTACCCATTCACTATAATAAGAAAACAGACCTAAGTGCTACTGGACATTTAATCCGAACCTATGGCATTACTAGCTCTATTTTCCAAATTGGGGATTTACAATTCCCTTTCGCCTGTTGCCTGGTAGATATAGATGTGACCTATCCATGTGATGGCATTATTGGCCGAGATATGATAACAGAAAAGGGATTTTGCATTGATTTAAAAGGGGGAGAGATGCTGATTCCTCCGCATACTGTCGTACCTTTTCATACTCCAGGGAATGTGAGGAGAAAAGCGGAAGGAGAACAATATGAGGAAAAAGGGAAACCAAGATTTGGTAAAGATAGGCAAAGGGGATGAGAAACCAGCCATCCCAAACAGCAGAAATTAGTGATACAAGAAAAAGAGCCAACCAACCGTCCGAGCGGGAAGAAGGAAAGGAAGTAGTAATATTGGAAACATGTCAATTGCCTCTGTTGACAGAAAACATAGTTACCGCTAGAATTTTGGGAATCAAGCGACCTGCCCAGGTTGGAGTAATTGAAACTGATTCTGTGAGTCAAGAGGGAGTCTCTGGAGTAGATGTACTGGTGACACCCAATAAAAAGGGACAGGTTCCCATACGGTTCCGTAACGACTCTCATAAGACAATCAAATTAAAAAAGGGTACTAAAGTCGGACTCTTTTTTGAGGCTGTAGAAAGTTTAGATCGCATAGACAATATCAAGGAGGGAGCGACGGCGAACCTATCAAAAGAAGAATTTAGTCAACTTTTTAACTGGAATGGTATCCCTGAGAACGAGAAACAAGACCTACTGACCTTAATGTATAGATATAGGCACGTTTTTGCCACAAATGACTATGACCTAGGATATTGTGATATAGTGCAACATCAGATAAACACAGGTGATGCGGTGCCCATTTACTCTCCGCCCTATCGAATTTCTTGTGCGCAACGCCAGCAATTAAATGAGATTATAGATGGCCTTTTGGCCCATAATATTATTGAACATTCTACCTCCCCTTGGAGTTCGGCTGCTCTCCTAGTAAAGAAGAAAGATGGCACGCTTCGCTTGGTAGTCGACTATAGGAGACTAAATAAAATTACTAAGGTGGACCCATACCCATTGCCCCTTGTACAAGAATCCCTTAGTCTAATGGGATAAGCCAAGTACTTTTCGACAATGGATACGATCTCAGGTTTATGGCAACTAGGGGCAGGTGATAAGGAGAAGACTGCCTTTTCTACTCCTGATGAATATTATCAATGGATCAATTGAAAACCAGTTCTGCGGTTTTTGAAAGAACGATGGACTTTATATTACATGGCCTAAAGGGAAAAACATGTCTCGTCTACATGGACGACATTTTAGCTTTTAGTCCAGACTTCCAGAGCCACCTTAAAGGACTTGAACAAAATATTTCAGAGGCTAGGAAAAGCGGGAATCAAACTAAAACCAAAGAAATGCCATTTCCTACAACGACAGATCAAATTTCTAGGTCACGAAATTTCTGACAAAGGCACCAAACCCGACTCCGATAAAATACAATGCGTGTTGGATTTTCCGCAACCGGAGAACGAGCGAGAGCTCCGAGTCTTCCTAGGACTAACCGGATATTACTGCAGACACATAGAATCCTATGCAAAGATTGCTAAGCCCTTAACAGACCTATTACGAAAGGATGAACCATTTGAATGGCAACCCAATCAACAAGAAAGTTTTGTAACCCTTAAAATTTTGACCTCCGCGCCATTATTAAAATCACCAGACTTTACAAAGCCTTTTATACTCACCACTGATGCTTCAAATTCGGCCTTAGGAGCAGTGTTGGCCCAAGAAGAAAATGGAAAAGAGAAACCGATTGCCTATGCAAGCCGCTTACTACGAAAACCTGAGCAAAACTATAGTACTACGGAGAAAGAGTGTTTAGCCACTGTTTGGGCAGTAAAATATTTAAAACCCTATCTATATGGACGAAAGTTTACGATTGTAACTGATTATAGACCTCTTCAATGGTTACTACGCTGTAAAGATTCTACAACCAATTCTAGGTTATCACGATGGATCATCTGCCTCCAAGAATTTGATTTTGACATTATACATAAGGCTGGAAGTTCGCACAAAAATGCAGATACCCTTAGCCGTATTCCAATTCGGCAAATATACGAAGTCGATCCTATTTTCTCTGTGCCTCAGATTGTCAATGCACAATAGCAGGATAAAGTATTGGAACCTCTAATACGAGCCCTAAAGGACGGCATTACGACAGGAACCTGTAAATCAATCAAAATAGATGAATTCTATATCAATGAGGAAGGTGCCCTTTGTCACAAAGGGACTAACAAAAGGCAAACAGATTGGTGGGAACAAATTGTCATCCTGACAACCATGAAGGACTATATCCTATATACTTATCACGATAACCTGATAGCGGGACACTTAGGCGAATTAAAGATGCAAACTAAAATTGCTAAGACCTTCTATTTGCCAGAGATGGCAAAAGATATTCGGAATTATTGTAAAAGCTGCACAAACTGTGCAAAACATCGGCGGTGAGCACAAGCTGACCTACAATTATTTGCTCCTCTTTCTTATATATTTGAACGAACCACCATGGATATTGTAGGACCTCTTCCTCTTACTAATAATGGAAACAAATATATCCTAGTATTCGTAGATCATTTCAGCAGATATGCAGAAGCGGTCCCACTACCAGATGTCAGCAGTAATACGATAGCGAAAGCATTTGTTACTCACGTAGTATTACGTCATTCCACACTAACTCAGTTGTTAACTGATAGAGCGCCGAACTTGACCTCTAAAATGTTTACAGAAGTGTGTAAACTACTGCAAATAAAAAGACTCCTCACTACAGTCTATCATCCTGCCTGTAATGGTATTGTTGAAAGATTTAACAAGACCTTAATCGATATTCTATCTCATTATGTATCTAAAGATCAATGAGATTGGGACAAATGGATCCCCTACGCTTTGTTTGCATATAATACATCGGTGCACACATCTACCAATGAAAGCCCTTTTTATCTGCTATATGGAAGAGATCCGACATACCCCTTTGACCTAGTTACGAGCCCTACTATGATATCTTACGACATCGAAGACAACTTTGCATCAGAATTGCGGCAAAGAATGCAGCACGCCCATCAAATGGCTCAACAATGCTCTGAGTCGAGGCAAGAACATCATCATAAACAAAATAAACTTCCACAGTACAGAGTGGGGGATAGAGTATTGTTAAAGGAAGTTGTTACGCCTAAAGGCTTAACCCTTTATGGCCTGACGGGACTTTCTAGTCCCACTATCTTTGATATTTTTTATTTCATAGTGTATGCATTATAGCTTTCTGGGACTTACATTTTATCATTGTATATAGTGTTCTTTTTTTCTTCTATAGGGTAGTAACTTTCAAACTGTTCCTGTTTTAGTTTTGTTGAAGAAAGTTTCACATCGTAGGTTGTCTGAATGGGAGTAGCTGATACTATATGGTAGTAGCTGATACTATATGGTAGTAGCTTTCTTTGTTGCCAAATTCTACTTAATGTTTTCAAGTTAAATGTCTTTGTATTTTTTAATATGTATTCTAGATATGTGTAGTTTGATTTTAATGTATTATGTTTGTAGAATTAATGGTTTGCAAGCTGTATGAAGTCAAAATATGTTTGGGACTTATAAGTCCCGTCAGGCCTGAGGGAATCTTTTTTGTAAATGTTAGAAATTTGTATTTTCTACATTGTGCTTTATAAATTTATGAATTTGTTTAACATTTTTATAGTTAATATACATATAAGACTTATATATATATATATATATAATTTTATATAAAAAAAAATTTTATTTGATATTGATACACATCAAAGCCATATACAAAATGCACATTACGTAAAGTTTTCTTGTGTGTAAATGGGAAAAAAATAGCTTTTTACATCTTTACTAATCATAAATTATTAAACCAATAAATTTTATTTTAGTTTTGTCATGCATTTTAATTTTTTTTCATATTTTGACCTTATTATACAGTAAAAGTTAACAAATACTTAATATATATAATTATGCATTTAATTTGCAAATATCTATGATAAAAGATCTTTATATAAAACAAAATTATTTTATTTTCGAAATATTAAACAAGAAAAAACTTGTTAAGTCCAAATGTGCTCTAAAAGCCTGACGGGACTTTTAAGTCCCATAATTAAAAAATTTTTAATTTACATTTTAATTTTTTTTTATTTACTTATCTGTGAACAAACATCTCTTCTGATGATATAATAAGAAGAAAAAAAATTTTTTATCAAAAAATGAAAATTCGGGCTATAAAGGGTTAAGACAAAAATTAGCTCCGCGATGGTCTGGACCGTATAGAATTATTGAAATCCTGGGACCTGTTAACTTTAAAATTGAACACCTACAAAATAAACGGAAATTACATGTACATGCTGATCGCATTAAACCGACCAGTGCTCGAAAAGAATTTGACCTAAAATCTGACCTAACCACTAATCCAGCTACCGTATCGCCAGATGAAGAACCTCCAGCAGATATTTCTATCAACCCTTGGGACGATTTTATTTTATCCTCTATACCCACTCCACAACCGGAAGAGACGACAGAGCAGGAAGATGAAGGCGACATTGAAGAACCTGAATCAGAAAGCGATGTAGGGCCAGAGGGAGAGCCAGATACTACTCTTCGCAGTCGGGGCCCAGTTGAAGATGAGCCTTGGGTTATGCCTCGACCCACACGTAACCATATACCATGGTTCGTTTTTCCTGCTGATAGTCAATCATCTTCCTCTTAATCCCTTTAGTTTATCTAAAGGAAAAACCATACGACTTCCGTGTTTCGATATAAGCTCTATCTCCTATACGAGACTCAAATATTAAGACTAATCAATGTCTTTCCCCTCTTTCCTTCCTCTCCTTATTGGCAAACCCTTCTTCTATATCCACTATCTACAAATTAAATCATACTGGGATAATTAATCTCCCAAACGCGTGTACAGGTGTAAAGTACTAATTATTTTTATCGGATTGCTCTACAACAATTCTTCTATCAAAAGAGCCGTTACCCAACGGGTACTTTACGCAGGTTCGCCTTTATTGTTGCCAGGCCTGGACTTTTCGCGTGCACCAAAGTAAAAGATTAAGGGAATAAGAATTTTTTAAATTATATTATATTAAAATAATATATATTTAATATACATTCAGAAAACGCATAACATTTTTCCGGGCGACCCGTATACACAGTGCTATAAACGAAAAATCATAGGACTACTTACCGGTTGTTCCCCGTTCGAGACGCCATTGTTTAAGCTTGCCGTCGTCGTGGAGGTGTACACTGGACGGCGGATCCACACAAACCGTGTCACGTGATCCGATTTCGACGTCACTCGATCACGTGACTAGGTCTCTGACGCGTTTCCGTGTAGCTTTTCTTCTCACGGAAGAATCCGTTCTCTTTGTACTAATCACGTGATAGAGCAAACGACTTATTATAACACGTGGTTAACTCTTTTGTCACGTCAAACAGCTCGCGGTCTACAGTTTGACAACTTTGCCTAGTTACGCTTCCGTAACATCGTAACGTTCTATATCCAAATTCCAGTTAATATTTGAACTGATACGATTTTAATTTAAATGATTTTAATGAAAAGGTTATCCACAAAAATTATCAAAAACAAGCAAATCGGGTCACGTGACACGGTTTGTGTGAATCCGCTGTCCAGTGTACACCTCCACGACGACGGCAAGCTTCAGCAATGGCGTCTCGAACGGGAAACAACCGGTAAATAGTCCTACGATTTTTCGTTTATAGCACTGTGTAAACGGGTCGCCCGGAAAAATGTTATGCGTTTTTTTGAATGTAAATTAAATATACATTCTTTAAATATAATAAAATTTAAAAAATTCATATTCCCTTAATCTGCACAATTCTCCACCAACAAGCCAGCGACTGACAAACAACCTAAGTAAACACTGTTAATGACCTTAAACCATAAATATTGTCGCGAGTTTAACGCGTGCCGGGATAAAATTATATGTACACTAGTTCTAATTTCTACGCCTAAATATCAACCAATAATTTACACTTTGTTATCAATTGATGAGAGATAAAGAGATAGATTTCTAATCTTCTTGTAATCATACCTCGAACCGAAAAATCAACCAACCACCTAATTTTTAAAATTGCACTATCTAAGTACAATTTTAAAGAAAGCAAAGAGTGATGTGAAATTCCAAGTGCATATAATTTCATAAAAGAAAGTAACCCTTTAAAATTTTAATAAATTTAAAACATCGCCTTCTCCATCGCAGCCCTACACTTGTGTCACCGATCAGAATCCCTTTTTATGACGTTACGGGAAAATATCCCACTAGTATATGCAAAGAGGTATGAACGCTTATTATTGTAAACTCTCTCTCTCATCCGCGAAGTCTAAGGAGTTTTGTAAGATTTTATTTAGTTACTTAGGTTAATAAACTCTTGTTTTGTTTTTTAAATGGTGTCGTTACTCGACTTTGCCAACGTCTTATCATCGACCCCTCCGACTCTCCTCCACACGCATAACGCGTAACTGAACAAAACACCATCCTTGACAAGAAAGGGACTTCCCAACCTCCCCGGCGTTCGCATGAATCTGAGTAAGAAACAAATTTAAACTGTGACAATTTTAGTAATTGACTTACCCTGAATCCGTGGTCATGTGCAAGCGCTCGACAGGACGAACTTTTCTTCCCGATCTCGTAACACTTCTAACCGTTTTCGTATTGTCATCTGCCGTTGTAACATCAAAATCCTCTTTCTTTATTTTCGTGCCATTCGATAGAATTCTCTCGGTAGGTATCAACTTCACGGAACATGCTTTGATATTTTCAATGCCATCGTAGTTTATAGATCCATCCGTGACTTTTTCCCTTTCTTCTCGGCATGATCTGTGTTTTGATCTTTTGTCTTTTACAGCAGTTTTATTTTTAACAGGAACCGATAGTTTATTCTCGACTTCGGACAAATCCTCCAAAGTAATTTGCGAAAGATTCTGCGATTCCGAAGACATAGATTTCATTAATTCGTCTTCGATACTATCGTCTTCTGTTTTGATTTTCCTCTTGCTTCTTTTAAGTTTAGTGTAATTCAAAGAATCGACACTGTTGCATTTCGAACGTTTCTGTCTGGTTTCAGAAGTACATTTATTGGAACACGAGTTCTTATATCTGTTCATGATGACACTTTTTGGCACTGTAAATATGTAGTTTAATTTAATATCACTTTAAAAATAGTAACTTTCTTTAAAAGAATAAATAACCTAATATATTTGAGAGGTGTAAAAAGTATATATCTATATATATATAACCCATTGAATAGGTATCCGTCTGTCCGCGTAATGGTATACCAAAAAACGGGCACTAGAGGCGCCCTAGCGAAGATTTTAAATTAACAAATTATTTTTATTTGTAATAGGAATTTATTATTGATATGAATTTATTATTTATACCACGGAATGGTATAAATAATTATTATATGCCTTGATTAAACTTGCGCCGCACGTTTACAACATTCCGTGACTCGGTGAACGTCGCGCATTGACTCGCGGAAAATTTGTTGAAAAAATGGCGGATGCATTTAAAATCGAGGTTTACCAGCGAAGGTAAATAAACAAATTAAACTGTTTTAAAGTATTTATAGAATGTTTAATACAACGGTTCCCAACCTTTTTCGGGTGGCGACCCCTTTTTATAAAAGCCAAGTGTCCCGCGACCCCGATACAATTGAAAAAGGCATTTTTAATAAGGTAATTAAAAAAACAACAAAATTAGTTTTCTTACTATAATTTTATTTTAAATTGTTTAATAATTTAATGCGATGGTTGAAATTGCATGTTATTAACCAGTTTCAAAATTCGTGGGTGAGTTTTTGTTAACGCCAATCTCATGTCATTCTCAACATTTAATTTATTCCTCTCAAACTCTCAACACATGTTTCAACCAACTGTGCAGAATAGCGTGCCTAGATCAATTATTTTTTAAAAATTAAAATAAGTGTAAAATTATTCAAACTTCAAGACACCATTAAAAATAAAAATTGCATTATAGTGAATATTTTTTTTTAGTTTACTGTATAAGTTGGCGACCCCACAGAAAGCCCGTCGCGACCCCCTTCTGGGTCGCGACCCATAGGTTGGGAACCCATGGTTTAATAGGTAGAAATATAGATCCGTATGACGCGATTGGGACGGTAAGATTTACCCTCCGAATGCAGGGGTGCCGACCCCCCTCTGTGCGAACAAGAAATGTCGGTTAATGTGTACCTAGGTAGTCCAAGATGGCGGCGCTTCGGTTAGATTAACTATATTTTTAGTAGACGTTTCCTTTTTTTTTTTTTTATTTTGTTCAAAAACTGCCGTGAATTAATAACTAGTGACGTTTGGCACAAGACGGCTCCCCTCGGGAGGAGTCCGTCAGGCCACGAATAGTCGGAAGCGCTGCCATTGGAGTTACCTAGGTACACATTAACCGAAATGTCTAATGAACTATACTCCTACTTGCGACCCTTTCCGAGATATAGCCCTCTGAAAATTATTCTACAGGCCACGTGACCGCCTGTTTGCCACAATTTACCCTGCGAATGAGCGGGTCGGCAACCCCCGAGTGTGCATGAGCACGCGTTAATTTTTTTTGCGCGGTAGGCTCTTTTTGACCACGGTGTCACATGACCGGAAATGACGTAGGCTAATTTTCAGGGGCTTATATCCCGCGAAGGGTCGCGAGTAGGGGTATGGTTCCTTTGACTTTATTGTTCGCACAGGGGGCTACAGTTTGGGGGTTGCCACCCCTTCATTTGGAGGGTAAATCTTACCATTGGGACTTTAACGGAGCTGTAGAGCATACTGATAGGAACAAAAAAGTCAAAGGAACCGTGCCTCATGGAAATTTGTAAATAACGCCCAATAGGGGGCATCCCGGGCTACTAGTTTAATAATAAATGATGCATTTGTTCTGTAATTTTGTGTTTTATTTATTGGTTAGTTAATGTAAATCACCAGCAGATTCACATCTTAGCTCAATCTTACCCTCTCAAACAGAGTAACATATTGGAGACTCGTGATCTTCGGGTGAATATAGTAAAGACCCATAATGAAAGCATCACTAGGATAACAAAATTTGCCAAAGAGCACCCCAAGATTAATAATGGAGTACTTAGGATAACATATATAAAAATAAAATTGTTATACAGGCATGTGCCACTTAACAACAGAGTTCTTGTAAAACGGAGCTAAAAGATTTGTAACTGTCATACTTCTATGTTTTTATACCTGTCGTGTTACAATTGTTATTATAGCTTGGTTCATCTAAACAAACTATAATGTTAGTTTAACATATTTCTCCAAAGATATCGTTAAGTGGCACATACTTCTATACAAAAACTACATTAATAATAAGTTTGTTGTTTGTATATGGCAATGCAACTTGCAAGTGGGTGATCTGCTGAAAGGAGATGTCTCCGGGAGGACTTTCTATAGGAAATTGACTCCTATTTAGGTGTTATAAATGTGAAGAAAACCCAGAAAACTCCACTTGACCAGCTTGCTGGCAAGGCACAAACCCTCAACCAGCTACTAGTGTTTCAGTGGTTTTATCCACTCAGTCGACCAATTAACAATAAGAAACTGCAAGATTTTATATTGTACATTGTCAATGCTAAATGGAATTAATGAGAGAAAGAATTTGTCCTTAATGTAGACAATTCAGGCTAATTTTTCAATTCTAAATTATATAAACTATCTGTAAACTTCTAGACTCTATAGTAATAGAAACTAAAGAATATTTTCTAGAGATTATTATTCATAGTTCCCCAGAAGAGATTTAACTTTCCTCCGTTGAAACTTTCTTACCTAGCAATTCAATTTCCGAAGAAACTGTACTAAGCTGATCAAAATTATCGTCAGAACGTCGCACTTTACACTTTCGTGATAAACTCATTTTACGTTTTACGTTTTCCATCTTTCCGTCACCCGCATAGGCAGGCTCGAAATTTGATCCATCAAATTTCCATTTGCAATAATAAATTGGATTCTCCTCATCGAAGTTTTCTGCCCAAAAAGATTTCCCAGACACATTCAGAGGCAATATCACAACCTGAAAGAGCAAAAATAGCTTGAAGATATCAACCACTAAATTAAGCAACTATGATGATAATTTTCTCACCACACATTTTCCAAATATAGTTTCGATATCAATTGTAGAAGACCAGTATTTTCTATGTTCTTGTATAAGTTCTTGTTTATAGCTAACTTCCCTCAGTCTGCGCTGATGGTGTGGGGGTATGTCAGTAATTCGTGAATACCACTGCACTTCCGCCAGATATGAAATGCTAGAATTTTGACCTGAAATATAATATATAATAATTTAAATCCTACTAAACTTACATTTAATGCTGATTTTGGGACTTCAAATAACTTTTCAAATCATACCTTTCTCATATAAATCTTTCACCTGTGCAATGAAGCAATGCTCCACGCTCTCTGGATACAAGCTGTCGTCGTTGCGAATCAGAACGAAATCTTCAATGTCCACGTGGAAACTATCCGACTGAAACGCTCTGTAAAATAGCACATATTTAAACCCTAAAAATTTCTGAAAAATCTCAAGTATTTGCATATTTATGCAAACCAATTAGACAAACATAAATTCATCTTATTTATAATTAAAATAAAAATAAATAATAACAGAGTGAGTGATTATCAGTGGTTGGTGTCGGTTGCTCTTCTGTTGTGTCTGTTTTTTTTTTAAATTCCAGCCGGATATTTGATACTGTATGATGCAAGACATTTCCCAGAGTCGACCATCATTTTGTTTTTGTGACTGTCAATGTTGAAAATGCCACTTTGCATACAATTTCTGTTGTCAAATTTTCCCAACTCCCACACTGTGTTACATAATTCCAAAGGGTATTGCAACCCAAGGTTAAGAAGCCCCGCTCTAGAAAATTTTAGTTTTATATGGTAAACTTTTCTCATAGTACACAGTAATGAAATGTGGCAAATATGTTCCCAATATTCATAAAAATTTCAATATTGGGTAACAAGTTCATTCTGATTTTGAGAGGGATTTTTATTAATGTTATCTTAAGACATCGCTTACAATAAATGATTATACAGTGTACATAGTAAACTACTTATTGACTGATGTGAGCAACGTGCAACACACAATATACCGTGTTTCCCCGAAAATAAGACAGTCTCTTATATTAATTTTTGCTCTGAAAAATGCGCTAGGTCTTATTTTCAGGGAATGTCTTATTTTTTCCAGGAAGAAGAATTCACATTTATTATTGAACAAAAAAATTCCCAAGTCGAACTTAGACGAGAGTGACGTATATTCGGTGTGTCGAACTGTCGCCTTTTTATAGCGTCAACATCGGACTCGATGACCAATTAGTGCTTACTGAACCGTAGCACTATGCAAATGTCATGTGGCGTGATTCCCGGCCGACCAATTAGCCATCACCAGCCGTAACTTTATGCAAATCTGTGATTCCCAAGCCATAGTCTTATGCAAATCATGCCGTGTGGCGTAATTGTCTACTGACAAATCAGTCACTGTACTTTCAAAAAGCCAACGGCCACTTTCAACCATCTGTTGATGACCGTTACGACTAAACAAAAACTTCGCTAGGTCTTACTTTCAGGGGAAGGTCTTATATTTCGCAATTCAGCAAAATCTGTGCTAGGTCTTATTTTCTGCAGGTGTCTTATTTTCGGGGAAACACCGTACTATAAGAAATGCAACACGAAGACATAGGAAAATGAGAAATACACACACATTACAAATAAATGTGATAAAACAAACGAGAAGACACAAATGGACATGCAAGAAATACACCTTTTTCTGTCTGTGCTTTGTGTGCCAATCGGAATTTCACTCTTTTTATTCATGCTATTCGTACATGCAAGATGTCCTTCCATGCTATATCAGTCATGCTCTACAACTCTGTAATAGATTTTTTTCCACGTTGTGCATTGTTTTCAAGATTCTCAGTTTTACTGCTAGGGTTGACACACAGTCTCATCTTCAAGTGCCTGGTCACTTTACTGTAATGATACATCACATAATAACGGTAGCCATTCTATTGATACATTTGTCAGTTATACGGTATAGGATTTTGCAACCTAATCAGGTTGAATTGTTTTTTGAATTATTACTTAGATACAGAACTAATGAGTTTTAAAGAAGAAAAAATCTTTTCTCATGAAAATACCAGACAACCCAATAAAGTAAACCAAATATTTATTTTTGATCAAGGTAAAATAAATTCATTCATACATTTTCATACAAAGTATTATTTAAAGGAATAAAAACATACAAAAAAACTGGCTATAAATTGTTGGCATAACTCACTAAAGATACCAAAGCCAAAATACACGTTAATGGCATGGCCATGTTACCATAATAGATTCTTGTGTCAAAAAATTTTTAGAAGTGGCTAGATCAAATAAGAGTTCAATAGTTTGCATTTGCTACTAAAAGATAAGGGGGCCATACATAAATTACATAATGCAGTTTTGAGTGCCCTGGTACGAATGCAATCATTACGACGCATTACAAGAGGTACGTTACATAACGCTAAGGTTTTTAGTGTTGTTGTTTGTTAAATACGAACATATTAACTTACTGATGTCAAATTGTGACAATGTATCCCATGCAGCTTAGTTCCTCAATATAATTAAGGTGGTTGATGAATAATGTGCATTAGATAATTTTGAGTATATGTGACATTACAGAACATAATAAAAAATGTAAAATATTTGAGTGAAATCTATCAATGTTAACGGAAAACTCGAATAGTGACAGAGCCATTACGTGGGTCGTATTTACCTGTCAACTTATTCAATACGCCCATTCTACCTCAGGACCAACAAACTCGGGCAGCAAAATCACAACAATAATCGGCATCGATCATCTTAATTTTCCTATTGTGTGCACCAGTTTTAACAACTGGAACTAGAAACAACTATCAAAGGTTGCTGAATGATTATCAATATAAATTTTGTACACAGAAACTTAGGAAATATATAAGATCAGTGCAGAAAGTGGAGAATATATAGGTAACTTGTAGTTATTATATATGAGAACTCTGTGGGATACATACGCAGCTCTGAATGAGACAATGGGATATTATCAGATCTGCAGACCATGCCCATAGAGTAAAAAAGCTACTTGAACCAATGGTGTACATATGACCTTTGTATCTAGCAAATAGCCAAGTTTGATATTGAAATGAGCCAAGAAAGAACCACGTTTTGAACACGTGACTGAATATATTATCTCACCGATAATGTAATTCATCCTTTTTCCTTCTGTCTGTCCTGAAACCGTCTCCAATCCATTTAAAATTACATTCGCCGTCCAAATATTCACATTGCATTGTGAAATGTTTACAAATATCCACGACCATTCAAAGACTATACCATCTGGCGGGAAACAGTTCGCCCTCTGGTGGATAAAATGTTTAAGGAATTCATTTTTAAAATTTACTATTTATTTTTTTTTAAAAAAATTAATCACATTTTATAATATAATAAGAAAAAATAATTGTTTAAAAATATAAGTTATTTATGATTAAATGTATTTCTAATCTGCAAAACACAGGTTATAGTTTAATGGATTAGCAAATGACATCCCGATCTGAATTACTGTATAAGCCATAATTTAGTTTGAATGACACTCGAACTTGTATACAGCGAAAACTTGTATGATCGGGACAGTTCGGATGTTAGTCTACCGCTTTGGGAAGCCAGGATAAAATCCGCCCGGTCGAAAACTTCATTAATTTCTAATGGGCGGTTTGTTCCGAATATGTCGGGATCCGTTCCTCGCCATCCGGTTACTCCTATTGATGATCGGGGCAATGGCTATGACAAAGGCTTTCTTAGCGCTTACCAGAAAGGAAAGAATGACAAAAAAACTATCTTACAATACATGCGAAAAAAAACAAGTGTGAGTTCATAAACATATTTACGTTGTATATCAGCATACGCATTGCCATGCACGACATTAAATGTAATTATCTGTAAATGCAATATCTGTGCATTAAAATTCAATTATTCAAAAAAATCAGGCCTCAGTCTTCCGCTCTGTGGACCCGAGAAACAATCCACCCAATCCAAGAAATCCCGAAATATTTTGGAAAGGATCTGGAAGTAGCGGGGATATATCGGGTTCCATTTCTCACCGCCCGGTCATCCATTATGACTTTGATCAAATCCACGTTGCGCATGATAATAAAGACCCTCTTAGTGTCCATAAGAAGACGGAAAGGGTCAAAAAGAAAAGAAAGACCGGGCTCGGTGGTGCGTTATAGCTTCGTAGAAGACCAGACAATTTAGAATTTGGTATAGTGTTGACTTCAAGCATTTTTCTTCAAAAGAATTTTTTGTGAGAGTCCCTGGTATTTTCGCGTAACCGACGTGGAGCATGCGTTTCGTCAGTACACTGACCCACACCAGCAATCTAGGATCCCTAGATACGGCCCAAATTTAAATTTCGATATTATTAATACTGTAATGAGTTTAGAAAAGATTAGGTTGGGGCCCCCAGTTAATAGGGATTCCAGGCATTGCACTTCTTGCCCATTACCTCCCGTTAAGAATACGCTCGGATTTCGGCTATCCGGCTGTCGATATGCACAGTAATAATATTTTATATTAATTTTGACAAATTAATATAAAATATTATTAAAATAATTTTAAAAAAATTTAAAATATTTATTTCATTTCTAAAAAGTACATAATTTCGAAAAAATTCATAAAACGACATTTATTCTCATCAGGGGGCGCTCGCCGATTGTTTTATGTCCATTCAGAAGAATGAATGTGCTTGGATTTGTGGAGTTTATGTGCATTTATCAAGAAATAAACAAGGTAAGATAATGTATAAACACGCAAGATGTATCCGCGAGTGTATCAATTAGTATTTTAAACACTATCCAAGTAGAATATGATTAATAAATCACCTGAGATTGCACAATATACAGTAACACAGATTACATTGAGACATAAATCAGGATTTTTTAAAATAAATATTGACTCAAGACAAAAATATTCAGCATATATTTAAGGGGAGAAGTGTTATAATAATAAATATACAAAAGAAATCATTTTCTGATGGAAAATATTTAAAATTTTCACTTGTTTTCATAAACATTCCTTCAATTTTTACACATTTAGCCTATAAATCTTGTCTGAGAACTCAGATATGAATTAAGAAACTGTGTTACTGTTAAATGGATACAGTTTTATGAGGATGATTTGTATATTTTATGAGTTACTGAGCTTAGCACATAGCGCGGTGCCTGTTCAATTCTTAAATGTTTTTTAATTAATGCAAAATGTTATATAAAACAATATTTAAGAATAAGAAAGCTCTGTTAGTGATTCAATGGTTTTTTTAAGGTACAACTGCGGCTTTGAATGTGGCTGTTGGAACGTTATCGCAGCCGTAGACCGCTGGTTTCCGAGGTGGGCGTACCTCTCCTTGGAGGGCAGTGAGTAAATCTAGGGGTTGCTGGAGGTGGGGTCTTGAACCAACAGTGACCATAGGTGTGGGGTAGAGGTTATTGATAACCTTTTCCTTTTCTTTATTCCTAGAGAAGCTTTTCTATGAATGTTTCCATGCCTTTCTCACGTTGAGATAAAATGGGTTGGGACGTTGGGTATAAGTTTGTGGAAACAAGGGGGCGGTGGCTCGAAAAAGTTTGGGAATCACAGTCGTAAAAGTGAAAAGGAATTGATGGTATATTTATGATTCTTTGTGAAATATAGTTGTGCAGTACATAGATATATCTTGGAAGTAGTTGGTACAATGACATTTCTCATGTTTTATGATCTTTTAGTTGTCTTTATTAAGGTGGAAGACGCTCAATTTTTAGTGTTGTTATGAGAAATAGTTTCAGATTTTCACTTTTAAATTTTACCCTATTTTTGGGGTTCTCCAAAATTCCAAACAGGTCAATTTTAGGGGCTATATTTCTTGAAGGGTCAGATGTAGACTGCTGGTTCATTTTGATGTTTTTAACTGTTATGGTCATGGTATACAGCTCTGATAATGTCCACCCATCTCATTCAGATCTTCAGTTTTACTGTATTTTTGATATATATCCCTAATATTGTATAAACATTTTTAAAAATATTCAATAATAAATGTTGACTAGCGACTGGGATATAAATTACAAACTGCATTACTGTTAGATAGAAATAATCTGTAAGCTTTTAAGTATTATTAAACTTGACAGTAAGGTCAAAAGCTTGTTTTTTTATTAATAATATTTTTTAATTGATGTGAATATTTAATAGTAACATGCCATCTCGATTATAGTGTTTTCATACATTTTACAGTAGTATTATTGATTTATATTCATAGTATTTGGAGTATTCTTTCATTTCTTTTAAAATATTCAACAATAAATGCTGGCTAGTAACATATATCTTTATCATAAAAAAACTGTATTAATGCTAAATGAATACAATTTTATAAGAATAATTTGTAAATAAATTATTGAGCTTTACAGTAAGATATTAAAGTTTTGCATTAATACGTAAAATGTGTCATAGATTTAATATTATAGAAAACTAAATATTTAAGAATAGCTGCCCTCGTAGTGTGTACAATAATATACTTTTGACAAACCTCCTCCCTTAATTAAACATTAAAGAAACTTTTAAAAAGTTTTGCATATATTTTTTAGCCAATTCCCATGACTAGTAAGTAGGCTTATAAGAACAAAGTTGTACGCCATTAAAAACAAGTACACCTAGACAATGCCTCGGTCCCCACCCTCCCCATTGTGTACGACGACATACCTTTCATAACTGCCTTCTTCCCTTTAAAACTACAAACACAATTATTGGATTGTCCCACAGAAAAACTGTGTTGAATTTTTAGTTTTTTACGTACGTTAAAGTAGCGTTATCGATACTTTTTTAAAATATCCAACAGTAAATTTTGGCTAACAACTAGGAAATGAATTACAAAACTGTATTACCGTTACAACAAATACAGTTTTGTAATAGTAATTTGTAAACTTTACAAACAGCCGAGCTTTGTATATAGAATAATTGTCCGTCTTTTAAATTAAAATGAGAAATATTTTATAAATTTATATTATAAAAAAATCGAAATATGAAAGAATAGGAAAGCCATGTTAGCAAGCCACTTCAGTTTGAGTGTTTTTATATATTTTAAAGTAGTATTATTGATTGGCAAGTGGCCAGAAGAAGAAAGTTGAATAATAATGCTTCCTGTGTTATAAATATGTGGCGAAATGTGTCAGAAACAAAACAACTCGCAGCAATTTTCTAGGAAAGGAATAAAGAATATGGGAAAAAAATAACAGTAAAATTCAGTTAAAACTTTGTTATATTTACTCAAATGAGATAAAATAAAATATTTTCGGTTTATTTCTGATATTTTATATTTCGTTTTTATCGTTTCTTAACGTCGTCGGCTCTGATAAACTCCACAGATAATAATTATCTGTCGGTAATGAGCTTGTATATTTATTAACGTTAATTAATACGAAAAAATTGATTTAAAAAATAATAATTATGGCTAGTGTTTTTTTTTTCTTTGTATATATTCTATTAAATTTTGGCTAGTTTCCATGGTATTATTTGGTATTCAGTCTAACTTCTCAGGCTTTTTAAAGAATTATTCGGAGATCAAGTGTATAACAAATGTTATCAAATTGAATTTAAGTTACTAAGTGTTTAGTTTTCGTTATATTATAGAGATAAATATGATTAATTATCAGAGAAATCGGTTAAAATACTTAATAAATTTTGTTAATTAAAATTATTATACATGAAATTAATAAAATTAATTAATTTTTATTCGTTTTAAACTGATAAATTTCATCGTCTTATCACTTTGACATTGAAGTTTATCAATTTTTTAATGGATTTTTGGTAATTCAAGAAGGCTTGACTCATCTGGAACTGAACGAGGATGTTCCTGTGTATTTAATTAACTTGAAAATGTATAAAGTTTTTATTAATATCTTCTTTAACTAGGATTAATAATGTTATAAATGAAAATAAAAAAAACCTGTTGAATTTTACTGACTATGTAGACTTTAATTAGGCATAATTGAGGCTTGAAGGTGATAAGATTTTTAAATTAAATAATATTTTTTTATATATATAATAAGATCTGTGCCTTATCAGACTTTGACAGAATGTATATGCATAAGTGAATTAGTAATATATACATTCTTGGACATTAATAAGACTATTAATTAAAGGCTTAATTGCATTTTATTGTTTTACTCTCTGACCTGAAAGGCCCATAATGGGTTTGACCAGGCCCACATTGGGACGGCGAGAGACAGGGCCCGACATATTTGGGACAGACCACTCCTTAAAAATTTACAAGGTTCTTCATCCAGGTTTAATCTTAGTTATCAAAGCATCGGGTCGACGTCTT